AAACCTTTCTCGCCCGTGCGGCTGCTCCGTCTTTTCTCTGCTGACATGTCCTTTATCACTCAATTCGCTGGATCCGATCGAAAAAGGGACCGTCCTCAAGAATCTCCTGACCAAATCAAGTCGCTGAGCATTGCTGATGTGCAGAAAATGATCGACAACTTCACTAATACTTTTCTCAAAGTGTCCGATCAAAACGAGAAGCTGGAACAAATGGTCATCACACTCACTGCTACCGTCGAAGACCTGAAGTCTACCATTCTCAAGCTGAGTCAAACACCTCCGCCTGCAAGTCCGAAGCCTTCCTATGCAGACGTATTGCGTTATGACATTCTGGTTGCCACAAAGGAGGCTCAATCTGCCCCTCTTCGAGAAAGCTCCTTCGTCATTCATAATTTGGTTAACGAGAAGAAAGACGAAAAAATCGTGGAAGAAATTTGTCAACTATCGTCGGTCGAAAAAGCTCAAGAAATTTTTCGGCTTGGAAAGTCTACGACTCCTCCACCCCCGCTTCGCGTTCACCTCCAGAACAAGGACGCCGTCGTCAAAGTCTTGAAGAACTTCAACGAGTTGAAAGGCAAAATTCCGTCTCTGAGGACCGCCTCCGTTCAACGGGATATGAGCAAGACCGAGTTGGAGAAGCATCGGACGGCTTGGAAAGAAGCTGTTCGACGAAACGACGCGGCCGCATCCAGGATTTGGACCGTTCGGGACTTCGAGGTTGTCAAGCTGCGTCTCCCAGCCGGCGTCGAACGTCATCCTTGGTCCGTGCGCTCCCAAGAACCCAAGGCGAAATTGTGAGTCTTTTGAAATTTGCCTCAATTAATTGTTTTTCTCTTGTCAATAAGGTTGCTAAGCTCGAATTGATTATTAATGATCTTAATCTAGACGTCATTGCTCTATGTGAAACCAAGCTCGATGACAGTTTTCCGTCAGCTATGTTTTCTTTCAAAAATTCCTTCAACGTTTTTCGAAAAGACCGGAATCGTTTTGGCGGAGGTGTAGCTATACTTACTCAAAAAACTTTAAAAGTTTCCGCCGTTGAAATACCATCCGACTTTTCCAAGATTGAGGTCGTCGCTGCTGACATTTTTCTCCGCTCTTCCTGCTGTCGTGTCATTTCCGTTTACCATCCTAACCACAACATCAACGCTGAGTCACTTTTTAAGTGCCTTGAATTTCTTCTCCAAACTAACAATCATGTCGTCATCCTTGGTGACTTTAATTTTCCACATATTGACTGGTCTAACAAAGTAGCTTTTGATCTGCCTTGTAAAAAATTGCTATCATTCTGCTGTGATAATGGCCTTACCCAGCATATAACATCGCCTACTAGATTTAATCCTGATAATACTCTTGATCTTTGCCTCACTAGCACTAACATTGTCCAGGAAGCCTACGTCGGTGATTTATTTAGTGATCACTGCAGTGTTATAATTACTTCAACACTTTCTAAAAAAATATTGAAAAAAATCTGTCAAAAAGCTTTTAAAAAAATTACAAAAAAAGCAGATTTTCATTCTCTCAATAGTCACATTGCCTCTTTGGACTGGGACCTCATATTTCTCTACACTTTCAGTTGAAAAAAATGTACGACAATTTTTTTGCTCTTTAATACACAGTTTTGTAGAAGCTTTTTGTTCCCATTCAAAAATATAAAAACCAACAAACCTTTCTCCCATATCATTCGTTCTCTCTCGCGAAAAAAAGCTTTTGGTTTGGAGAAGAGAGGGAAACTCCGATCTTTATAAAAAAATTTCCAAAAAAATTTTCAAAACTTACTTGGTCCTTGCGGATCCAAAGAGAAAAAGACCTAGTTCAAAAAAAGGCAATCAACACAATTTCTTCAAGCATGCCAAACTTCTGAGTGGTCAGTCTGAGGATGATATCAACGTTCTAAAAAACCTCTGATGGAGAGGCACTTACCTGCAACTTCGCTAAAGCTAACCTCTTATCTACAAAAATTTCATTCATTTTTTTCACAATCGATGACGGAAAAAAACTCCGCCATGTGTTTCTAAAACATCTAACCGTTTATCTGTCATAGATCTCCCAGCGCACAGAATAGAAGCTTTTTTCTTCGTAGAATGCCCTCTAAATGTAACACTACTCCGGATGAAATCCTCCATTTTGCTCAAAAAAACTGTTCCACATCTCTCGCCTATCCTCTTTCTATTATTTTTTTAACGCCTCTCTCCGATCTGGTCAAATTCCATCTGTTTGGAAAAAAAGCCATTATCAAACCCTTACACAAAAAAAGGAAGTAGATCTGACCCTTCAAATTACTGTCCAATTAGTTTAACCAGTTCAGTTTGCAAATGTCTTGAAAAAAATAGTTGTGCACGATTTCAGCGTTTTTTTCTCAACTCTAACTCTTTGTTAAACTCTAACCAATTTGATTCCGCCCTAAATATAACACGTCTATTCAACTAATTCAATATTGTGCAAATCTTTTTGAAAAATGCAAACAGTAACCTTTGCACGGACGCTATCTATATTGACTTTTTGCAAGGCTTTTTGATACTGTCTCTCATGCTAAACTTGTTTACAAGCTTCAATTTTACGGCATTTGTGGTCCTCTTCTTGGCTGGATCGAATCCTACTTGACTAATCGTGTGCAGTGTGTTTCTCTTTCTGGAGTACTTTCCGACCCCTGCTCCTGTACTCTCCGGCGTACCCCAGGGGTCGGTCATCGACCCCTTCTGTTTCTACTTTTTTTATTAACGACATTACGGATAACTTTCGCTCTGCGCCCCTTCTCTATGCTGACGATTTAAAAAAATTTTTTTCTTCGCTCACAAAAACCTCTAGTTCTACTGTCATCGAAGAAGACCTCAAATTACTTGAAAAACTGGTGTTCAACATGGCAAATGGCTATAGCTCCAACTAAATGCTATTCTATTCATTTCGGAAAACGTAACCCAAATATTTCTTATAAAATTTCAAACATGGCTTTTACAGCCTAAACTTTCAGTTCGAGATCTTGGTGTAGTTTTTCTCAAATAACCTTAAGTTCAATGATCATATATCTGAAATCTGCAGACGGTGTAAATGTCGCATAAATGTTATGTTTAACGTGTTTCGATCCACTGAGCTTTCATTGTATTTAAAAATGCTTTGAAGTGTATATTCGTCCTATTATTGATTATTGTTCTGTAGTCTATGCTCCAATTGACTCTCACAATATTTGTTTGATTGAAGGTGTTCAGAAAAGTTTTCTTTTCCGAGCTTACCATCGTTGTGGCTTGCCCTACCACTCTTATTTCACTTGTTTATCTGAAAATAGTCTCAAAACTCTTGAGACAAGACGCCTCATCTTTGACATGTCTCTTGTTTATAAAATTGTACTTAGAGAAGTCCCCATTGATTTCGATAGTCTCTTCTTTTTTTCCCCCTGTGTCCGTGCGCTGCGTCGCCATCGCTATTATTTACGTTCAAATATAAGACATAATAGTAACATCGTTGCCTCGTTTTTTTTAGTATCAGAATAATTAATGTTTGGAACTCCCTTCCCTGATGTTGTATTTGATCTATGTAATGATTCTATGCGACTCAAAAATCTATTTAGAAAACAACCCCCATCTTCTCGCTGACTTTCTTAAAATATCTTCTAACTTTTAAACGGTTTGTTGCTGTTTTCAATGTTTAAATTTCCCTTTTTAAAAATTGGTTCTGTTAGAGGTCTTTTCGGCCCTTGAACTGTATTATTATTCGTATTGAATGAATAATAGGAACCGAGCTACAAAAATAAAGCTGATTACTTCCAATTTCTAGCCTCTGGACTTCTGATAAGTCCACAGATGACTTTTTGGTAAGGCGAGTTGATTTTCGCCTGTTTTCTTTTTTGACAAAGATACAGAAAATTGCAAAATCCATCTTTATTAATCAAATATGGTCCAATCCAGGTAGTGTTCGTTCATCCCGAACTGTACGCGGAGATAAAACACGTATTTTCCCTGAAATTGTCACGAGAACTTTGAGAACTTTTTTTAAAAGTTGTTTTTTAAAACACCCTACGGAAACCGTTTCAGGTCGGTCGCGGCTCGAAATGAGCCATTCGGAGGACCACCTTAGAAATAGAATAATAACTGACCTTGTCATCCTTCGGAAAGTTTCTGATGATTTGTAACAACTCTTTCCGATAAGCGTCTCGGTGTTTATCTCTGAAGTCCCAGTAGGGCGTAGTCGGCTCCTCTTTGTGCATCATCTAAATAAAAATTCAGTTTGAAACTAGGAAAAGGGATTTTCAACAAGGTTACTTGATATTTGATGAAAAAAAGCGCTTAATTTCTGGATCGAAGGCTCTGATATTTCGATATTCCGGAAAAACATCCAAAAAAATCGCGGTGTCTTCCTAAAAAAACACCGCGGTTTTTCGATTATTTTCAAAATATAAACTCTCATATTCCTTTTCGTCGTACAGCTCTACTTCGATGGGGTCTGTTTCATCATCAAAGTGAACTAAACAAGAATTTCTAATCCGAATATTGAAAAAAAAAATAAACTCACGGGAGATTTTGTGAAGAGCTTCACTGACGACGACAAAAAAAGCCAGGAAAGCCAGAACCCTGACGGCAGCCGACATTTGTCCCTGACATAAGAATTTCCACCCGAACGGGTCTTTTTAAACCCAAGAGGCTTGATCGAAGGTTGAGAGCGCAAAAATTGGATTCTAATTGGGATTTGGGAACGTGAAAAATGTGAAATGTAATCTTCTGCGAAAAAAAAAGTTCAAGAACTTCAGACCTTTAGACGTCTTTCGGACTCAAGTTTTGAAAAATCGAGTTTTTTTACACGGTTGCTCATAATTAAACCGCAAACGCTATAAGTGCTATATGAAAAAAGTGAGGGTTGGAAAACCATGGAAATCAATAAGTTTATTCATGATCATAACAACAATTACCAGCTAATTTTGTTCCATCCGACCTCCTCTCTTTCCGATGACAGCACGAAGACGTCTAAGGTAGGCGTCCATTTTTGGTGAAGCCAGCCTTCGGGCTGACGGAAAAACTTTCTATAGAAAAATATAAACTGATGAAAAAGTACTTCCGAAATAATTCATTCTTGGGAGGTTGCTGAAGTCAAAGAATTGACAAAAAATAGGTCCTTTTGTTTTTTTTTTACAATCTGGCCTTGTTAATAATTTTTCACTTCACTGCGTCATAATCGAAAATTTTTACGGTTTTTGAGCATTTTAACTTTTAATTATTAAGTATACTTATGGAAACAATCGCGAAAACCACTTCACTGATTGAGTGGGTGTCGAGCAAGACCTTCGCATGATGAAAGATATGACTAGGCGTAAGCCGGTGCAAGTCGGGACAGCGGATTCCTGATATCAGGACGCCGACATTGCAACGTCGCTATTACTACTCCAACCAAGATCATAGCCGGAGGGCTCGGATCGCCGCCTCCGCGTGGCGCCTTCTGGGTGAGACCTGGTCTCAGCTAAGAGTGGTCCATTTTTGGTGAAGCCAGCCTTCGGGCTGGCAAAAAGTATACAAAAAGATATATTGATAGATAATATTTTGAGAATTAGTTTATCCACTGGAAAACAGCCAAAGTAAAAAAAAGTTAATAAGATCTTCGGAAAATCTCCATAAAGAACGCGAACAAATGGTTTTGAATACTTAATAAAAAACTCTATCGCCTGGAGCAAGACTCTTTGTCCCAAGTTTTCGACCTTTATTTGTATTGGAATCCCGATCATCAAGAGCAGGGGTTTGACCTCATTTCTCATTGATAAACACAAAATATCAGGATGGCTCCTCTTTTTTACTCAACTTCTGGAAGAGCCTTTCAAAAGCGTGAAAAACAGAGCATCCACGTCGTAAAAACCATTTTGGTTCGAAGGTTCCTGACGCGTTTCGAACAGCGTACGCGTGTTCTGGGAACGCTTTCGGTTCTCATTGCGTCATCCTTGTCGGCGGAATTCAATCGTTTCCAGCTCAACTCTTGCTTAGAATTTTTCCAAGGGACCCTTGAAGGGTAAAACATTTTGGAATGAGAAGCAATGGTGCCACCAAAAAGTGATTCAACTTATCGGAAAAGAATGATTTCGTCTGCAAGGAAAGATCTTTTTTCAAATGTTCCAAATCATTATCGAGGTAACCATTCTTTAAAGGAAAAAGTTACAGCTTTTTTAGCCTTCTCATTTCTGGCGATATCTCGAAAATTATATTGTTACTCAAACTTCTTCTTCTCAACCATTCAAACTTTGTGTCCTAAAATTTTGAAATTTCAAAGCCGGATGGTATAGCAAAAAAAAACAATTCAATATGGAATGAGTTTGGATCCCTTTTCATTTTGATATTTTTTTCTCAGCCCCCGCGTCCATCGTTTCCGAACGGTGGCTGGCGCTGGCCATCCCGGACCGCGCCATTTTCTCTGCTTTTCTCGCGACCCTCCAAGATCCCTACGTTCTTTTACGCTCATGTGCAAAAGTGCAAACGCACTATCAGAACAAACAAAATGACTGGAAAAAGTTAGAAAATTATTCATGGGAAAGAGAACAGAGCAAATATTATACCGAGCTTCATACTGTAGAACAGTTAGAATTTTTTTCCGGGTTTATTGCAAATTAGAAAAATATGAAGTGAGTGATTTTCAGATATACAGCGATCCTCAAAAAAAAAATGAAACACTCAGACGTTTCCTTCCTTCTGGCCTCAAGCGTCACGGTGAGGATTCAGCCTAGGTCCTGAGCCTAGTGGCGCGCACTGGAACCACTGTGCTAAATGTCTGTTGATCGTTGGAATAGCCAGTTTTCTGAATATCTTCCCTCAAAAATAAAATTTTTGCTCTTTATTATTCAATGAGTGTGGTACTATAATGATCAAGCTTCTGTATTCACACTAGAGAAAGGGTTGAATGAAAGAATACGCATATTTCTTTTTGAAAATCAAAAGGAAACACAGAAAATACGTCGCAACTCAATTTCAAGGTTCTTTTGGAGTTTCAGGCATCGGTCGCATTGCTGTAAAATGATTTAACCAATCCTTGCAGTGTTTCAAAATAAAACCAATTTGAAAAAAAAAAACACTTTTGTCAGCCCCTGATCCAAGAAAGTTTTCCAGATAGAAAGAAAAAGCTGTTTTTTGCAGTATCATTGGCAGTTGCGCAATAATTGTGTAACCGAATATCTGAGGGCACTGTCGCCACATTCACCAGGTGTGGATGCGCAAGTTTGCGCCAGACGACATCCGATTCTCGCCAACGCTGCTTCCCACATGTTATTCTAGACTGTAACCCAATTATTTCGAAACTCGACACCATATCATAGTTGCCTCTCCAATAAACATAATTTCAAAAACTCAACAATTTTGAAGCTTTGAAATGTTTCAGAAAAGTTTTAGATAATTAGAGATCAAGAACGATATTTCTGCTGTTTTCCAATTCTATTCTTTACTTGAGATGACAGCTTCCCGCGTTTTGGATTGGAAGAAATATTTTTTAAGAGGAAAAGTTCATGGTAGCCGGATGATAATATTCTCAAGTTTTTTAAACTCACAGGTTTTTTTTTCTATTTGGATTAAAAGTGTTCATTTTTTTTATCAATATATCTCTATATTTTTTTCGTAACATCGGGATGGTATGATAATGTTGCAGGGGAGAGGGGGCGGGAAAGACCATTAGGTGGACTAAATAACCCAACCTGTGAAGAAAAATTTTTCTGTATGAGAGAAGAAACATAGAAACATAATAAGTTGCTATTAAAACCAAGTTGAATACGGCACAAACCTATGAACTTTAGAAAGAACGTCAATAGATATACTGATCAAAAATGTCTTAAAAATTGTTGATTTATTAGAATGATGTCTAGCAAGGCGTTCGCATGATGAAAGACATGATTAGGCGTAAGCCGGTGCAAGTCGGGACAGCGGATTCCTGATATCAGGACGCCGACATTGCAACGTCGCTATTACTACTCCAACCAAGATCATAGCCGGAGGGCTCGGATCGCCGCCTCCGCGTGGCGCCTTCTGGGTGAGACCTGGTCTCAGCTAAGAGCGATCCATTTTTGGTGAAGCCAGCCTTCGGGCTGGCAAAAAAGTATACAAAAAGATATATTGATAGATAATATTTTGAGAATTAGTTAGTTAAATCCACTGGAAAACAGCCAAAGTAAAAAAAAAGAAGTTAATAAGATCCTGCGAAAATATCCATAAAGAACGCGAACAGATGGTTTTGAATATATAATAAAAAATCGCCTGAATCAAGAGAGACTCTATGTCTCAAGTTTTCGACCTTTTTTTTATTGGAATCGCGATCATTAATAGCTGGAATTTGCAAAAACAAATCAATGTGGAATAGGTTATGGTCCTTTTTTATTTTAATATTTTTTTTTTCAGCCCCCGCGTCCATCGTTTCCGAACGGTGGCTGGCGCTGGCCATCCCGGACCGCGCCATTTTCTCTGCTTTTCTCGCGACCCTCCAAGATCTCTACATTCTCTTGCGCGAGTATGCAAAAGTGCAAACGCACTATCAGAACAAACAAAATGACTGGAAAAAGTTTGAAAATTATTCATGGGGAAGAGAACAGAGCAAATATTATACCGAGCTTCATACTGTAGAACGCTCCGAGTTTTTTGGGATCATTGAGAATTTAAAAAAAATGAAGTGAAGGATTTTCACATATACAGCGATCCTCGAAAAATGAACACTAAGACGTTTTCTTATTTCTGGCCTCAAGCCAATAATGAGCAGAGCATACCAAAACTTTCTGTGAAAGGATAAATTGTCAGACTTACAAAAAATTGAAACAGAGGGAAAACTCAATGAATAGGTATTTTAATTTCAATAAATCGTTGGAGGATTCCGTTTTGAGGCTCTGAAGTCCTGTTAAAAATCAATGAAATCCCAATGAATTTTATTTATCTCTGCTCTTATTTTATAGAAACTTTTTTTCCGTTTATTTCCGCTTTTTCCAAAACTCTCATTTCGAAACTTTGGCCGGTCCCTGTTTTCCATTCACCGAAGACGCGCGGAGAGAGAAGCAGGGCATCGCCCGAAGGAGGGGAAGTGGGTGGAGTCTGCTTAGATACGCAGGGTCTACGGTTCGCGTCGCGGTTCCTCAAACTGTGCTTCCTCGAATTCAAATTTCTTATTCTTCTTTTTCATTTTTTTGTCTCAAACAAGCTGGTTTGAGCTAGTTTTTGTATTCATAACTGATCTTCTAGGTCGTTTGCATTTTTCCGTCGTCTGAGTTAAATTTTTTTTTCGTTTTAATTCTGATTTTTACAGGACCTTGGGCCCCGCCGCGGCTACCAATTTTTTGGCCAAAGGAAGGCGTGAAATCCTGCTGATCCCCTTCTCGATCGTTAGTTTTCAATTAAATTATTTTTTTATGTTTTTTTCACTGTTTCAATTTATTTAATATAATTATTCTCTGCAGATGAAAGCCAAATGAGCCAGAAGTCAAGAAGCAAGGAAAAAGAAGTCTGAAAATGGATTTCTACAACAAAATCATCGTTTTTTTCTCGTCGTGACCAGAAACTCTTTGGCGTGATGATGGCACAAAGACCTGCCGATTTCATTTTTTTGATCGTGAGTATTTTTTTCCTTTTTTTCAGTTTTTTTGAATATTTTTATGCAAACACCCATGTTTCCAGATGACAGCCAATTAAAAAAACGTGAGCCAGGAGCGGTTGTGAATCCTCGTTTTCCAAGGACAAAGTTCTACGAGAAGATCACCGTTTGAACGAGTCCAGTGAGTTTTTTCTTGTTTTTGTTTTTGTCTCATTAACAAAATGAAGAAGAAACTTCCTAAAGCTAGAAAATAGAAGTAGAGTATAAAAGTTCTGGGAAACAGCTCCGACTACGATGATTATTTTGAGACACTTTTATAAATTTATTTTCAAAAGGTCTCCTCATTTCAAAGACAGACGGATCATCGCTAGCTCTTCGAAAATCAGGGGTGCTTGGGTAATTCGTTCTCAACTCATCATTGAAGTCGTCTTGAAGTCGACTTTTCTGTCATCAAGGCATTTTTCTTCGCTGTTAATTCTCCGGATGACTTTTCTCTTACAAAGCTCTTCCATTTCATACAGAACTTCATTTCCCCCAGAAATCCTACTTGATGAGCAAACGCGATGGAAAAATACGACGATTTCTGCTCAGACTTACTTCTTCGTTCGCTGGTTTTTCTCATTAATTTACGAAGTCGAAAGAAGAAAGACGTCGAAGATAATGGATAGAATAAAATTTTTTAGGAATATTTTGAAGCCCGTTCATTTTGTTTTAAATAAGGTAAAGTTTTCGATGCGCATTTTTTTTCTTCGGAGCAATAATATATAGGTTACTCTGCCAGAATGGCGCACGGTGCGGTCCAGCCTTGAGCACTTCGGTGCGTAGCTTGGGCCTGCACCGTGAAACATCGGTGATTTTTTGGTGCCGCACTGGGGCAGCACGCTAAAAGCACTGTTTCGACACCTATGCACCCGTGTGGCACCAAAAAATCACCGATGTTGCACGGTGCGAGCCCAAGCTACGCACCGAAGTGCTTAAAGCTAGACCGCACCGTGCGCCGTTCTGGCAGAGTACTGGTCAGTCTTCAACGTCAGCTGAACGGTATTCTTCTTTGTCGCTCGATCGCGTCTTGTTCTTCAGTTTCTTGACGACTATCCTGAGTTTTTAGCTTTCTCACTATTTTCCTTAATATTTTAACAGCTTATAATTCCTTCTTCAGCCGAAAGACACATTCTCTGTCGGTCAAAAAAAAATGCACCCTAGGTTTTTGATAATAACTTTGCTCAAACTGGTTCGATTGAGTTTTTACTGGGCTTTGTTATGTGCAGCACGGTTACTCTTCAATAGCCTAGACAAACTTGAAGAATTTCTCATTATGTTGAGAAAGTTTTATCGAGCCTATTAAGCTTAATTAATTATAAGAGGCTTGACTCTCGATCGGCCACTTTCTCTAGGATTGCCGTACAATTTGTTCAGCTGCCATTTTAAAAAGTGGATCAGCTCGAAAAGTGTTCTGAATCCATTTTCTCACGTGTTCAAAGCTTTGATACGCGTTTTTAATTCAAGCAAAATTCACGAAAAATGTTTTACCTAGCTTTGGCAGACGTCCAAATATCGAGGTAAAAACTTGCAAAACTGCATGTTAGTCATAACGTTGTGAACTTGAAAGAACTGCTCATCAAAATAGATAGCTTTGAATCTGTCGTTGTTATCAAAGATTTTAACGCCGTATTGAAACATTTTTTGCGGAAAAAACTTCAATTCGAAAATTTTTTATGTGGAGTAGGGAGAAGATACGTGAGTAAGCAGGTAAACTTTGACTTTGGACGTTTTCCGAGACGAAGTTAATTTTTTTCATAAATTTTGCTTTTATTGAAAACACGTAGCAAAGCTTCGAGCCTGTGAAAACATGAGCCGGACAACTTATTAGCTTTTCAACTTTTAAAAACGGCGTTTGATAAATTTGGACCGTGACCCTAGAGAATGTGGGCTATGGAGAAAAAAAATCCTCAAAAAATCAATTAAGCTATATCGGCTCTATGAAACTTTTTTACCATTCTCAGAGAGCCCTCTTCTTCAAATTTCTCGATAAAAAAGCAGTATCAAATTGATAATTTCATCGAAAAATCCGATGGAAGTGAAGCAATTGTTACTAATTTTTCGCTGACGAGATGATCATTTTTGAGAAGCTGGTGCAGCTTTAGTTTGCGATATTTTCCAAAACGATAAAATTTTTCGGCAGGAGAAAAAAACTACATTTGCTAGATACCGGGAAAAAAATTCTAGTGAAAAAAATTTTTTTCAAATTTTTTTCGGACACATTTTTTTGGCTATTTATCCTTTTTTCAACTTTTTTTCTCAAAGCAAAAATTTTTCGGTATGAATATGTAAACGTGCTCCACATAACATTGCCAGATATGAGCTCAATCGAAAGAATTTTAGCAAAGTTATTATCAAAAACCTAGTGTGCATTTCTTTTCGACCGCCACTGAGGTTTTAATTTTTCGAGTAACCAGTTCAAAAAAATAAACGAAGTTGATGAATAGTTATCAGTTTCGAATCATTTCAGAAAGTGCATAAATTCATCGGCGACCGAACGTACGAGTCAGAGAGAGGTCGAGTGATGAGAGCGGAAGATTTTCCATGTGTTTTTCTTTCGAGACGGTTATCTCATCTGTCCAAGAAGCTGCGAGGCGCCTTCTATGGTTTGCCGTCAAAAAAGATTTGTCGTTTTTTGTAATCTATTAACAGGAACTTGCTGGAAAGATTGAAGGCGTAGCGAGATTCTAAAAGTGTTTTAAGCCTGTCTTCTAACGATTTTTTGACGTCCTGGTCTCTTTCAAAGTTCAGCAAGCCCTTGTTGATAGACTTCCCTCAATTTTTCGAATTTTTTTTTACTGTCCTTGTTTGTCCTTTCCATGTTTCTTTTCTAAAATCCATTCACGAAAATTCGTTGATTTAAAAAAAACCAAAAAAAATTCGATTTCTTCGAGACCTCATCCGAAGAACACACCATGCGCCTTTAAAAACTTCAGCGAACTTTTATGAATGGAAGGTTTTATCTCGTATGTTTTGCTTTTTTTTGTTCAGAAACGCCAATATATGTACAGTTCATTGTAGTTTGCTGGAAAGAGCCCTCTCATTCAGTAAATGGCAATGAAGCCCATTATCATGTGTTTTTGTGTGTTTTTGTTTGTCTTTGCCTCTGCCTTTTCTAAGAAAACTATTCAAAGAACAATTTGTACAGTTTGTTGCAGTTCACTGGAAAGTGCTCAGCCATTCAGTGAATTGCAATGAAGCCCTTTTCATGTGTTTTTTTTTTGTCTTTTTGTGCTACAATTGTATTTTTGAAGGGATGAGAACTTGATTGCCGTTATAGGGAACCATGAGAGAAAGAGAAAGGATTTTATGAAGTCTTTATAAAAATAACTTTCAGAGCTGGCGATCAAGTTTTTTTCTGTTTCCCTGTGTGAAAAAAGTTCAGGTCAAAATTCCTATTTTTTGGAGCTGCAGACTAGAAGTAAAAGTACCATTAACAAGATATTTTAGATAAGAATTTATTTTTTTGACTAGCCTTTTTGTAAACGATACCAGAGGTAGAATCGGCCTGAACTTTTTTTATTTTAAAAAAACACAAAAAAAAAAAAAAAATTCAAAATTACAAAAATATCTAAAAAAATTCGCTTTTTTTATTGTTCAAATCTTACATTTTCTTTTTTTCGTTGTTTTTTGTTCGATATTTTCCGGAAGAATTGTACAGTTCAAAGCAACTTCTGGGAAGGAAATAAGTACCAGGAGCTGCGATGAAACCCTTTTTTGTGTGCTTTTATTTGTTTCTGTTGTATTTTTTAGCAAAAGAAAATTGGATTGTCGAGATGATTATTGAAATTTCGATCAAGAGGCTTTTCTAGACTTTCAAGAGAAAAAAGTGAATCAAGCTCGACAATCAAATTTTCCTCTGCTTTGTTTTGTTAAAAAGAGGTCCATGCCAAAAAAGCTTCTTCGGCAAAATGTCTAACTATCCCTTCAAGAGTGCTGGAAGATAATTGAAGAAAGAATAATTTCGACCCGTTTCGACCCAAAACTAAGAAAATTTTTTGGCTTGAACCTTTTTTCTTTCTTTGAGCGTGGATAAGCCCGGTGTGTGTACATAGGATTTTTTTTTTCTTCTTATCGACGTTCATTGTTGTTTTTGTGCTTTTCCCTGCTTTTTGTGAGAAATGGTTCGGGCTAAATGAGCCCATTCTTGAGAATTAATACAACCTCTTTTCGAAAATTGGTTGGCCTGAACCTTTTTCAAACTATTTTTCATTTTGTTGTCTTGTTTTTCTTGTAAAAAAATTCAAAAATCCAAAAAAAAAATGCGTCTCCACAGTCTGTCCGAAAATCCATTCTGAGTTGTTTGAAAGCATGAAAAACTTGAAAAGAAAATTAGAAGCGGAAGATTTCTTGGAAACCATACTAAAACTTGGCAATCCTCCTTCGTAAATCTCAGCCCGGATTTTCGAACAGACTTTTCATATTCTGTTGTTGTTTTGATTGTTGGTCGGTCTAAAAAGTTTCATTTGTATAGTTTTTTTCTTATTCATCTTTTTTTATTGTACTTTTTGTGCTCCAATGTACGGTTCATCGCAGCTGCTGGGGAAATAATCAAGTCCTAGGAGCTGCGATGAATTAAAAAAACTCAAAAAAACAAAAAAATTTAAAAAAAGAAAAAAACTAAAAAAATATCATTTAATTTTTGTTTCAATTTCTTTTTTTCGTGTTTTTTTGTTTTGCTTTCCAGTCTGGTTATCCAATGTAAAGGCCCTTCCTATAGTTTATTCCAAAATCCTTGTTGGGGCATTTCAAAGTGCAACGTCATTTTTTAATGAAGCCCGACATGAAAAGTCGATCGTAAGACTTTTTTTTGATTTCCGAGGACTTCTGATTTTTAAAAGCCTCAGCAAGTTGATGTGAATGGACTATCACCTTTTTTTGGCCCATTTCGTATAATTTTTGTTTGTTTGAGCATTCTTAGTATGTGTACAGTTTTCTTTTCTTGTTTTCTTGATCATTTTTTGTCAATCTTCTGTTCTTTTTTGCTCGTTCCTCTCTCTGTGTCTCAACGTCTCGATTGTGAATAAATATTGCACTTGGAAGTTTTAATGTTCTTGCAAAAAAAGGAAAAAATCATAATTCAGCAATTTTTGGATGTCCTAGAAGGGAAGGATTACTTCCTGAATTTTTGAAGCTTCCCGCTGAAGTGTCGGAAAAACTGCTTGACGTGAATTTTAACTTCACTGAAACTTGAACCAGCGATCATAGGGTTCACATTGATAAATCTCGCAAATAGAGCTGACCATACTTTTCCGAATGTTCCCGTTATTTTTGGTGGTTGAGTTGGTCGAGCAGATCTGACCTGAGAGTCGCACAGTCATTCTTAGAGACTGCAAAAACAACAATCACTTTTATCATGACGCCAGATTAAAGTTGAGAACTTGAAATTCCCAGCTTACAGCTTTTAATAGAAAAAAAACTGATTTATCTGCGAAAAAAAATTCTAGAAAAGGTCGAAAATGTTCAAGTTTTGTTTGAAAGCTCAAACAATCAAAAATCTCCTTCTCGTTTTTTTCCCTGTACGATCCAAAAAGCATTGATAAATCAGAATACTATCCAGAATTACCTTGGTTGATTCGAACTGGAACTTACAAGATCAGTAGTACCTAAGACTGCTTGAGCATTTTTTTAATAATTTCAAAAACTGAATAACCCCCTTTCCATTTGGCAAAACTTTGTTTTCAAAAAGAGCGTCGGAAATTCAAATACGTGGCAGCTCGAACCACGCATCCATTCCCACATCGTAAAAAGCGGTCTGTTTTGAGCAACCAAATGAGAAACACATTATTCCGACTGTTTGGTTTCCTTACTCACAAAGAAGGAGCGCCTTGATTGGTTTCGCTTGATTTCGCCGCTTGCGAAAGTTTTGTGAATATAAGATTTTTCGATTAAAACCGTTTGTAAAACAATATTCAGATAAAAAATCCACATGTCAGTTCACAAAAGGTTGATGCTGAGAATTGTCAGCTCTATATTATTAAAAGAACATTTTCAGATGAATGGGCAAGAAATGATGTCACTTGCACAGAAAAAAGTCTCGCGAACAATTTTTCAATCTCTTGGCAGGACTGAAGCGATTCACAATCCCATTTCAAAGAAGGTTGCATCATCGAAACGCTCGTCGTTGTTTGAAATACGCCATCGGCCCCAGTCTCAGACGTCTTTTGGAGTTCCGACGTTCACATTTGGTTTTCTTTGGACTCCGACATCGTCTGAAGCTCCGCCATCTTCATGTGGTTTTTTTGGAGTGCTACGTTTTCAGAAGCTCCTCCGTAGAAATGTGGTTTTTTTCCGTCTCCAACGCCATCTGAAGCTCCGACGTTCACATATGGTTTTTTCTTGGTGTGCTTCGCCTTTTAAAGTCCCGCCGTTCACATGTGTTTATCGGAATGGAACCTTATGAAGAGTCTTTTGTATTTCTTTCACATTTGACTAGTTGTGTTCCTTTTGATCTTTTGGACAAGCAGAGAACATATCTTAAAAAGCTCCCCTAAAAGTAAAAATGATATGTTTACAAAATAAATAAAGGTTATGAAAGGTTTATTGAGGGAAACCTCTCAAGAACAATCCTCTGGACACATCAGCATGACCCTTATGGTGATTTAAAACGTTCTCAAACTTCTTTCTCGTCCCACCATTAAAATGGAGCAAGAAAAAAATAATATAGTCATTGAGAAAATCGGTTTTTTCCATTTTCTCAACTTCTGATTATCTGGCACGAAAAATGATTGAGGTTCTCATTCTCACGATGGTAGCTTTCTCCAACACTATTTGTTTAGAATAGACGTACGGAATCGGCCGTAGACACTTTTTTGAATATCCGACGGTCACATGTGGTTTTCGGAGTGGTGTCTTATGGAGAGCCTTTTGTATTTTGTTTACACTTGGCTGGCGGCTACTCTCTTCATCTTGCGCACGTCGATATAGAACAGTTTCGGAGAGCTTCTCGGAGAAAATCATCAACCATGGTTTAATTTTCAAAGAGGCTTACAAGGGATTTGTGCGCGGTGAAAATCGAGTTATAAATTGTGGCTTTTATGGTAGATAGACCTAGGGGAGAGCGCCCGAAAACGAAAGGGAGAGTTTTCTGAGCGCCACATGGTGCCGAGAAAAAAGGTCGTCAAAGTTTCACGTCAAGAGGAATCGAACCTAGCATAGCGTCCACGCCATTCAAGAACATGTCAAAAATTTTTGAAATAATTAAAATTTGAAAAGCTGATGAAAAAAATCAGAATCTTGGTTAACCATCAGAGATGCACGGAACTGCCGCCAGACACGAGCCATTGCAGAGTTGCACGGAATTCCGCGTTCCGCGTTCCGCAAAATTAATTTAGTTCCGCGTTTTTCGATTCTACTATCGTGCAATGCAAGAAAAATTTCATTCAAATTTTCAACTTTTGGGCCGAATGCGCAGACTTTCCACAGCTGAAGAAACTTGCCAGAAAGTATTTGTCTATGACCGCCTCTTCTGCGGAGCCTAAAGATTATTTTCCATTTCTGGCCTAGTTTGAACACCTAAAAGAAGTTGCATCACCAATGAAAACTTGGAAAGACTTTTTCAAACATTGAACATTTATGGCTTTCAAGTGTAAATCCACTGTATCTTTTTCTTGTCTTTTTACTTCATTTGTTCTTGACTGTTTCTGTTATTGTTTTATTTTTTTCTAACAAAGTATCTAGTCTGAAATTCTCGACATTTCTTTACGTTCCGAAAACTTTGCGCAGCTCAGACGTTTTCTTTCGCATTTCTAACCAGCTCGAATCTTACTGAATCTTAACTAATTTAGCGTTCCGCGTTCCGCATTCCGCAGTAAAAAATTCCGTTCCGCGTTCCGCATTCTCAATTTTTACTTTCGTGCATCTCTGTTAACCATGTATTATACTTTACAAAAGCCAAATACTTTCTGCAATTTTTTTCCTTTTGTTGATCTCCTCAAAAACGCTCATTTTCGCAATTCCTGCCCGTCTCTGTTTTCCTTTCACCGAAAACGCGCGATGAGAGAAGCAGAGCATCGCCAGGAGGAGGGAAAGTGGGTGGAGTCTGCTAAGATACGCAGGGGGAACAGTTCGCTCTGCGTCGCGGCTCCTTGCTCATACTAAGCCCTACGAATTTCTTTTTGTATTTCCAGACCTCATGATGACAATTCAGCAATCGTCAAGTTTCAAGCTCGCATTTTTCCTGAATGTTCGGCTTTTTGTCGTTTTTGTTTCTTCGCCATCCTTTTTTCAAGTTTTAGGATTTTTAATTCATTATTTTACAGAACCTTGGGCCCCGCCAGCGCTGCCAACTTTCTGGCCAAATGAAGGCCTGAACATCCGCCGATTTCATTCTTGATCGTGAGTTCTTTATTATTTCATCCTTATTTAATTTTTTTAATTTTTCTTAGAATTTCATTTTTTTAAATCATCATAATTTTTCAGATAAAAAGCCGAATAAGTGAGCCGTGAGCGGAACTCTCCTTCTCGAGATGGAGCCCGACTTCAAGATCGTCTTTTGGACAAATCTAACCAAGTGAGTTTTTTTATAAAGTCCTTTGTTGGAAGAAAAATCGGACCAAAAAGCTTTGAAAAAAAGTTTATGATTGCCCCATTTTGAAAGTGAACGTTTCGACATCGAAGTTGTTTCATCAATTCATGAGATATAGTTTCTTAGAGCCATCTTTTTGTCATGCTATTTTCAGTTCATCTACTTCATTTTATATTTTACAGATCCATTCGTTCACCACGGCAGCATATCCATCGGCAAGTTAAGGCGTTGAAACTTGACGTTTTTCTTTTTGATCGTGAGTTTTTCATTTTTATTTTTCATAAGACTTTCTTGTTTCAATTCAATGACTTCATATGATTTTTTCGTACACTGTTTAGTTTTCAGATGAGAGCCAAGATAACCGGCGCCAGGAGTAGAATTTTTGTTCTCTCTTCCCGATGGCGAAGTTCTACAACAAGACCAATGTTGGACAAGTCTGGTACGTTTTTTTTCCTTTTTTTCTGTTTAGTTCCAATTTTTTTAAGAGTTCATTATTATTACAAAAAGCGGAGAGCTTCCCAGACGCAATAAAAGTATTAGGCTTTCATATCAAGTAATCGCTGTCGGATCGTTTTCTGAAGTTTTTGAAATCCTGACAACTTGCATGAAATCAAAAATAATGAGCGCATACAGTAGCGTGCAATAAGATATACAATTTCATTTTTTTCGTCGTAACTTTCGAAGAGTTGTCCAAGTATTGTCAAACTTTCTACAGTTGTTTACTACGGGTTCAGTTCCTTAACACCAAAACATTAGTTCAATAGCTCATTCTCCTAGTAAGTTACAGCCAGAAACCTAAAATCAGCAAAAACTCCAAAACCAACAAACAGTTTCAAAATTATTTTTTCATCGATTAAAGCTAGGAAAGAATTATCGAGCACATTTTTATTGGGGACTGACGCTCAAAATTTATTAAAATAACGCTTGTTCCGCCATTAATTACTATCCGCAAAAAAAAAATACTCTCAGTTACGACGCCCTTAACTTTTTTGGGATTTTTGGATCATAGGGTCTCTCAAATATTATTCGATGGAGTTCTTCTTCTTTTAAACAGGGCTGTGGTAAAATTTGCCATAACACAAGACAGTGTTTAGAACGAGGAGAGCCAAAAACAGTCGCTCAAAGGCTGACAAGGCAAAATTCAGGATCTGATTGAAATGTGTTCATCGAAATTTCCTGTTGAATTTTAGAGTTCAGTTCGGTTTTTAACAATAAAACGAATGTGTATTGACAATATATGATGACGAACTCTCAAAACATTTTATTAATGTAGTTACGCAGATCAGAGCCTTCTGAATTAACTCACACAATCAAAAACCGAATTGAACTCAAAAATCCGAGAGGAAGTTGGATAAACTCATTCCAATCAGATACTGAATTTAGCCTTGTCAGCCTTTGACAAATGTTGTTGGTTCTCCTCGTTTTAAACACTGTCTTACGTTATGGCAAATTTTACCACAGCCCTATTCAAAAAGTTCAGAAGAAGAATTCCATCAAATAATTTTTGACTGACTCGATAATCAAAAAATCCCAAAAAATAAAGAGCTTCTAAACTGATAGCATTTTTTTATTGTGAGTAGTAATTAATAGCGGAACAAGTGTTATTATAATGAACTTAAAGCGACAGTCAACAATGAAGATGTGCTCAATAATTCTGTCCTAGCTTTAATCAATAAAAAAACATTTTTAAAACTTTTTGTTGGTTTTGGAGTTTTTGCTGATTTTTAGTTTCTGGCTGTAACTTACTAGGAAAATGAGTTTTTGAACTGATGTTTTGGTGTTAATGAACTGGACACGTAGAAAACAACTGTAAAAAGATTGACAATACTTGGACAACTCCTCGAAAAGTTATGACGAAAAAGCGTAAATGTATATCTTACTGCACGGTACTGTAACAGCTTTTGTTTTGCACACAGCTTCGATTAGAAATCCTCATGACATCAATATTAAAACTATTTGTAATTTATTCAACACTTTTCAATTTTCAAGACCTCGTAATTGTCAAAAATTCATAAAACATTCTAAATAATGGGTAGAGGCCGCATCGAAAAAAACGGAGTTTCTCACGTTTTCGGTCTTTTTTTTCAGTCAGATGTCATTACCGTTTCCCTGATAATATTTTTCATTCTTCATCATTCCAGATAGTGCATAATTTTTTGGCGATCGAGCGTGACGGCCAAAAAAAAGGACGAGCAAAGAAGAAGAGAGGGTTTTGTGTTTTTTTCGAGAAGACGTCCTGTCTTCCCCACCAGAAGCTGCCGATGGACAGTTAGGAAGATTTTTCTTGTGTTTTTTGTTGTTTTCCTGCTGTCCATCCTTGAGAACTTGCTGAATTCATTTTAAAAAATTTTGCCTCGAAAGGCCAGGTTTTGAGAAAATTTTGTCACTTGAAAATATTCAGCAAGATCTCGTCGACCCGCTCATCTTTTTCTTGTGTTTTTTTGTGTTTCTTGTGTTTTTGTGTTCTTCATGTTTTTTTTGTGTTTTTTTGTCATAGTTCATCGAGAATAACTTGATGAGGTGTTTAAAGATGCAGGAAAAAAGGCTTCTGCCGCTGGAATTCGATTTCAAGACACCTCTGCGCCTTTAAACTCCTCCACAAGCTTCTCGAGTGAACAAAACTCATCAAATTTTCTTCATTATTGTGTTTCTTACAAATATATTCTTTATGCGAAAAAAATTTAAAAATCTAAAAAAATTTGAAAAATTTAAAATCCAAAAAAATCATCTTTTTCTTATTTTCTGTTGTTTCTCAAAGCATGCATCATTTGTACAGTTCATTGCGGTTTCTGTGAAGAAATAAGTAACAGGAGACGCAATGAAGCCCATTTTCTGTCTTTTTTTGTTGTTCAAGCCTAGATTCAATGCTCGGAAGTGTACAGTCGTTGCTATTTTTGATATGAGACTACCATTTCAAAGATAGCAATGAGCCCTTTTTAATGTGTTTTTTTTTATTAATTGTATTTTTTGTGTTGTCCAACAGATTGAGAACTCGATTTTCTTGTCATTTAAGCATGATGAAAATGCTTTTCAACTATAAGATTTTCGTTGGGTTTTTAAGATTGATAATGTAACTTGAAAATCGAGTTTACGTCTGTTTTATTGTACGGAAAAGGTTCAGGCTGGGAATAGTTTTTTATTCTGATAATGATTGTTCAAAAGGGTGCCCTTAAGGCACCTCGGCTGACTTTTAAAACTTGAAGCTAATTATTAAAGTAGTGGAAAACGCGGAGAACGGCCTGAACCTTTTTTTCCAATTTTTGTGTTTCTCAATTTTTTTGTCATATTTTTCATTATTGTTCTTGTTTCTCGCAAAGGTTCAATATCATCATATTGTACAGTTCACCTTAGTGTCTGCGAAGAAAAAAAGTACCAGATGGTAAGGTGAAGCCCTTTTTTGTGCTTTTTTGTTTTTGCTGTTGTTCGTTTATTTTTTTGTTGTCTTCAAACTCCAGTTCAGTGTAAAGACCCCTCAATAGCTCATTCCAAAAATCCTTGTTTGGGCATCTCAAAGTGCAAAAGTCAATTTTTGATTAAGGAAGAGATGAAAGAAATATTGACTTTTAATAGTTTCAAATGACTTCTGACTTTTTAGAAATCTTGGCAAGTTGATGTGAATCGACTATCCCCCTTTCGTGGCCCTTTTTTTGATGTGTTTTTTTGTGTTTTCTGTTTGGTTTTGTGAAAAATCTCAAAAAAATTCGAAAAAAATTCAAAAAAATTTGAAAAAATCCAAAAAAAACCTTTTGCAAATGTTTTTTTCCATTATTTTTTTGTGTTTTTTTGTGTTTTCTTGAGATGAATTGGTATATTGTAAAGACCCTTTCTATAGTCCATTCCAAAATCCTTGTTGGGGCATTTCAAAGTGCAAAGTCAAGATATGCAGGAGCTCGACATGATAAGCCGAAGCGAGATTTTTTTTTCGAATATCTGAAGACTTCTGACTTTTAAAAGTCTCAGCAAGTTGATGTGAATGGACTATCACCCTTTTTCGGCCCGTTGTGTTGTTTTTTTGTTTTTTGCTTAGGTCAATATTCCCGGTGGGTGTACAGTTTTCTTCTTTTGTTTTCTTGTTTGTTTTCTGTCAATCTTCTGTTCTTTTTTGCTCGTTCTTTTCTCTGTTTCTTCACGTCTTGATTGTCAATAAATATTGCACTTGGGAATTTCGGCGTTTGGATGAAAAAAAAGCATCGAGTTGGTCGAGCAGATCTGACCTGAGAGTCGCACAGTCATTCTTAAAGACTGCAAATATGAGGATCATTTTTATCTGCCAAGTTAAACTTGAGAATTTGAAATTCTTACCTTTCAGCTATTTATAGAATAAGCTGATTTTTCCGCGAATCTAACGGTTCTAGAAAAGGTCGAAAACCTTAGAAAATTTTAAAATTTTGTTCGAGAGCTTAAAAATCTCCAAAGCTTTGCGTTTTCCCCCTATCTTCTTCTTCTTACGCCTTTGTACCGCTTGAGCGGCGTCGGCGTCCCAAGTCGATTAATCGAGGTCCTATCCTGATATCAGTGGACTGGCTCGAGTGACATATCCGTCCTTGTGTGTGACGGCTGGGGATTATGAAGTCGTGGTTTCCCACTACCAACATTTTTTAAACCCCTTGGTTGGGTCGGGGCGGGGATCGAACTTGTGGCCCTGTGGACCGTAGACAGGCACACAACCTGTTGCGCTACGGCGCGCCCTGCGTTTTCCCCCTAAACGATTCAAAAAAAAAATAAAAAGTCCTGATGAATCAGAATACGTTCCAAAATTATCTTGGTTTATTCAAATTAGAAGTAGTACCTTTAAGGCTGCTTGAGCAACTTTCTAGATATTTCAGAAACTAAATAAACCCCCCTCCCCATTTGGCAAAACTTTGTTTTCAAAAAGAGCGTCGGAAATTCAAATACGTGGCAGATCGTACCACGCATCCATTCCCACATCGTAAAAAGCGGTCTGTTTTGAGCAACCAAATGAGAAACACATTATTCCGACTGTTTGGTTTCCTTACTCACAAAGAAGGAGCGCCTTGATTGGTTTCGCTTGATTTCGCCGCCTGCGAAAGTTACGTGGATTCAAAAGGAAAAGGGCAAAGTTGTTATAAGTAATGGCCTGTGGTGTGGTGAGAGCGAATCTTTGTTGTTTTTCAAGTGAAATTTTGAAATTTTCTGAAAGTTGAATCATTTTCTGTTTTACCCTTTTGATCATAACTTCAAACGAATCAGGAAAACTATTGCAAAATTTTTGAGCTTTATCAAAAAAATAATTCGAAGGCAATCATAATTTTGATCGAAATCAAGTTTAATTTTGAAGTTCATCGCGACCGTCTCAAAATGACGCTGGAGTCAATAGTTTACTAACAAAATCCTTTTACTTTTCCAAAATTCCGTTCATTCGATTTTTTTTTGCTCATGCTTCTCAGAAGGAATTCAAAGATGTTCTCCTTGCGGCTCTGTTGCGGTTCAAATTCCCATTTCCTAGAAGGTTGCATCATCGAAACTCGCCGTTGTTTGAATTACGCCATCGGCCCCAGTCTCAGACGTCTTTTGAAGTTCCGACGTTCACATTTGGTTTTCTTTGGACTCCGACATCGTCTGAAGCTCCGTCATCTACATATGGTTATTTCTTGGTGGGCTACGTCTTCTGAAGCTTCGCCGTACACATGTGGTTTTTTCTTGGTCTGCAACGTTTTGCGAAGCTCCGCCGTCCACATATGGTTTTTTCCGTCTCCGACGCCATCTGAAGCTCCGAAGTTTACATGTGGTTATTTTTTGGTCTCCGCCATCTACATATGGTTTTTTCTTGGTGAGCTACGTCTTCTGAAGCTCCGCCGTAAACATGTGGTTATTTCTTGGTCAACTACGTCTTCTTAAGCTCCGCCGTGAACATGTGGTTTTTTCTCGACGCCCTCCGAAGCTCCGCCGTACAGATGTGGCTATCGGAATAGAACCTTATGAAGAGTCTTTTGTATTCTGTTTACATTTGACTAGCGGCGCCCCATATTGTTTTTTCTTGGTTTCCAACGTTTTCCGAAGCTCCGCCGTCCACATATGGTTTTTTTTGTCTCCGACGCCATCTGAAGCTCCGACGTTCACATGTGGTTATTTTTGGTCTCGGCCGTCTACATATGGTTTTTTCTTGGTGAGCTACGTCTTCTGAAGCTCCGCCGTAAACATGTGGTTATTTCTTGGTCAACTACGTCTTCTTAAGCTCCGCTGTAAACATATGGTTTTTTGTCTCCGACGCCTTTTGAAGTCCCGCCGTTCACATGTGGCTATCGGAATGGAACCTTATGAAGAGTCTTTTGTATTCTGTTTACATTTGACTAGCGGCGTTTCTTTTCATCTTCTGGACAAGCAAGGGAGTGAATCTCAAAGTGCTCTATTGACATTAAAAAAATAATTCTATCAAAGCGCCATCCGAAGAAATAGAGGGAATAAATGATTTTTGATGATAGTCCTTCAAGGATTATGTAAAAGCATTTCAAAGTTTTCTCATGACCCGTTTATTGTTGACTCAGAATTTTCATCAACTTCATCCTTCCCATTACAAATGTATGAGAAAAAAATAAGTTATTCATGAAAAAAATGGTTTTCAACAATTTTCACACCATCTGCTGATTATCTGGCACGAAAAATGATTGGGGTTCTCATTCTCACGATGGTAGCTTTCTCCGACACTATTTGTTCAGAATAGACGTACGGAATCGGCAGAAGACGCTTTTTTGAATTTCCAACGGTCACATGTGGTTTTTGAAATGGAACCTTATGGAGAACCTTGTGTACTCTGTTTACTTTTGGCTAGCGGAATCTCTATTGATCTTCCACACGGGTTACGGTTTTCTGCGCGTCCCCGCTAGCCATTGTCTACCTTTTCCATTGTCTTCATGTCGAATGTTCTGAAGAAAATTTGAAAATGAACAGAAAAAGGGGAAGGGAGCGGGCAGATGGCAAGTTTGGTATGGAGGGGTGGACATCTGCCGTTTTATTCATCAGTCTAGGTATCCTGAAAAAGTTGGTATCCATAGAGCAGCTGGCAAGTTTTATTGAAGAAAATGGTAAGGCAGATGGATCTTGATATTTTTTTCGAAACTTTTCACATCTGCTGAGATTTTTAGTTTGAAGCTTCTCTAAATGTGCACGGTTGAACCTATATTTAAATACTTTAAGTCATTGAGGCGATTTGAAAAAAAGAAAAATGTTCAAAAAAATTTTGTTTTCATTTTTTTAAGACTCTCAGATAGGTTGAAAAATGACAGAAATCAACATTTTGATATTTTATCGCTCCTTCAACACGGGAGAAATCCAATCTCTGAATTTCCACTTCCTTGGAATTTTTTTTTGATGGTGAAATAGAAGTGTACAGATTCTCTCTTCTATGAGTCCAATATTTTGCTCGTAAGCCTAAATTTTTTCTCGCTTTTGCAGACGTTTGGGCTTGAAAAACGGCGTGGAAAGGGAAGACGTGGCCTGTCCACTCACGTGCGAAGCTACCGTAATCCGTTCTGCGCAAGGAGGCGGTGCTTGGGCAGCGTTGCTTTCCGTTCACTCGCCACTTGGTCATTCGGCCTAAAAATTCTCTCCCTTTCATTTCTCCTCTTTCGTCTTCTTTTTTCATCTCGTTTCTTGACGATTTCTTATCAAGCTTTGACTATTTTATTCTTGATTTTTCAGTAATCCCTCGTTCTTGGCCCCGAACCGCACAACACCGGCCTCCAGATGACGTTCTGATTTTGCAGTTGAGCATCATTTTGCGATGCAGGTAATGAAGATTTTCCTCGCATTAACACATTCAATCTTAATTATTTCAGAAATTTTTCGACGTCTTTTCTGAAGCCGGAGAGCCGAAGCCATGTCGACGACTTTTTGGAAACGTCTTCCGCGCGTTTTTCGTCGTTGGGACCGACCTTTGAAAGCGTCTTCAGAGCCGTGACTCGAGGTACGATTTTTCTATATATTCATTACAGGAATGAGTAGTGAACTTTTGAGGAAGCTGGTTCAAAATCTGAGAGAATTCTGAAAATAATTACAAACAGTTTTTTTGAACAAAAAAACTTCGTTTTTTCGAAAAATTTCTACCAAGCGTCTGAAGTGATCATCGCAGATTTTATTCAAAACTCATTTTTTAAAAATCACAGAAGGGAACTGCGCGAGTTCGTATTCGCGGATCGAGTTCAATCCTTGGTGGTTTATAGACCCGGGTCAGGATACTCGAAATCAAAGGAGAATAATTGCTAAACTTGATGAGGTACCGAGAAAAATCTTGTTGGAAATGGACTCAAGAAAATTCAGAATACTGCTTTTTCCCTTATTTTATTTCTCCTTACAATCGCCTGGAATGGTTTGGCTACAAGAAACATAAAAAAACATTTATCTAACGAAAAAGGTGGAGATTATCAGTTTTTCAAGCCTGCTCTACCCATTTTTCACAAAAATTTTTTTTTTGTGTTTTGCAGATAATCTCTCTCGATTTCAAATATCCTGACCCGGGTCTATAAACCACCAAAGTTTGAACTCGATCCGCGAATACGAATTTGCGCAGTTCCCTAGATGGATATGAGTACTCAAAGCGTAGCGCAACAGGTTGTGTGCCTGTCTACGGTCCACAGGGTCACAAGTTCGATCCCCGCCGCGACACAACCAATGGGTTTAAAACATTTTAGTGGTAGGAAACCACGAAATCAAAATCCTAGCCGTCATGCACACGGAAGGATTTGTCTCTAGCTCTGGTTACATGATTATCGCTGATTATCACTGCTGTCTGGATAAAATCTCATCTAATCAACTTGGAACGTTTACGCCGCCCAAGCACTACAATGGCGTGAACAAAAAAGATGAAAATCCTCGAAAATGAAAAAAAAAACCTGACGTCATAAAGCATCCGGAAAAACAGTGCCGAATCACACCTACAGGATATATTTCTTCTCCTTCCGACGCCGTTGTACCGCTTGAGCAGCGTCGGCGCCTCAAGTTGATTAACCGAATTCCTATCTTGATACCTGAGAACTGGCTCTAGTGACATGTCCGTCCTTGTGTGACGGCTGGGGATTTTTGAAATCGTGGTCTCCCAAAACCAACATAACTCCTTGGTTAGTTCGAGGCAGGGATCGAACTTGTGATTTTGTGCGCCGTAAACCAAGTTTTCCATGCGCAAAGAGTACTGTATGAGAGCATTCTGTTTCAGTTTACGATTAAGAGCCATAAAACTCAATTACCTATCGAATCGGAGGGCTCCATGATAAAAAGAACAGCATTCGGTCTAGGTTGGCCATAAAATTAGTTGAATGAAGCGGAAAGGAGAGTTCAGAACTGATAGGGTTCAATGAAAACTTGAAGTCAAAATAATTTCTCTTCGTGATAAAAATTGAGTTCAAAATTTCGAGAAATGGAAGACAATTTCTAGTTTATGCTACAAAAACTAGAAAGTTCTAAATCTGGACAGGAAAAGCGTAAAAAGTTTTTAGAAGAACGGTTTTTATACAATCGCAATAGAAAAAAAAGGTCAAAAAACCCTTTCTTGATCAAACTTTTTTGTGTGGAGTTCAATTTTTATGGAACTCTCTGGAGCTGTGAAGTCTAGTATTTATGACTCACAGGCAAAAATACACTTTGCAGAAAAAACCTGATTCAGTTTTACGGACGAAAAAACCGATTTGTCAGAAAACAAAAAAAAGTTGATTCATGTTCAAAAATAAATTTATAAAAAATAGGACGGATTTTTTACTTCAAATTTTTTTTTGCGTGTGACTGAAACCTGTCGGTGTGGTTTAGCATTTTTTGGCTGGTTTTCAACTACTTCCAGTTCAAAAAAGCTTGACTTGAGAACCCCTCGTTTGAGTTTGATATATTGCGCCTTGAAAACGAAGAAATCAAACTCAAACGAGGGGCTCTCAAGTCAAGCTTTTTTGAACTGGAAGTAGTTGAAAACCAGGCAAAAAATGCTAAACCACAACGACAGGTTTCAGTCACACACAAAAAAATTTGAAGTATAAAATCCGTCCTATTTTTTATATATTTTTTTGGACAAAAATCAACTTTTTTTGTTTTTTTAATGAATCGGTTTTTTTCGTTCGTAAAACTGAATCAGGTTTTTTCTGCAAAGTGTATCTTTGCCTGTTAGTCATAAATACTAGACTTCACAACTCCAGAGTCCCAGAAAAATTGAAATCCACACAAAAAAGTTTGATCAAGAAAGGGTTTTTGGCATTTTTCTGTTGCGATTGTATTAAAATTAGTTTTTTTCTAAAAAAACTTTTTCACGCTTTTTTTCTTTCAAGGTTCAGAACTGTCTAGTTATTGTAGGAAAAACTAGAAATTGCCATCAATTTCTCGAATTCCGGAACTTTTTTTTTTATTACGAAGAGGAATTTTTTGACTTCAAGTTTTCATTGAACCCTATCAGTTTTAAACTCTCCTTTCCGCTTCATTCAACTAATTTTATGATCAATTTAGTCCGAAGGCTGCCCTTTTTTTATCATGGAGCCCTCCGATTTGATAGGTAATTGAGTTTTATGACCATGAATCGTAAACTGAAAGAGAATGCTCTCATACAGTACTCTTCACGCTTGGAAAACTTTTTCTTGTCGGAGCACCAAACTTTCCAACCTTCTTAAACAAATTTCATGTTGGACAGTGAAACATAAATCTAACTTCAACAGTCTATTCTTCAGTTGTTGCCACGTTCTTCTGTTGTTATCCACCGCCACAACGACCTGCCAGCACCTGAACGACTTCCAAGCTAGTTTATTTTTTTATTTTTTTATTCATTTAATTCTTTCAATTCTTTTTTTCATTGACTTTTTTTGCCCCTCCCATTTTGTCTTGCTTGAAAAAAACTGTATTGAAGAAACAATTTGTACAGTTTTTTTCCCTCAACGTTGCGGTTTCCATCCTTTGAAACCGTAATGTTGATTAATGATCTTTTTCTTTTTTAAACTTCATTTTTTTTCTTTTGTCTTCCAGCTTCCTCAAAAAAAGTAATTAAAATTTTATTCTGTCTAGAGAAGTCTTAAACTTCTCTATTTTTGAAAATTTTCTGATTTTCTGATTTTGAGGAAGCTTTTATTGCGGCTGCTCATCATGTCCTGATTTTTTTCGAGAACACTTTTTGAAAAAAATTTGGAAATTTCGAAAAAAACTAAAAAGTTCAGAAATCCAAAAAAACGACTTTTCTAATTTCCCGGTGCTATATGGGGCAAATTCTTCTTTTTATTTTTTTCGATTTTTTTGTCAATTTTTTTCTTCTAAAAATTTCTGTTGTCCAATCAAAGAGAGAAGTCTTAAACTTCTCTCAATATGAGGAAATTTCATACTGAGAACATTTTTTTCGAGTAAACCTTTTTTTCTGGCTCTCTCTCTCATCCGATATTTTTGAATTTAGAAAATTTTTGAAAAAAACCTGAGAAAAAAATTTAAAAAAACGAAAAAAATCCAAAAAAAGTTTTTTTACTATCATCAAACAATCTCGGTGCGTTCATTCTGGTTATTTGTTTTCTTTATTTTTTTAAAAAAATTATTTTATCCGCTCATTCGCTCCCGGCATACTCTTTCTGATTCCTTTTTATAAGTTTTCCTCGAGAATCTTTTATTTTTTCTCCTTCATCCACTCCATCCAATATTTCCATTAATTTGCCCTTTTTCTTATTATCTAAAGTATTTAAATTATTTTATATTTACCCTTCTCCAGTCGTGAAGCATACTTTCAAAGATCTTATTCTTTTTTTTTGTACATTAAAGGAGATTCCTCGGACTTTTGAATTTTTTTTCAGAAAAAAGAGAAGTTTGAAACTTTTGAGGGCTTTAAAAGTCTCAAACTTTTCTCTGGAAGAAGTACACTGTTTTAATAAGATTTTAATAATCACAAGGTTTCGAGGAAACTTTTTTAGTCTTCTTTTGCCTTTAATACTTTCCCTACACTTGCATTGAACCCCCAAAACATTATAATTTGAAAAAAACCCAAAAAAATTCAAGTCCACAGCTGGACGAAAAAATTTAAAAAAAACCTCAAAAAAAATAATAAATTCCTATGAATCTCAATCCCGGTCACAATTTTTCGCAACCTTTTTTGAAAGTAATTTAAATAGTTTTATATTTACCCCTCTTCAACTGTGAAACATTCATTTTTATTTCTTTTTATTCTTACAAAGAGTTTCCTCGAACTTTTCTTATTTTTCCCGTAAAGAGAGAAGTTTGAGACTTCTGAAGCCCTTAAGAAGTCTCAAACTTCTCTTTGAGTAAAAGTAAACTGTTTTTTTGATACAATTAAGATGATCATGATATATCGAGGAAACTTTTTTTGTTCTTCATATTAATCTTCTTTCTTTTTCTCGGGTCAAGAATCAGCCTCATCGTACCCTCAAAACATTATAATCCCAAAAAACCCCAAAAAAATTCAAGTCCACAGCTGGACGAAAAAATAAGAAAACCCCTAAAAAAAAACCTCTGAATCTCGATCCCGGTTTAATTGTTTTTTTAATCATTCTGGAATCTCCTGTTTTGTTTTGTACAAAGAGTTTCCTCGAAATTTTAAGTTTTTTTGGAAAACGGAGAAGTTTAAGACGTCTGAAGTTCTGAAGAAGTCTTAATTTTTCTCTTTGAGTAAAAGTAAACTGTTTTTTTGAGGATATTTTGATAACTTTTTCGAGGAAACTTTTTTTCTGTTTTTTTTATCAAGCCCATATTATTAAAAAAATTGTCAAAAACCCAAAAAAATTAAAATAAAAAAACCCCCAAAAAAATTATTTTGAATCTCGAGAAGTGTCTTTTATTGTCATATTTTTTTCAATCTCATTTTCAAAAAAATTTGGGTCAACTTTCTTGTTTCTTTTTTTATTTGTAAGAGAAGTTTCCTCGATGTTTAAAAAAATGAATTTTTGTGAAGAGAGAAGTCTCAAACTTCTCTCTGGAAGAAAGTAAACCGTTTTTTTGATAATATTTTGTAGTTTTACTTTTTTTCGAGGAAACTTTTTTTGTTGTATTGCTAAAAAAATTTCTAAAAACCCAAAAAAATTTTTAAAAAAATTGTTGTTTCATTTTTAAATCTCAACCCCGGTTGATCTTTTTGCCACTATTTTTCGTTAAAAAAAGTTTCCTCGAAGTTTTTAAACTTAATTTTTTAAAAGAGAGAAGTCTTAAACTTCTCTCTGGAAGAAAGTAAACCGTTTTTTTGATAAGATTTTTGAGAACTATAATTTTTTTCGAGGAAACTTTTTTTGTTGCTTCTCATCATGCCTATAATGTAAAAAACCCTGAAATCCCAGAAACCAGAACAAAAACAATGAGTTCTAAACTTTTTCGGTACATATCTTTCTAACCGGACTTCCTATAGATCTTTTTCGCCTGAAAAGGCTGGGTCAATAAAAAAACTTAAATGGACTTCTATTCTCGGTGAAACTTTGATTGTTACCTTTTTTTGTTCCTATTTTTTTATCTTACTTCAATTGTCAATGTTTCATCAAAAACCTCCAAAAAAATCAAAAAATATCAAAAAAACCCAAAAAAACCCCAAAAACCCAAGAGGACTAAGTAACCCGGTATTTTTTTGCTTTTTTTATTATTGTATCCTCGTCATTTATCGAAATCAGTTGTTAGTTGTTATTGTTGTTATTTTTTTGTTGTTATCTTCATTTTCTGTTTCAAAAACATTATAACCCTAAAAAAATCCAAAAAAATTAAGAACTAAATATAAAGTTCGAAAAAAATGTTAAAGCCCAAAAAAATTCAAAAATTCCAAAAATCCAAAAAAACTTCTATTTGATTTATTGTTTGTTGTTTCCATCTATCCTTTTAACCATCTCATATTCATGCATTTCTAGTTTGAAAAAAGTTTCCTCAAATGTATTTAATAAAAACGAAATAAAGGGAAGTCTTAAACTTCCCTGATAGCGTTAAATTCATTTTTTTTTGAAGGAGGACTTGAGGAAACTTTTTAGATGAATTAGTTTTTAGCCGCTGTTGTTGTTGTTTTTCCTCCTCTGTTCCAAAACATTATAATTCAAAAAAACCCAAAAAATCAAGAACTAAATATAAAGTTCGAAAAAAATTTAAAAAAATCCCAAAAAAATTTAAAAAAACTAGAAAAAAACCCAAAAAGAACTTCTTTTTTTAATTTTTTTGTTGTTTTTCATTTATCCTTCTATTCATCTCATATTTATTCATTTCTAGATAAAAAAAAAACTTCCTCAAAATTATTTCATGAAAACGAGATAAAGAAGAAGTCTTATACTTTTTCGAAAGCATTGAATTCAATTTTCGAGTTTATTTTGAGGAATTTTTTTTTGCTTAATTAGTTTTTAATTGTTATAGTCAATTTTTTTCCCGATTTGAAAGGAGAGGGAGGCTCAGAAAGCGGTTCTTGGCACGAGTTCAATTCAATAGCCAGCGACTATTTTGAAGGCTTTTTCTACCGCTCTTTTTCATGCATTTTTTTAAATGTTATATTGACTTATTTTTTTGTTTTAAAAAAATAATAGAACAGATCCAAAAAAAGCGGTGACCGAGCTTTTTGAATAGCCGGTGATGTTTAAAGGAACTTGGGCCAAAAAAACCGCGTACATGTCCCCCATTTCTCAGCCTCCCTCGCCTTTCAAATCGGGAAGGATTGACTACTTTTTTGTTATTTTTGTCAAACCCGGTTTTGTTCTAAAACATTATAACCCTAAAAAAACCTGAAAAAAATTCAAGAACTAAATATAAAGTTCGAAAAAATTCAAAAATCCAAAAAAAATCAAAAAACTAGAAAAACAAAAAAAAAATTGTCCTACTTGCATTCTTTCTCTGTTGTTAACTTCGTGTGAACTTTTCTCCATTCTTAAAAAAATGTTCACTCATTTCTGTTTCTTTTCTTTGTTATCAAAATGCTCTTTTTGGAATTTTCCCGTAGGAGAGAGAGCCCAGAAGTTGAAAAAAACCTTTTAAAAAAATGTTGCACCCTCAATTCTTGAAATCAATCTTGGTTTGTTGAAAAGTTTTTCTTTTTTTCTTTCAAGTTGGTTTGAAATCGAGAAATAATAGAGTTTTTTTATATAGAAAAATCAATCTTTTGAGAAGATGCATTTTTGAATGCAACAAATTCTGACTCAATTTTTTTAGTTTCTTTATTGCATTCATCCAAAATGGTCATGTGAGTAGTCCAAGCCTTCTGGAACTTTATTAAGTCATTGGTAGGAACTTTAGAAATTGAATCTGAGTCAAGATTCTTTTTCTAAAGCTTAAGTCCCGTTAATGTCGATACGCTTTACCTTTTATTGTTGTTCGTGTTCAATTTTGCCTTGGGAGGGGCACATTGTTGTTTTCATCGTTTATTTCATTATTTTTTTTTTGCGGAAGTCTTCAATTGTTAGTAGTACTGTGGTGTTGAATAAATTGTTGTAATGTTGATTAGCGTATTTGAAAAAAACACACAAAAAGGTTCGTAATTGAAATTTTCCAGGTAGAACAGGCTTTGATGAATAATCCAAAGGCCAGAAGTTTAAAATTCAAAAAAGAAGAGTAATGACCGTGAACTCTTGTTAAAAACTCGGAAAAAGTGCTCCAGTTCAACCTCACTCTGGATCATTCGCTTATTTTATCTATTAAGAACATATTGAGTTCATTACTCATAAAGTAAGCTCCAATTCAAAACTTTGCTGTTTTTATAAGCTGGTCGGTGTCAATTACATATTTATTCGACGTGGGTCATCCTCCCAGATGATGCGTAATCGAATATCAATGACCGAGTTGAGTTATCCTCCAACAGGTGTGGACAAATCTGCGCCAGACGACATCCGACTCCCGCCTTGTCAGCCTCAATCTGCTCTCGGATGAAAAATAAACAGAGCCATTGTTAAAGATTGACTTTTTTTCTTTTTTTTTAAATAAAGGAGGTTATTCATCCTTTCTCATTTTAATAAACAAACTTTACTGAAATCATTGACAGGGCTCTGAAAATAAGATCTGGGAAACATTCAACATTTCTGATCGCGGCGCCCAACTGTTGCAGTTTCTTTACAAGACAATTGCTCGTTACACATCCCGGATAAAAAAAGCTGGAGGAGGCCAACTGCCGTTTGATTGATAAAAATGCACCGGCGAGCACAGCCCGGATCACAAAAACTGAGAAAATGTTTCCAGTTCTCTGCTTCCTCTTTTCTTATTTTCAAGATGAAAAAATGATCAGCAGATGATCCTTCAGGATTGGGAAACTTCAATAGTTTCAATGGAAACTCAATTAGGGATGATGGCACTGAACATGTAGATTTCCTCTGTACCGAAAAATCGGTGAATAACTACACCTCTGAGTCTTTGAGATTTACAAGAAAAGTATTTTCTCGAGATTTTCATATTTCTCAGATGTCCACCGCCGTTGAGTTGATATTTTATATTCTTTTTAAATTTTTTTTAGTCCTGATTGATTTCCGGTTCAATTTCCAAAAATTGCTAGTGATCAAACCATCGGAACGCTTTCCTTTTATTTTCAAATAAAAGCTTCAGCTTCTGGAAATCACTTTTGCGACAACCGCTTGATACACATCCCTGATAAAAAAGATTTGAGAGGCCACCTGCCATTTGATTCATCGAAATGCACCGGCGATATTCGCCTCCTACACAAAAAAAAAAGATTTTCTGTTCATTCACCGTTTTTTTGCTGTGAGATCGAAAATGTAGAAAAGGCTCCAGTATTTTAATCTCCAACTTCCATTCCTTCTTAAAAGTACTTCTTCTAAGCTGACTTTAAATTTGAAAAGGAAGAAAATTGCCACAAAAGTCCAACTCATCCGTTCCGAGCAAGATATAACTTTTTCTGACTTTTCAGTATTTTTCGAACAATTCATGACTTTCAAGTAATGGTTAAAAGTCAATAACGCTGAACTCAAAACGGTTTTTTTTTTCATTCGGAGAGAATTGGTTTCACTAAAAGTTCAAATTTTTGATAGTCATAAATGAAATCTCCTCAAATTGCTAGGTTTATTAAAAAAAAAGAGAACTATTTTACTACGCAAAAAAACTTCAAGTGCGAGTTTTATGCTGAACAATTGTTCGGTAGACATCTCTGATAAAAAATAGCCGGAGGAGGTCAGCTGCCGTCTGGTTTATCAAAATGCACCGGCGAGCACTTTTCAGTACACAAAACAAAAAAAAGTTTGCCTGCGATTCTCCGTTTTTTCTCTTGTCGGCAACTTTGTTATCGAAGATTGAAAAAGAAGAAGAAACAAGACCACGTTCGCTTCCTATAATTAGATTTGCATTATTGTTTCGTGGGTTACCATTGGAATTTGAAAGCTTCATTTTCAGTAGGACGCTGAAATCGTAGAGTTTACCTGAGCAGATAACAATTTTACAGAAAAAAATTTGAAAAAATCTTAGTTTCCTTCAAAAATTAATGAAATTCGAAGGATAGAAATTCTAAAAAGCAATGAAATGAGTGAGTCCATTGCAGTATTACCTAGTTATACCTGGTCGACAACTGATGGACTTTCCGGGAAAAATTTTTCAAAATTTGGCAAGGGCTTTTTTGAATCTTCCTGAAATCTTAAAGAAAAAATTTTTTATTTTGTTATTAAAAGCCATCAAGTGCCGGCGTTGGTTACTGAACAATTTCTTGGAATAGATTTCTGATTAAAAAGAGCAGGGGGGTCAGCTGCCGGTTGATTGATTCAAATGCACCGGCCAGGCTTCCCAGTACACAAAACAAAAAAAAGATTGCCAGATCGCCGTGGGTTTCAAGTTTCTTTCTACTGGGGGATTCTTTTCCTGAGATTCGGTAAGAACTAAGAAGATCAGGCAATCGGACTTTCAACTTTTACAACAAAAGACATGGTACTTCGTTCTTTTTCTGTTTATTTTTGTCAAAAACTAGTTTTCTTGAAATTTGATGAGAACCTTTCTGGCCAAGTTAAAATGGAATAATTGAACTTAAATAGGAACAACTCCAACACTTCAAATGTTTCCATCAGAAATGAATATTTTTGTTATCTCAGGGAGACGCTACATTTGAGAAAAATTCCAAAGCTGAGAGTTTTAAAAAGGATAGAAATTTTAAAAAAAGCAATATATTCACAAAAACGTCTTTTTTAGACTTCTAGTTTATCAAGGATTCATTCTCCAAAGCTTTTAATGAAAAAATTTTTTTTTTGAGAAACCAGTTTTTTCATTTGGTTAAACATTTTAAATTGAGGTTAAAACTCTGAAAATTCTATTCTTTCAAGTTTTTTTGTTTCTTAAAAAGCGAAAAAATCTAATTGTTTCCGGGAAACGTTTACTTTTTTTTTTTGATTGATGCCTCTAAGTGTTCTGGCTCCGTTAAAAACAGTGGCGCCGTCTCAATTGCTGAAAAAAAAAGCTGAAAGGTCAGCTTCTATCTTATCAGACGATTTGCCCGACGGGCACTACCAAGAACGCGAATGATGAAAATCTGCTTTGTTGTGTCTGCCAACTCATTCTCCTTTTGGTCAGGAGAGCATTATCTCTGATAATCTCATGGGCCAGGAAACACGAATTTTCGATGGTATGAAAAACCAGCGACTTTTCCGATTTTTTCCTATTGCAAGGGAACTTTTCGACGAATCTTTTTCCGACTTTTTTCCCTTATTTTTTCCGTATAACAAACCATCTATTAAAACTTTTTTTCAATTTCTTTGTGTTCAAATCATAAATCAACTACCTACTTTATATAGGAAGAAATGAAACAAAAAGTTAGAAAGTCGGATAGGATCAGTGGGAAACTTCTCCGTCGGATAGTTCCCTAGCGATATGAAAAAATAGGAAGTTGCCTTTTGAATTTTTGTTGGTTTTTTTTCCGTACCACCAATTATACTTTGGAACTCTAAGGGTCCCTATAGGGACAACCTTAAGGGCCCTTGGAGGCTAGAAACCACTTTACCAACCCCGTGTTTAGGGTCCTATAAGGAGACATGCTATTCAATAAATGTTATGAACTCTAAGCGAAAGAGCATTTCTATGGTAAAAGCTGAATAAATAAGCGTTTTCTTTTTGAATAAAATAGAGAGAGACCCTATAAGGTCTACTCGAGCTTCAGCAGCTGAGGGACCAGACCCTAAACCCCTATAAGAACCCCCACAATTTCACCTCTAAAGCGACGACTTTTTCAGCCCCCGGTTGTCGCCCCTTCAGGGACCACTCTGGATTTCCGAAGTATAGCAAGTTTTTAATTCATTTTTTTTTCTCCAGCTCGATTATGCATCTTTTTCAGTGGACAGCTTGGTGTGAAAGGGATTATCGAACTGTGAAAAAGCGTCTTCTTTCAATGAATCTTATGCTTCCTTGATATTTTTCCTGAATTCTTTCCATATCCGGATTGATCAGCATTGAAAGACCTTGAAGCAATTTAAGATCAGCTCTTCATCGACCTCTTTCACTGAAACTTTATTAAAAACATTTTCAACCCGAGGACGAAAATTTCGTTATCTTTTTGAAAAAATTCGTAGGCTGTTCTCCAATTATTGAGCAACTTTATGGATGCGATAAAAATTATCTTCTGATCATATTTCTTTGTTGATTGGGCCATTCAGATCAGAAAGAAACATCCTGCTTGATAATATCCTTTTGCAGACCTTCAATGGCTTTTTGATAAGCTCATCGGAAACGAACGAAAATTGCATCCTCTTTGGGTAACTTTTTATTTTTTCCCTATAGACTGATGACGCCTAAAAACCTTTTTTCTTCTTTTCAATAGTTGGAATATTGAGCTTTTCGCTTTCTCAATCTAAGACACAAAACCTTTTATTCTGAAAAAAGTTTTTTGTTAGACGTTTCCAGGAAGGGGAGGAGCGAACAGGCTTGGCCCCGCCCATTCGGAACGGGCGATACGTGAAACGTTCCATTGCAGCGATCCGTTCCTCATCCGCCTCCAATCGAATCATTTTTCTCTTTATTTCATTTTGGCATCCTTTTTCATTCTTTAGGCTCCCAAACTTTTCTAATACTTTTTTTTCGAACAATTTTTTTGGACCTGAAATCTCTTTTTTTCGTTTTGTTTTCTTAGAAAAAAATATGAAGTTTTTTTCAATGAAAAAGAAAAAAATTCTTCACGGAAAAAGCTTCACCCTTTTTTTCTATTTTTTTCAGTTTTTTTAGAAAAATTCTCGTGTTCTGTCTTCCGCGTCTGATTGAAACAGAGAGGAGTTTTGAAAAATTAAGTTTTTCAGATTCGACTCTCGAATGCTACCGAATTCTGACCCTCAGGAGGGTCAGCTGCGGGAATCGACTTTCGGGTCTCCGGCTGCTCGGGCGGTACGTTTTTTTTCAAACTATAACTCTTCTTTTTTTCATTCATTTTAAAATGAACTTGATAAAAATATGGATTTGAAAAAAATAAGATTAGGCCAATATAAATGACCTGACTTAACAGGCGATTCTCGGACTGCCGCTGCAGAGCTCAAACAAATTACTTTCCTTTTTTTCATCTCTTGAAAGCTGCGCGAAAAAGGAGTTTTCTTCAAAAAAACTTTTAAGGAAATTCCTGAAAAAAATGGGGGAGCAGGGTGGGTAAGGGGGAGAAAAAAAGCTTATTACGAAAAAAACTTTTTAAACAGTTCTTGTCCCATGTAAAGGCTTATAAAGTTATACCTTTATAAAACTTTATCTTAAACTTGATGTTTAGAATTAAACCTCCGTTCGAGAAACAATGAGACCGTTTTTATGGAATAATGAGAGAGCAACTTATTGTTCACCAACTTTTGAAATTAAAAAAAAATTGCGGTTAATAAGAATAAAGCGAACCTAACGACTTCGTTTCAGAAAATAAGACGAAGATTGTGAAAAAAAAATTGAGAAAGTAACTGCTCACAAAATGATACAACTTCTGAGAACTTGTCGAACTTCAATAGAAATATATGCACTTTGGAGTGCTATGAAGAAATTTATTATAACTTTTTGTCTATCAGTCAAGTTGTGGCGTCTCAGAAACTTTTTTTTCGAACAGCCATGACAAATTACGGACTTTAAAGCGCCAAAGCTCGACTGAAAGACAGAGAGCGGGAAAAATCGCTTGGGGATTAGATGCTGGGTGGTCTAAATAATGTCCCAGCTGACTGGGGTTTGTTCTCCAAAGATTGAAAATTGGAAACTCGCAGATTGGTAGGCCTAGGTAAGAAACAGGAAAAAGATTTTGCAAGACCCTATAGGTCGAGGAAAAGCTCGTCGAAAGTTTTTTAAAGCGTTTATTTCCTCTATTCTTACGCTCGGAGCCGACGGCTTGCCACTGACGGCGTGGCAAAATGGAAAAGATTTTGTGCATGTCCCCGTGACCAAGGTTCGAACCCTCATCGCGGAAATACTTTTCGCCGACTCAAAAATTTTTTATTCACGATTCAAACATATATAGAACATAAAGGGGCCTCGTTTTCGCAGAGTTTCATCACATACTTTTTTTACAACTGAAACACTAGTAGTCTCAAAAAACATGGGTTTAAAAACCGTAGAAACTCCTGGAAAGCATGAGAGTAGTTTATTTCCTATTTCAAAATTTTTCTAAAAAAAAATTTGAAATTATACGACAGATGTAGTCATGAACAGGCCAGAATTTTTTTTCAAAAATATTCGAACCACAGTTCTAGTTTTGACTGTGCGCAAGACCACTACCACTTCACCATCCCGTCAGTTGTTGGCTGGAGATTACGAGTGCTGGATTACATCCTCTGAGCTTCGATGAGCCTTTCTCGGCCTCTTGAAAAGTCCATCTTATTTTTACTTTTGTTCTCGACTACTCCATACTCGGCCCACCAACCTTCCAATTTTCATTTCTCAACTTTTTATCGATAGTAGACTTGAAATAGCGCTTTTTTGTCATAAAAAACTTCCTTCAGTGAAAATTTTTCGGCAAAGGAACAATTTTTGAGGCACCAGAAGAAGATTCGGAATGTTTAAACCTGCTAATGTCCTAGTTACTGAGAAAAGACAGCTCAACGACGAAGAAAACCCAAAAAAAAACGCTTCAAATCGGCTATTTTGGGCTTAAGGCCACTATTTCTTGAAAATAAGAAGTTTTGCAGATTGATTTTGGGTTGAACTATGAAGTTCAACATGTGAAGGATTTTTTTCACAATTTTCCCGAAACAAATTTTTATTGGATTATTGGCAAGAAAACTTTAGAACTATAAACTATAAGTACAATCAAAGAAAGTTTTTTCAAATAATATATGAATCATACTTTCTCAGGAAAAATCGAGCTACCGGAGTGCTACTCCAACTAATCCCCTATAAATGTGCAACAGTTTGGTCGTTCGAACTTCAGCGTTTTGGAACGATCGATTTGTTCGTTAAATTTTCATTTTTCTTCGAAAGTTGCTTTTTCTCAGGGCAACAACCGCATCGGTTGGAAGTCATATCGACTTCGAATTTATCGGATTTGAAAACAGATTTGGCTTTTCTTTCAAAGTTAAGGTGAGTGAACTTTAAATGACGAAATGGACTCTTTTTTTATGACTTCTACTTCATAAAACTCTGCCCATATAATGATTTTGTCTTTTTAGAGGATACTCAAAACGTTCACATACAAGCCGCCTGGCATATTGGCCGCAACACTTAAGCGATATGAAATACTGGTTGGTTTATTTGCTAGAGCACTTTTGAAATTATGGCTTGTGTCTAGATTGAAACAGAGCTGCGAATGAGTCCATTGGAAAAATTTTTGCGGCTTGGGTATACCATCATTCAGCACGACGATTTGGGACCAATATTTGCTGAAAATTCGGTTATTTTATTTTTCAACTTTTAAGAAAGCTATTGTTTTCAGTCAAACAAAGGACAAACAAAAGTCAAAGTTTTTAAGAATAGAGAGAGAGTCAGTTCAATTGAGATTTTTTGTTCATGTCAATATTTTGATACACGCATGGCAAAAATACAGGTAAAAAAAGATAAACTATATGAGTAGCTTGGGCGCACTTTCAATATTACTAAAATCCAAAAAAGATTTTTGATCATTTATCTCATTTATCGAAAAATTTGTTTTTCATTTTGAAGGGTACTGAAAAAAAAACAATTTCCCAGTTTTTGAACAGCAAACTTATCGAACTTACTTGGACTTTCTTCATTTTTTCCCTTTCACGATGAAGAATCTTCGAGGCACTGAGAAATCTTTGTAAAATCTTTTCAAGATACGAATCATGAGGTTTTTCTTGATTTTTCCTCTCATAGCTTGAAAAAGGAGAAAATTGGTTGACATTGATTTGATTCTTAGGGTTTATCAATTTTCAGATTCGCCTAGAGCAGGATCAGAACTCTGGAAAAATGGAGCTGTTTTCCTATCTGCACAAGAAGATATTAGTGAGACTGGGAGTCCGAGTGAAAACTGTGCCGAAGGCGGTCATCGACAGCAACGCATCGATAACAGAGATAGATGATTGCTGCGTGTTCGTAATCCTCAAGATCCTCGCGACCGTCGAGGTTCATTTTTTTTCTCATTGGGCTCTTCAGTTAAGATCGAATGAGAAAACTTAAAAGTGAAAAATCCCATTTTTAATTTTCAGCCTAGTTCATCGCAAAGTTAAAATGATCCTATCGTCGATTGCCAATACTTGACGTTTTCTTTTAATTCTTTCTTCTCTAATTAGCTATATCAGCTACAAAGTTTTTAGAAAAAAATCGACTTTATTTATAGAGTTTCTACAGCCAAAAAAATGGGACAAATATTGTGAAAAAAACACTTAATTTTATCAGTTTTGTAAATTATTTCTTTGAGTTGTGTTAGGGAAGCTTCAAGAAAGAGAAAAGGAAAAAGAAATGAAATTAAACTTGAAAAAAGGCTGAAAAACCAAAGATATTTTTTTTGGCAATCATTCAATTTAACAGTTTTGGTTTTTCGCTTCAAAGTGTTGTTTTATAACTTTTTTTTTGGGGAAATCTGATTTTATTAAAACATTTTTTGCAGTATATACAAAAGAAACGCGAAGTCCAGAAGAATGTGAGTTTTCACAAACGTCAGAAAAAAATAATACTCAAAAATATATTTCATAATAGAAAAAAATAACAAAATATCATCTTTTTTTCAATTTTGAAAATGACAATTTTTGGAACAATGAGCAAAAAAAGTTTTTCTTTCCAAATTTCAAGGTTTAAATAAAATATCTCACTCTTTTCTCAAATTTTCCGTTTTTTTGAACTGTTGCAATATTTGTTTCACCATTATTCTTAAAACTCTGGTAAATTTGTTAATGATGCTGAAGTTGGTTCTCTAATAGGCCATTCTGACTTTTATCTGTCATTCACCTTCGTCAGCCAGAATTATCAAAGAATCACGTCTCAGACTCGCCAGGAGGATCAGCTTCAAGACAACACGTCTCCGAAAAGTTCAGCGGACCAAGGAACGCCGTCTCACATTGGAGAAAACGTTGGCGCTCAAAGCACCGGGATGTGCGTTTGGAAAGAGTCAGAAAAGTTTCCGAAGCCATTGGAACAAAAAATTTTGTTGCGTTCCTCTTCCGCCTTATTCTTTAGGCTCCCAAACTTTTCTAGTTTTTTTTTCGAACAATTTTTCGGGGACAAAAACTCGAAAAATGTTTGCAACCAGAAATCTCTTTTTTTCGTTTTATTTTTTTTGAGAAAAAATATGAAGTTTTTATAAAAAGAAAAAAATCTACACTGTAAAGCTTTACCCTTTTTTCCAATTTTTCAGTTTAAAAAAAATCCTCGTGTTCTGTCTTTCGCGTCTGATTGAAACAGAAAAAACACTTAGAATAACTGACGAGATAAACGCAAGGTCGGTGGCGGTACATTGAACTCGCAAAAATGTCGTTTTTTTTTAGGCGCGATCTCGCATTTATCTTGCATTTCAGAAAATTTTCGAATTGCGAGAAAAAAAAGCGAGATGTTTGCGAGCTCGTCAATGTACCGCCAGCGTCTCGCGTTTATCTCGGCAGTTATTCTTAGTGGAGTTTTGAAACATTTTTTCAGATTCGACTCTCGAATGCTACCGAATTCTGTCCCTCAGGAGGATCAGCTGCGGGAATCGACTTTCGGGTCTCCGGCTGCTCGGGCGGTACGTTTTTTTTTTCAAACTATAACTCTTCTTTTTTCATTTCTTTTTGATGAATTTGATAAAAATATGGATTTGAACTTCAAAAATCTTTGCATCGTTGATAACGGCTGCAATAAAAATCTCTAAGCCTATCCTTTTTGATGGCTAATTGTTCCGTTGATGAATTGGCTAGTTTTTAACAAACTAGGATAATAGATTGTCAGTATAAGGACAAAACGGAAATGTTGACTAATTTTTCGAAGTTTCGTACCAGTATTGAGACGTAGATGTAAACTTTTGTAAGCAATAAAATTTTCTAAGCTTATCCTTTTTTGATAGCCTATATGTTCTCGACTACTCTTTACTCGGCCCACCAACCTTCAAATTTTCAATTCTCAACTTTTTATCGATTGTAGACTTGAAATAGCGCTTTTTTGTCATAAAAAACTTCCTCTAGTGAAAATTGGTCGGCAAAGGAACAATTTTTGAGGCACCAGAAGAAGATTCGGAATGTTTAAACCTGCTAATGTCCTAGTTACTGAGAAAAGACAGCTCAACGACGAAGAAAACCCAAAAAACGCTTCAAATCGGCTACTTTGGGCTTAAGGCCACTATCTCTTGAAAATGAGAAAGTTTTGCAGATTGATTTTGGGTTGAACTGTTCAACATGTGAAGGATTTTTTCACACTTTTCCCGAGACAAATTTTTATTGGATTATTGGCAAGAAAAACTTTAGAACTATAAACTATAAGTACAATCAAAGAAAGTTTTTTTCAAATAATATATGAATCAACTTTCTCAGGAAAATCGAGCTACCGGAGTGATAATCGGATTCCGTGACTGTGCAATAATTTGGTCGTTTGAAATTCAACGTTTTGGAGAGAGGATTTTGTTTGGTCAACTTTTACTTTGATTTTAACGCTGATTTTTTTCAGAAAAACAAAACAGATGGCAGGAGACTACATCGAATTTGAATATGAAAAAGTGGATTCGAATTTTGGCTCTTTTTTTAGAATTGAGGTGTGTGAACTTTAAATGACAAAGTGGACACTTTTTTTTATGATTTCTACTTCATAAAACTCTGCCCATATAATGATTTTGTCCTTTTAGAGGATTCTCAAAACGTTGGAATACAAGCCGCCTGGCATATTGGCCTCAAAATCCAATGAGACCTATGGTTTGCTGGTTGGTTTATCTAGAGCTTTTTTAAAATTATGGCTTGTGTCTAGATTGAAACAGAGCTGATAATGAGTCCACTGGAAGATTTTTCGCAGCTTGGGTATATTATTTTCCAGCACGACCATCTTGGACCAATATTTGCTGCAGATTTGGTTTTTTTATTTTTTTATTTTTCAGCAAACGATTATTTTTGATTGTAACGTTTAATAATAGCGTAAGAGTCAGTTTGTTGAGATTTTTGTTATGGCAATATTCTGATGGACGCATGGGAAAAAACAAAAAAAAAAACAGTTAAAGCAGGTTCAACGGAAACTCTATGAAGTTGCTTGAGCGCAAATTCAACATTACTAAGATCTAGAAGAGATTTTTTTGATCATTTATCTCATTTATCGAAAAAAATTTGTTTTTTTCTTCCTAAAGAGTACTGAAAAAAATTCCTAGTTTTTGGAAAAAAATTGAGTGAATATTGATTCGATTCTCAGGATTTCTCAATTTGGCAGTTTAGCGGGATCCAAACTCTGGAAAAAAATGGAGCTTTTTTCCTATCTGCACAAGAAAATGGCAGTGAGAGTGGGAGTCCAAGTGAGAACTTTGCCGAAGACGGTCATCGACAGCAACGCCCCGATAGCAGAGATAGATGATTGCTACGTGTTCGCAACCGTCGAGATCCTCGGGACCGTCGAGGTTCATTTTTTTTCTCATTGGGCTCTTCAGTTAAGATCGAATGAGAAAACTTAAAACTGAAAAATCCCATTTTTAATTTTCAGCCTAGTTCATCGCAAAGTTAAAATGATCCTATCGTCGATTGCCAATACTTGACGTTTTCTTTTAATTCTTTCTTCTCTAATTAGCTATATCAGCTACAAAGTTTTAGAAAAATCGACTTTATTTATAGAGTTTCTACAGCCAAAAAAATGGGACAAATATTGTGAAAAACACTTAATTTTATCAGTTTTGTAAATTATTTCTTTGAGTTGTGTTAGGGAAGCTTCAAGAAAGAGAAAAGGAAAAAGAAATGAAATTAAACTTGAAAAAAAGGCTGAAAAACCAAAGATATTTTTTTTGGCAATCATTCAATTTGACAGTTTTGGTTTTTCGCTTCACAGTGTTGTTTTTATAACTTTTTTTGGTGAAATCTGATTTTATTAAAAACATTTTTTTGCAGTATATACAAAAAGAAACGCAAAGTTCAGAAGAATGTGAGTTTCACAAACGTCAGAAAAATAATACTAAAAATATATTTCATAATAGAAAAATGACAAAATATCATCTTTTTTCAATTTTGAAAATGACAATTTTGGAACAATGAGCAAAAAGTTTTCATTCCAAATTTCAAGTTCAAAATAAAATATCTTACTCTTTTCTCAAGTTTTCGGAATTTTTGAATTGTTCCAATATTTGTTTCACTATTATTTTCGAAACTCTGTTAAATTTGTTAATGATGCTGAAGTTGGTTCTCTAATAGGCCATTCTGACTTTTATCTGTCATTCACCTTCGTCAGCCAGAATTATCAAAGAATCACGTCTCAGACTCGCCAGGAGGATCAGCTTCAAGACAACACGTCTCCGAAAAGTACAGCGGACCAAGGAACGCCGTCTCACATTGGAGAAAACGTTGGCGCTCAAACTACCGAGATGTGCGTTTGGAAAGAGTCAGAAAAATTTCCTTGTAAAGTGGACGATTTGATGAAAAAAAGCAGAAGTCAATCGGATTTGATTCCTGTCTCGATAAAGCTCTCGTTACCTATCTGAATAGTTATTAAGCGTTTTTAATATCGCAAAGATGTGACCAGTCGATAACGACTTTTGAATCTTTTCGAACTGACTTTTTTTCAAAGTTTTCTCATCTCTCTTTTCATTTCATTTCAGCATACGCCCGCTTGCCGTTTATGGTGTCCCGGGCGGATGGTTTCCAGGGCGCGAAGCGCATGAAAGACATGGTCATTCTTCTCACCGCAAAGACGAGGTCATTGTTGCTGGGTTTTTGTAAGCCTAATATCTGAAACTGAACGTTGAACTACCCGCGAAATTGATGATTATCTGAAACTATTAATTTAGCGAAGAATTCGGAAAATTATTACGTTTATAGAATCAATCCTCCCCGACTTAAAGGGCGAGATGGGTAGATTGGAAAAGGTGGAGCTTTGTGTACCCGATGCGGCTGTTTGGCGGGAAGCTTTACATAACTATGAAACTATGAAATTTTTGAAAAACTGTCGAAAAAGGAGAAAAAAACGTTGGCTCGCTTCTGACCTCGAGCTCACCGTCGAGAGTTGCGTCGCCAATCTTGCCATCCCAGCCGGGAAAAGTTCTCTGTAATTTTTATTACACTTTTGTAAGCAATCAAGCGAAATCGCAAAAGAAGATGGATGAGTTTTTCTACTGTACTCCCTTCATTCGAGCTATCTTGCAGGTGGCTCCGAGTAAAGAATACTCTCCGCTAGATGAGTTCATGAAAACAATGAATGATTCGTTGTTTCGCGAGATGTTCGCCTACGTTTATCCTGAGCTTTACCCTCAGTTGGGCGAGATCGACCGAAAAGTAGGTTTTTTTCGTTGGCGATCAAAAACTTCAAGTGCTAGAAAAATACGATTTTCTTTTCACTCAAATTAATTCTTCTTGAGAAAATGATGATACGAATAATTTTAATGGAAATAAAAAAACCGCAAGAGAAAAAAATTAAAACTGTGATATTTTTTTGAAATTGAAGTCCATGTCTTTGACCAACTTAAAAAGAAAAAAAGTTCAGGTATCTAAATTAACAAATAATTCCGTTCGGGCTCGAAAAAAAAGGTTAAAAATTTCTCGTAAAAAAGTTTTTCGGGATCGTTTTTTTCCTGCCGCTAAAAGATTCAGAATTGGAGTTTGAAAATGAAGAAGGCTTTGGGTTTCAAACTATTTTTTTCAAAAAAATTATTTTGCATAGCAAAAAAACTTTTTTTCAAATTTCACATTCTGTTGAATTTTCATATGGCCAACTCAAAAGTTGTCGTTTTCGGAGTGGCAGAATCTACCAAAAAGTCGATAGAAAGTTGATATGGCATGTCTCAAAAATTATCAAAAAGTATTAGCGAAATCAAACTGGTTTACGGTTTTTTTCAGCTCAGTAAAAAAATTCGAGTTTCAGCGAGCTTTTCATTTTGTATAACAATTATCTTTTGTGACATCATTTTTCTTTTTACCAGAAAATTAAAATTATTTCCCTTTATTAGAAACATTTTTTTCAGTGTGACCCATTAGTTCTAACCTCACCACTTTTTTGTTATTTTTTTTAAGAGAGCCGAACGACAAAAAGGAGAGAGATCACCGAGCGTCTTATGAGTGGGCTGAAGATCGAGGTTCCAGCGTAAGTGTAGATTGTAGATGGGGTCCCCATTGGAAATTGAAAAGGAATGTCCTCTTTGCGGTTGGAAACTTCCTGTAATTTTTTTCAGAAGAAACCCCAAAAATCTGGCGGTTTTGGGGCTTCAAACCCTTACCTCTCAAAAATCAAAAAGTTACAGATTGAAACTTTCAAATTTTTTTCCGATTTGAAAAATTAAAAGACATTATTATAGACTTTCGGAGCCGGACCCGACAGGAGCAGATCAGGATATGCTCCTCGTGAAACCTTGAACCATCATGTGGCTCACGGAGCGGTTTCTCATCAACAGGTTCGTTCTGAAGATGTCAAAAAGGTTGGCTTTCTTATGGTTCGAAGGGTTTTACTATTAAGATTATAAAAAAATTCTTACAGAACTATTTGGACTGTCCCGAGAGGAGCCGGTCTGGATATGCTCCTCGGGTCGATGAGCGAGGCTTTGGCCCAGATCCCTGCAAGCCGCCAATGACGGAAAGAACTGGTTTCTACATGGACACCTCGAACCGCCATGAGGCTCACGGAGCGGTCGCTCATCAACAGGTTCGTTCTGAAGATGTCAAAAAAGTTTGTTATTCACTAATTTGAAGGATTTTACTATAAAAAATCGTTACAGAACTATTTGGACGGTCCCGACAGGAGCCGGTATGGATATGCGCCTCGGGACGATGAGCGAGGCTTTGGCTCAGATCCCTACGTGGAGATGAAGATGGAAAGACCTGGTTTCTACAAAGAGACCTCAAACCGCTATGTGGCTCACGGAGCGGTCGCTCATCAACAGGTTCGTTCTGAAGATGTCAAAAAAGTTTGTTTTTACTTGTTTGAAAGGTTTTACTGTAAAGATTGTAAATAATCATTACAGAACTATTTGGACCGTCCCGAGAGAAGCCGGTCTGGATATGCTCCTCGAGTCGACGAGCGAGACTTTGCCTCAGATCCCTGCAAGCCGTCAAACAGGATGGAAGGAGCTGGTTTCTACAAAGACACCTCGAGCTACCATGTGCCTCACGGAGCTGACGTTCGTCAACAGGTTCGTTCTGAAGATGTCAAAAAAGTTTGTTATTTACTAATTTGAAGGATTTTACTATAGAAAATCGTTACAGAACTATTTGGACGGTCCCGACAGGAGCCGGTATGGATATGCGCCTCGGGACGATGAGCGAGGTTTCGGTCCAGATCCCTGCAAGCCGCCCATCAGAATGGAAGGAGCTGGTTTCTACAAAGACACCTCGTACCACCATATGGCTCACGGAGCCGCCCTTCATCAACAGATACGTTCTGAAGATGTCAAAAAAGTTTGTTTTTTACTTGTTTGAAAGGTTTTACTGTAAAGATTGTAAATAATCATTACAGAACTATTTGGACCGTCCCGAGAGGAGCCGGTATGAATATGCTCCTCGGGTCGATGAGCGAGGCTTTGGCTCAGATCCCTACAAGGAGATGAAGATAGAAAGACCTGGTTTCTACAAAGACACCTTGAACCATCATGATGATCATGGCGCTGTTGATCTACAGGTTCGTTCTGAATATGAGACAACTTGTTCATTCTTTTCGATCTCTGTCAAATATATTCCAATGAGAGATCTCTTTATTCTTGCAACATTTTTTAGGAAGCCGACAACGGCGATTATCAGGAAAATGAAGCGGCTGATGAAAAAAAGGTATAGCTGATTCTTTAGCCCAGATTAGAAAAATGTTTTAATTTCAAGAATCGTGGTAACACAGCCAATGCAGACAACATCGAATACGATGCCTCTGGTGACTTTGCCGATTTCGAAACCTTGAATGTAAGTGTTAGAAAAAGCTTTCTTAGAGTATGAAAGCAACCCATTTTCTTCTTCCTGTGCATTTCTTTTCCTACTAGTGAAATATTAAAAAAGAAAGCTATTTCGAGCTATTGTATGGTTCATATGGGAATAAGTTTCCCTTGCAAAGTGATGTCTGAAGTTTGAAAAAAAAAACCTTTTTTTTTGAGGACTGCGATAGCAGAGCCAAGGAAGAGAACTCGAAAAACGAAGCTTCTGAAGATTTGACCAAAATCGGAAGCTTGAACGTGAGTAATCAGAACTAATTGCTTTTTAAGTATGCAAGTAAAAACAGAAAGTACCGTCAGAAAAAAATACGAAAAAAACGGGGTTTCGGTCACATATTTATTGTAAGAAATTCAATCTTCCTGAAACTTTCCGAAGTTACTGTTATTTTAAATATACGTATAGTTTCAGTTCACAGAAAAAAACCGCAGCTTCAGGAAATTTGAGGAAAATTGATTTCTTTACAAGAAGGTTGTGACCGAAACGCCGTTTTTCGTATCTTTTCTGACGACGCTGCATTTTTTTCAAGAAAGAAAATAGTAATTCAAGCCCCATTTCAGTTGATTTGAAAGTAAGTGTCCATTGCAAAGCGAATCTTTCCGAGTTTTTGACTGATTCTTTTTTCGGAAACTTCACTTTTTGGGATCTTTATGGGATGTAACAAAATATGTCACTTGAGTAACAAGGGCGTAAAAAGAGAAAAAAAAACGCAACTTCAGATTTATGGTTATTCTATCGATTTTTCTTAGCACAATTGAGTTTCAAGAAGTTTAGCAAAGATCCTTTTTCAGTTGGACGACAAGAAGTCATCGGCGGAGTCGTCCTTGGAGCCAGAGAAGCTCGAGACGAAGACCAAGGAAACTCAGCTCAAAGGTCTGCATTTATTGCGTTTTTCCTGAAAATGTTGAAACTCGAAAAAAATACGTTTTGAGACTGCTTTTCAGCATCTTTTTAAGAATCAAAGATGTTAGCATGAAAAAAGCGTTGAACCAATTACAACGCTTCTATACTTTTCGCTTTGAGGAGCTATTATAGCCAATAAAATCAACACCCAAACCTAAATGAAAATATTCTTTTTGACTTTACTCTCTGGAGTAGAAATAAATATTGGGAAGGTTGTCTTTCAGACGCTCCGATATCTCGTTCAAGCTCTGAATCGAGCTACTTTTCATCGAGCCGTGGCAACGAGGATTTCGCAATTTCGTCGGAATCGGAATAGTTGTGATCCTTCTTTTAGCCGGCTAGACAAATTTCATCTTGAAGCAATAAACTGTTAACTATGTATCTTTGCTGCAGAAAGTCTTGCACAACTTCATGTTTTTTTTCACAATAAAATGAATCTTTTACTCTCAAGAAAATGCTTTGAGGAGCGAGAATAAAAAAGTGTATTTATCAGAGTTGAGGATGAAAAACTTGGATTGAAATCTTTTGCCGTTGGAAGTCTAGAACCATTCCAGGAAAAAAATTATTAACTAATTTCATTTCCATATTGAGCCTTTCTTTGTTTTTTTGCAATTGGTTGATAGCAAGTAAATGTTTATTTCGCGTCGGGAATTCTGGCAAGAGTTGTGTTATCGAGTATCAACGACCGAATTCGAGTCATCTTCCACCAGGTGTGAACAAGTCTGTGCCCGACGACCTCCGATTCTCGCCTTGTCTGCCTCAATCTGCTCTGAAATAAAAATTATCAAAAAAACATGAACAAAAAAATAAATCCTCTCCTTTTTTTGAGTTCTATTCAGTTTTGACGTTACTTCTAAGTTTGTGAAAAACTTATTAAAAAAATAGCTCACAGCTTTAAAAAAGGTTTTCTTGAAAAAAATTAGCCTGTCAGTCGAAAAAAGCTGTAGATTTAATTGAAAGGTTAGTCCTGAATAAATTTTTTTATTCCAGAAATCATTTTTTCATAGCAATCCAGTAAAATTTAAAAAAAGTCAAGGGAAATAATCAACTTCTTGGATTTTCGAACTCATCAGAAGGAGATTTCAATTCCAAAAAATTCAACATTTTCTTGGCGACGTCATCATGCTTCAATCATCATTCATCGAACAGAACTGCAGGAAACAAGGAAGATTCTTCATCTATCAATTGATCCCAACGGCCCTCTTCAGGGCCACACATCCATTTCAAATCCATAAAACACAAATTAGAGCATGATCATAAATATCTACAAAATGAGGACACAGTTTTGGATGGGAACCTACAGAAGTGAAGATGAAACAACAGAATATATAACCAAAAAAGAAAAGTCAATAATTTTAAAGAAGAAGTGTTCGACGGAGCGCGTTTGTGCTCATGGCGTCGACAGCGCATGTTTTCAGGAGCCTTTTTATGGGTATTATCACGAAAAAACGACCGCGTCTGGTATAAAAGGGTCTGCCATATTCTAACGTTATTTTTCATCTCGTCTTCTGTTTTTGGCTCAGTCTCTTCGTGTCGCTGTTTTAAAATTTATATTCCAAAACTTTCAAACGCATGGAATTTCTCTTTAGATCTCACTTTGCTATTTTATTTCTGATTTCCAATCATTTTAACACTTTTCTCTTTTAAGAATAAAATCAGCTCATCAAAAAAAGCAAAATAGAATTGAACCAATTATTTTGAAGTTTTTAATGAAATCAACAACAATTTATCTTCGTGTTTTAAAGATCACCTCGCAATCGAGCGGCTATTTCTTTTACATGAAGTAATATTTTGAGGTAGTTATGCATGGCAACAATTATAACGGTGATGAGTTGACGAAAAACAGTCGATCATCTCGAAATAATTTGGGTGGCATGATCAACGTTCGCGAATCCAACAGTTCAAACATTTTTCCTGGAGTTGAACGGCGCGGCTACCCTACAAACCAGAATGTCATCCTTTCGGCTCAAAACCAAGGTTTGAATCATCGCGGCTTCAATACGGCCACGATAAGAATGAGTTTGGTCATTCTCACGGTTCAGAACACCGCGTCTCCCATTCGATCCTCTATGGCTCTCACGGTTTTGGTTCGGACAAGACAGGATTCCACAGTCCCGGCCTCCCAGCAGAAAAATCAACGTGACCATCTATTGGTATGCGCTTTCCTTAGAACTTAAAAAAATTGAATTCTCATTGATACGATCGCTAAAAAAATTATTTTAAATTGAGAGAACGTCGTCTAACTTTTTTTGTAAATCTTAAAATTAATAATTAAAAAAATTTCGAAGACAAAAAGTTCTAAGTCTGCAATCTTTCTTTTAAAAAAATTGAATGTAAAAAGCGTCCCAATGGAAGATCAAGTGATAGCTAAACAGAAAATGTTGCTTGGAAATCAAAAAAAAAATGACAAAATTTGCGTCTTTAAAAAATAGCTCCCAGCAAGAGAATCGTACAAAAAGATTTGTTGTTTATTCATTGAAAGCACTTTAGCCTTCAAAAACGAGTTTTTGATGAATTTTAGAAAACCCAACATATTTTTCATGAAACTGAGTTATTTTGATGCTCGGTGTTGAATTAGTTTTTTTTCTCTTATTCAAAAAGCCTTGAGGAACTTGTGAATTAAAATTTAAACTAAAAGAAAAACAAGCCGATGCTTTTCTTCGTAATTCAATCTGCCTCGTAAAAATCAAGTTTGAAGGCAAGAGGTATCGAGAGTGATCTTTTCCCTGTACTTTACCGAGAAAAACTACCTTGCAGCTTCCGTCAAACAATGCGGTTCCGTATTCCAATGAAACAATGCCAAACTACCAGACTCTGCTCAGAGCAGTTCATGAGATGGCCAAGAATGATGTCGTCAGGCGGGAGCTCAAACTCCAAAACTTCGATCTTTTTGGTCCTCTGTTCGAAAATCGTTTTGTAAAGGTGGGTTTTCAGTACAAACGTTATGAAAAGATTTCAAATAAGCAAATTAGAACTTGTCTTTACAGAACCCTGAGAGACAGTGAATTCTATCAGCGCCAGACTCAGTTTCCACCTTGACCGCCCATCTCAACCCGGGCCTGTTAATCGACACGAAGCTACCTCGATCAACCAGTTTTTTTTTATTAAGCATGAATATATTAACAGAAACATTTATTGTGCTACAAAGTATATTTTTCGAAACTTGTTTCCTTCCTTGCCCATTCATTCACCAAACAATGATGTTTCGAGCTCATCCGCTTCCAGATGATTTTCCCCGTCTCATCATCCAAACCCACTGAGTATCAACTAAACAGCGGCCTTTTTCCTTTTGACAGATGATAGCTATGAAATATGTTCTGAGTCTGAGAAAATTTTTTGACTTAATTAAGAGCTATTCTAGTTTTTTGGTACAGGTGATTGTCAGGAATAATGTAAAAGACTTTGGTACGGTTAATCAGAAGCGTGAATATTATTTGCAGGAAATGTGTAAAAAAGATCAATTAGCCTCATTTTTTAATTTTTTCTTTTCCCTCTCTTTTTTTACTGTGTTAATAAAAATAGTTCCTTCTAACATTAATAATAGATTTATTGAAACTTTAAGTTCCCCAATCTCTCTGTTTCTCTACTGAATGTTCATCGTTTTCATTTTTTTAACGATAGTTTGCTTTAAGGATAATTAACAATGAATTAAACATTTTTCTTGTAATCATCTTAAACATTTGATCACAGAAAAGAGATTGGAAAACACAATTTGAAAAAGTCATCAGGCTGGTATTTGTCTGGAAGTTTTTGAGCTTTTGAACTATTTCAAAGAAAGACTATTCACAACAGCTAACTGAACTATTAGTGACACGGAAAACCAATTATTTTTTTGTTTATTTTTTTTTCAAAAAAACTCGCAGAAAAATTGTGTATGCAAGCAAAAAAATTTGACCTGCAGAAAGGGATCGAGAAAGGTTTTCGGTTTCGCGATGGAGGTATATCGAAGGGTCTGATGACAGGCGGAGACGCACTCCCATTTTTACCTTTTTTGTTCACACAGGCTGGTAATTTCAGGTTTTCATCCACTTTTAGGAATCTTTCTCACCATAAAGCTCAATATCAAAAGAAACACAAGGCATAAAAACCCAACCATATTCAATTTTTGTTTATAATTTTGAAAAACGCTTCGAAAAGAGGTTCTTGGGCTCAAAAAAAAAGGAAATAAAATAAAAACGGAATCCCGGCACGTCCCCCCACCAGTGCCGGAACGTGTACACTTCTGCAAAACTCAGGTAAACAGCAACAGACTTGAGGTATATAGCCTATTCCGCGCCAGCTTGTCACGTTCCTCTTTCCGCCAAAAAGACCGTACACCAAATTAGATTAAACTTCTGCGTTTATAACAGCAAGAAACAAAGGTCTTGAAGCGAAAGTTGGTTAAATTTGACCTGGCCATTTGGTGGAAATAAAAACGTGACAAGCTGGAGCGGAACGGCCTATACCCTCGAGCACCTCCGGTAAAGCTCAGGTAGAGTTACTAATTATTAAATACACGCGATCCATTTCGAGAGACATATTCATGCACATAGTGTGGTCTCCTCTCGATTCGTTTGTGTCAGGCTAATAAACTTTCAGAAAGGCCTTTTCAGCTTCTTTTTAAAACCTCGCAGATCTTTTAAAAAGATATTATCGTACCAAGTTTTGAAAAGAGTGATCGAAAAGATCGCCAGAAGTCATCATTTGTGAAAATCTTGCTTCATTTATATTTTTTTTCAGAAAGTCATCATAGATCTCGAGAAGCATCACCAGTCACAATTTGCATTGGAAAACGACCAACACAACTGCGCGAAGCGAGGAAAATTTTCCATCCAGCAAATAATCCCAACGGTCCTCTTCAGGGCCATATATCCATTTCAAATCCGAAAAATACATTTCTCAGAATGATTATGATTTTTGACAAAATAAAAGCAAAATTTCTCAGAACCAACACAATGATAAAACAGAAAATGCAGCCAAGAAGGGACAAATCAATAATTGCAACGGCGAGGTGTGCGACGGAGCGCGTTTGGGTCGAGGAGCCGACAGCGCATGTGTTGAGGTGTCTTTTTTATGGGTTTCGTCACGAAAACCGACCTCGAACTTGAGTGGTATAAAAGGCTGTGGTCTGCTGATTTAGCCGACTTTACCTGTGCTCTTGGGTATTTTTTTTTCTTTTTTTGTCATTCGTTTCATCGCCTCATCGCTACAATGAGCCTTACTTCATTGAAAGGGGCATCTCTCCTAGTGTCCAAATTTGCAATACTGTCAGATTTCGAATCATAAAACGATGGTTTTTTTCAATTTTTTTCATAAAAAAAGAAGCTTATAAAAATTTGATTGAATACAAGGTGAAAAATACTTACTCTTTTCAAATTAATTGATAAATGTGAGTAAGGTTTTTCAAGTACCAAGTTTTATTTAAAAAAACTCGGGCACACGCCAAATTTTTTTCATAGCCTACTTATCGCAAGCATTGCACAACGTTTTTTTCGAAAAAAATATTCGACTGAAACGGCTTTTTCGTGAGAATAAGGAGATTTTTTTGCAGATACGTCCGCGAACAAGAATGAGTTCGAATACTTCTACGAGGGACTCTTGCTCTACCGGCTCACGATCGATTGTCTCTGTTGATTCCCCGGTATGAACTTTTGAAATCAGATCTCAACATCGCCGGCTCATTTTTTTGTTAAAAAAAGAGCGAAAGAATGATTCAATATTATATTAGGTGACTCACTCGTGAGTTGAGGTTCATTTTCAATACAACGTCAGAAAAATCCTTCTATCAAGGGCTCAATCTTAAAAGTACATCCACAAAAATCAGAAAAAGAAATTTGCATGGAATATTTTTTCAGCGATCGCTCGATAGTGGAAGCTCCCGTCCTGTTTCTGCATCGAGCGTCAACACTCATTTGTCAAGCCCAACAAACACGTTATCAGATTATGTACGATTTTTATATTATTGAAGTTAAATTTTTTTGAAAAAAACTCCAAAATCCTTTTGAAAATTTTTTGAATTTTGTGAGTGAAAAAAATGGTCACATCGGGAAGACAAGAAAAATAAATTTTTTTGACCTTTTTTTCTTGAACTTAGCTCATAAGTAATTGGAGATACGTAATGATTAATATTTTTGGTTATTTTTTTAAGAAAAATAGTACAAACGAACAGAAAAGATTATTTTCAGAGATTCAAAAAGAAATTATGGAAAGTAGGTCTTCAAATTGCAAGATGCCTAAATTTATTTTGATTTACTTTAATGATTGAGAATCAAACCCAAAAAAATGTCGATTCATGAACTCTGAGCTGAGAAGTAAAATGTTTACCAAATGTGCCGACATCTGAACCACATGAAAAAAATTAAGTGCCTCAATATTCTTGAAAATCTTTCAGCGAATGTCCTCTTCTACAGCTCCGGTAAATCCTCACAGAAGATCTCCCTCCATCGACCAGCGCTCACCTATCCTTACGCCAGTACGATCTCATTTTCAATTATTCATAGTTTTTATAGTCCTACTCAAAACAGTTTCCATGGCTTGAAGACTTAAAATTCAAAAATCAAAGTACAAGCTAGGGAAATTTCAGGCCCGGTCGAATATTTTGGAAAAAAAGTTCAATAGATCGCCGTGTTATTTTCAAATTTATAACAAAAACTCATTTTTCAAATTTTTTTCTTGGTTTTTTTGAGTAGGAAAGGTTCCATTCTTTTCATCACCAATTGAAAAAACTCGTTGAGAAAAAAAGTGTATAATCAAAATGTTTTCAAAGAATTACATACAGCTGAAAAAAAGTAATTGTTTGGCATTGAATATTTTTCAGGAAGTCATTGTCCTATCGTCCGGCCCGGCAACTCCAAATACGCCTATTTTTGCACCCCCGGAGCTATCTCCGCCCGTTTTTGCACCCGCGGAGCTATCTCCTTCAGATGAGGTTCTTTTTTTTCATTTTTGACGCAGTGAAAGTTTATATATACTTTCAAAATTTGTAACAAAAAATTAGGCACGAAAAACGTGAAACAACTTTTTTTTCACAGTTTATGACGACTAAAAATTTTCCACAAAATGGTTTGAGGAAGTTGAATTATGACACACGACCACGAAAACGAAAATTTCTGACATCTCCACATTAAATTATGAACATCTAGATTCACGAAAATATGGCAAACGAGGATCCGCCGACGCATGATATGGCAAGAAGATACTCACCTCCGCGCGTTTTCCGGTTTTCGAGGTAGCTTTCGATTTGTGAAGCTGGAAAGTTTGTGATAAGATATCTAGAATACAAAAGTAAACAAATTCTGATAGAAAAATCGGAGAATAAAGCGATATTCGAAAAACTAGCAAAAAAGAAGTGAAAGAAATTTTTTAGGAGGTCGATATGCCTGTACTTTGCGGAGAAAGGGATCATCAGCGAAGAGTATGCTTGGGAGGACGCCGTGCGAACCTCAAGCGATTCGACTGATGATGAAATGTGGCGGTATGGCACAAATTTGTCAATTAGTTCATACTAAAGTTAACAAAAATTTAGGCCAGTTGGCACATACGATCTTGAAGAGGTAACCGACTTCTTCAAGCCGAAAGCCGACGAGCGCCGGAAACTTTGCTGGTTAGTATGAAAAGGAAAATGTTGAGTATGTAAAAAAGGCGTGACTAATAAATAGATCACGTGGAAAATTAGACGACTATATAAGGGTCTAACTCCACTGATTATCAAAACAATATCAACTCTCGCCTCGGCTCCACCGCATCGCCGACCACGTTGTCCGCCGCCGCCGCCGACAACGCCGACCCCTGATTCACAACTACCTCTTTTTATACTCAGTACATAAAAGTTTTGGGTGTAATCTATTCCGTCCATATACACGCACACACATATATAAAAGAAAACATTGAAAATAAGTTTGACATTTTTTAACTACGACAAAGACAACATTTTTTGATTCATTCACCAAGAAATCATTTATTCAGCCAACAGCTTATCTTTTTTTCAAGGACCAGCGACGAATCGACTCCTATTGAAGACGGTTCTTCGCACGGCAGGCCGTCTCCCATCCATCTCAGCCCCACAGAACGCCTAGCAGGACAATCGGAACGTCCTGCCAGCGGCTTGATGACAGGTTTCTTCTTATTTTTCATTTAAAATGGGAGGGCAACCTGGCACAACTGGTTGTGTGCCTGTCTATGGTTCACAGAATCACAAGTTTGAACCCCCCTCCCCCCCACTCGACTCAACCCAATGGGTTCAAGAAATTTCGGTAGAGGGAAACCAAACTTCAAAAATCTCTAGCAGTCACACACAATGGCGGATTTGTCACTATAGCCAGTCCACAGATTATCCTTAATATCAGGCTAATCAACTTGAGGCACCGGCGCTGCTCAAGCCGTACAACGGCGTAGGAAGAAAAAAAAGAACCCATGATTAAAAAACGTGTTGAAAAGCTCGATTTGGAGCCTCATTTTTTAAATTAAAAGAAAGAAAATTAGGGAAACTCGATGCGGCTTTGGATAAATCACAAAGAATTTTTCAACCTTGTGAATGAGAAAAAAACTCTGAAGTCTGCTCCGGAAAAATGTTGTGTTTAAAAATTGATCGGCTTCTATCGGAAAATGTAAAAGAAAGTATTCAGAGAGACGTGATCCTGTTCAGCCAGCTCAAGAAAGTCCGTCGCGACCCCATATTGGTCTGTTTAGCTTCACTTTTTTTATTATAGGATAGTCAATCCATCTCGACTTGAAAGGCGAGTTCAATTCAGCCACCAGCGACTATTTGGAAAGCTCGTTTATCGCTTTTTGAATTTTTTTTCCCAATCGGTTACCTATTTTCTTTTCATTTTTGCAACAAAGATGTAGGGATACAAAAAGAGCGCTGAACGAGCTTTTTGAATAAACGATGGCGCTTTAAGTGAACTCGTGTCAAGAACCGGGTACGCGTATCCCCTTTCCTTTGCCCTTTCCCCTTTCAAATCGGGAAGGATTGATTATTTGAAGGGAACCTTTTTTAGGCAATTTTGTCTATTCAGAATCTCCTGGCTCCGACGAATCTCCCGATGAACAGATTTTCTCTGATGACGAATGATTTTCATTTTTTGTTCTTCGACGGTCAATGTTCCATATATTCTCCAAACCTTGGAAAATGATTGAGACGTTTTTTTCATATGAAAATCGAACCGTAGACATAAGTTGTGTTTTTGAGTATCAGTTTAATCGTTTAGCCTAGTAAACTCATGTTTTATTTATTTTTTTCTTATTGCTTCTATATTGTCACGAGCCTCAACCTTATGTAATTTTTTTCATTTGTGCTTCCTTTCAATTCTTTTTTTAGCGCGTTCCTATTGATTTTTTTCCTTTTTCCGCTGGTTCTTTTCACTGTAAGTACTGGTAATTTTTTTCTGGCGTTTTTGTTAAATATTAATTTTGATCAATTTTTTTCTTTTCTAATTTAGGGTAGACTGAGTTGAGACTTGACGAGATTCCTTCGCTAACGATAATGTTTCCTTGTCATTCCCATCTATTTTTTTGTATCACATGTCTATGTAATTCTTACCTAACATGATTTTTACATAATCATTATTTTTTTAATTAAGATAATCATTTATTTCTACATCTTTCCTGATTTTTCAACATCACTTTGTGGAATTGATAATTGTTCATTCTGAGATATTTTGATCGTTCCGAGTTTTTATTTCGTTTGTCAAATAATGAATAAGAGTTTTATCTATTGAAAAACGTGCAAAAAAATCACATAATTGAATAGCACAAAAATTATATCAAGCCACAAAAAAATAGAGAAAAAATATGGAAACCTTTCTCTCGTCCAAACAGACGATTCAGGAAAAAGAGGAAAAAGCTGAGAAAAAGATATAAACTGGCATTAAAAACAGAAAATGATAATTTAATTTCTCATAACTCGTTCATAAGTGTTCAGTCCACCTTCATGTTGAGTCCAACACAAAAGACAAATCTTTCAAAAAAAAGGGATTACGGTATATCGAGCTAAAATATTTTGTTTTCATGTCAATAACTGTCGCGGATTTTGCGTAATCGAATGCCAATGACCGATGTCGACTTTTCCACCAGGTGTGGACGGATCTGCGCCAGACGACATCTGATTCTCGCCTTACCTGCCGTAATCTGTAACTCTATCTTATATACCTATGCAACATGACTTTCTAGGCTTTACAGTACGAAACTAAAATTGAGGGATCAATATTCATAATTTTCGATTTTATGAGAAAAACATTCAGAAAAGAAGCTCAATAAGATGATCGATAACTTCCACATGTTTGCTGATCTTCAAGAAGTTACAAACCCTGGATTTTTTTATAATGATTATATTTTTCTAGCTATTTATTATATTAACAAGTCCAGTTAAACGAAGCAACAATCTGCTTTGAACTATGCGTCTCTCGGAAATCTCGGTAAAATTCAAAGATCTACAGGCTCTCAAGCTTCTTTGAGAAATTTCGAATTCCCATTCCCAAGACGATTGCATCATCGAAATCGGTTGCGGGTGTCTTTTGAAGCTCTGTTTTTCAAAAATGGTTTTGTCGAAGGAGTCCCGTAGCGGCTTTTCATTGATCTTGCGCACGCGCAACGCTTTTAAGCGCAATCGTTGCGCAACGTCCATTCGAGGGAAAAGCTCCAAAAATCATCGGAGTTCGCTTGGGAAACTATTCTTTTTCGAATCAACTCTAGCATTTTCTTCGAAGCCAAATTTCAACACACAATTCGTCGGTGTTGCATGTTTCGTAATTCTATTAAAAATCAAGTTGGAAACATTTCAGAAAATTCAGATCCTCACAATTGTCCTTGTTTTACCTGCCGCAACTGTACTGCTGTTTCACGACCTGCTCGAGCCATCGAAAAAGGGTCCTGACACGATAATTCCCAGGATATTGCCTGGCTCGAGTGCGCAGAGAGGCCACGCCTTCTTAGCGTTTTTTACCCGTGAATGGGCTATAAAGATCTTTTAAAATAGAGCTCCAGTAATTTCTCAACTTTCGAGTGCCTCGTACTTTTTTAACTGACCTACGCGCCAGTTTTTGTGACTGAATTCCAAATCAGCGTGAGTAACTCTGTCGTGTATGCAGTCTCATTCAGAAGTCGACCAGATTTCACTGGAAAGATTTCAAATTTTATTTTTCCCTACAGACTCCCATGATCATTAAGGCTCTACAGACTCCCGCGACCATGAAATCGGTCCTACCGATCCCCGCAATCATGAAAACGTTCCCACAGGCTACCGTGATTATTAAATTGTTCATACAGTCTCCAAAGATCCTTATATCGGCCCTGTTGACTCCGCGATATACAATAGGCTTTTCAGACTTCCGCCATCATTAAATCGTCCCTACAGACTACCGCAATCCGTCAATAAAATACGGCGAGAGGCGCGGAAAAAATGCCCTACGGAGGTTTTCTGCATCTCTTCACCGACTCTGACTGTCTTACAGAGGGTTGTTTGAAATTTCAAACTTTTTTGAATTTTTCTCGTGGCGCGAAATGCGTGTCATTCTCAAAAAACTACCCTTGAATAAATTTTTTTCCCATCGTTGACTTTCTTGATGCTTTAGAAGCTTCAATCACTTCTCAGTTTTACTAAGTCTATTTTCATGGTTTTCAGTAGTTCTCCGTATTTTTAATGGTGAAAAATAAGGAACCGTCGCGGAAGTCTTTGAAAGAAGTCAGTTAAAAGTCGAAAGCCACGACATTCGTTGAGACCTGTGTCATCACGAAGTTTTACGCTCTCTCGGGAAAAAGGCCCAAATTTGAAGTACGATTTTTTCGTTGAGGCCCGAATTTGAGATCATGCGATCATCCGAACCAAAAAGTGTATTAACGGGCTCTACAAAACCAAGACTTGGTGGCAAATGTGCGAATTTCCATAAAAAAATTATATCATACACACGATGTACCAAAATCTTAGAGGCGTGGCTAAGGTTCGCACGTCTTCTGAGGCCACGCCCCCAGAAGTTTCGACGAGCACTGCACAGTTCCGCAGCTGCTTGATCGTCTTCTTCCATTTTTTCCAGTGTTCCATTTTTCTGTTCTCTATTATTTTTTCTCCTTTCCTCTATCTATCAAAACTTCCGGAGATTTCTTTTTCAAGACACTTGTGGTATTAAAAAGCAAACTTCTGGTAAAATTGGTACGAAAAAAACTTGTCTACCGGCACGCTCTTCTACCCAATAGTAAAATATCGAGAATTTTTGACCAGATCGAATCCCGATAATTTCCAACTCACTTTTTCAAGTTCTTTCTGATTAACTTTTGAGAAAGATAAGAATTTCTTTCAAATCGAACTATCGTCATATAATCAGGCTTCTCGTTTATGTGTAGTGAAATGCGAAAATTCGCACACAGTATCCATATTTTTGCCTGACTTTATTCTTTTTCAGAACTCTCGCATTCCTCAAAGTTATCAAATTTCGGGCTCGTTTTTCAAAAGTGTTGGTGCGTAATCTTTGTACATAAATGTGTACACGTGTCGCTTTGACCTTGAAGATGAACTCGGACTCTGATCGTTTTCGCTCCGCCCGTTTCGGCAACAGGGTCCCGGTGAGTACTGTAGAAAGTATTAAAATCCAATTTCGATATATTTATGAATACTTGGCTGGAAGCGTGTTCGAAAAAAAGGATTGTGAAAAACGAAATATACCTTGATTCTAGGTTTACGCAGAGACTTGGAACAAAATAGATTTTGAAAAAAAAAGAAGAATTACGGTGCCCATTTCCGACAGGCCAATGGCAGAGATTGAGCCTATTCCGCTGTATAATATCTACCCCGCTGGGATGAAAGGCTTGGTCGACCTTGAGGGGATGATTTTTAGATTTCTATAATTTATAGGAAAGCAGTTTTGATTCTTGATCAAATCTTAATAAGCTGATAAAGTTTTTGAAAAAAAAAGATTGCAAAAAGGTCTTTCTTTTCGGAACAGCTATAAAACATCGAAGGGCACATTTATTTGAAAAAACGCTAAAAAAGACGCGATTCTCAGAATAAATGTTCAGATCTGGTCCAGAAGCAAGACACATGAGCCTGCCACCTTGCAACGAAAATGCGGTATCTCCAGGACCACTCACCCTTTTCAAGTAAATTTTCATCAGAGTGTATAGTCAGCTCAACTTGAGCTTTTGACATAATTTCTGAGGACTTTATCAGGCTAGTAAAAAATAACCATTTCAACAAAATTCATTTTCTTTTAAAAACAGCAGGATTCGAACAATGAGGCAAAATTTTCTGAAAAGAATTAAGTGAAAAGAATTTTTCATAGATACATCTAATATTTTCTGAAGCACACATCAAATTTTAGAAGTAAGAAAACGCGTTTCTCATGAAAATATTCAGACACTTCCGAGAAATGATCGATACTGTCACCACGCCTGGCAAAGATGCGACACGCTTTGTACGGCTATGAGAAATGTCACCGTATGGCTATTTTATTTTTTTTTCCAAATGGAATGTGTAATCATTGCATTTTCGATTTGACGAAAAAGGTTTTTGAGATAAACTGGCAAAAGAACGGATACAACTGTTGCGTGGGCTGTACAGGAGCTCTGAAACTTTAAATTCAGCAAAAATTAACGACTTTCAAGACAAGGTTCAGACGAACAGTAGCTTTAAGAATATAATAAACGAATCAATAGTAGGAAAAAAATGCAAAAAAAGCAATTTCGATATGTAGCTGGACGATAGATCAAGAAGCAATCTATTCGATTCACTTTAAATTCCTAAATTCGAATAATAAATTACTTTACTTGTTTGGAAAAAAATCAGCAATTCCAAAAATGGTTCCCATAGGGGTTTGAGCAAGAAACAGCTTTTTACATGGGTTCAGGGTCTGACCCCTAGGCCCCAAAAAGCTTTAGTGACCCCTATAGAAGTACTCAAATTTTTTTCATCTAGAAAAAAAATAAAAAAGAATAAAAAAAGACACACTTGATCAATATATCCTATGTAAATATTTTCGCTTCAAAAACGCTGATTTATGGATTTTTTCGCATTGAAACGTTTCTTTTCATAGAATTGTTTACAACAATCGATTAGCATGTCCCCTACAGGGGCCACTAACTAAAGCTTCCATAGGGACCACTCTGGCAAGTTTCAGCGGCCCTATAGGGGTTGGTAGAGTTTTTTCTAGAGAGGGACCTTCAAGGGCCCGTAGAGTTGCCCCTAGAGGGAGTTCCGAAGGACAACTAGGATTTTATTCCATGAAACTTTTCTGAGTTATTCATTTTTTTCCATTTGATAGCAAAAATTCGAAATTTTTTTAGCTGGATGACCGAAAAAAAGCAGCGCAGCGACTTTCAAGAAGTCAAGAATGAGATATTCACGGTAAGTTTTTTTCGTTGAAACTAGTTAAATTTTTTTGAAAAAAACTCTTGATGAAATCTCTCTAGAAAAAAATTTTTTACGAAGTGCGCTTTTGAACTTTCTTTTTGCAGACCTTCGACGTTTCGTGGTTCCGGGAAAGGAACTGATGAGCTCGTCATGATTTCCGATGAAGAATCAGATGGGACAGCCGAAAAATTGTCAAACACGAACAGGACATTCAAAAAAGCTTGCAAATGGTTTGTGACACAAAAGAGAGGAAAAAAAACGGATTTTGTAGTGTTTCGAAAAAAAATAAAGTGGTTTTTTGACTTTGAAAATTTTTTCAAAGGTTTCTGGATAGTGATAACCCGAGATGCTAAGAAATCTCATTTTTACAACTTCAGCGATCTTATCAATATCCCTACGGTTTTGAGACTGAAAAAAACTACAAATGTTATCTCAGTCTTTGCTCAGGAGTCTTTACACTTCCTTTCTTTATCAGAAATTTTAATTTCTGAAAAAAACCTTGCAGAATTCAAAACAATCAAATCGAACTTAGTTGTACTTTTTTTGATATATTGAATTTCAAGGAAATGATCTTTTGAGAAAAAAATACAGGTATCAACGACAAATAAGGACTTTTTTGTTTGGTTTTTCTCATTATGAGAAGTTTGTCAACCTCATGATGAATTCTAAACAGGAAAAAGTTTGAAAAGCTCTTTTTCTTGAAAGAAAAAAATTGCAAAAATTTTGAAGCCCTCTTGATAGTTTTTTTTTTCAGCCAATGCGTTGAAAAAAGCAAAAAGTCCTTTCCACTGGAAAAGTTGTACGAGAAAGTCAGTGACGACGAAGAAGAAGCCGTTGAGCGGGCAAAGAAAACTTCATCCACGGAAAAAGAAGAGGTAAAAATCTTTTTCATGTAAAAGTTTTATTTTTATTCCCATTCTGAGCCTTCTATACGAAGTTGAGAACATGGTTTTGAAGTTGGGTCGTTTTTGGGATTTTTTCGATTTTTGTTCCTGAGTTATGGTTTTTGAAAGCATACGTTAAGAACGGAACCAAACCTGAAACCACTGAAAATCAATTCCGAAAATTTATATACTTTCAAAAGTTTTGAAACAGTGGAAGTACATTGGAAATGATAAAAAAAAATGGTTTTCGAATTGTCACTTTTGAAGCTTTTATCTATGCTGTCGAAGTGATTTTTGAACTTATGTAATCAGAAAGGTATTAATAAAGTGGGAAAAGGTAAAATGGAAGCCGTTGTTTGGGCAGAAAAAACAATTATTCCGACTTTCTAGCAAAGGAAGCTTTCAAAGAGATTTTAGAAGAAAAATAACCATCATTTTAACGCTTTTCCCAAGGTTTTCAATAAGTCTCACACCAATCAAATGTTGTAATGCATTACATAAACCTTTTTTAAGATTTTCCGATCAACCGGAGTGATCGTGGAAGAAAGACGAGAAAACTTGTTAGTCTACTCAATTGATCTTCGCGCGTTTGGTTTTTTGCAGAAAAACATGTTCGTTAAGCCATTTTTTGTTTTCCGAAAATTATAACTCCAGAATGGGAAAATTTTTCTCTTCGGATCATATTGTGTTCGACTACACCCCGATCCGCGGACCCATTGGAGAACACTTTTGCGTCAAAGTGAGTGGTTCTTCATCTGAAAGTTTGTTCCTTTTATTTTAAAGAAAGTGATCGAAACTTCGCCGCTCCCTCCGGCCTACGGGGAAATCTACAGTGATCGTGACGGCCAAACTTTGGTTGGTTTTTGCACAAACACTTATAGAAATATAGTTTGTGTCCAGATTGAGATGACCATCTGCATTTCGCCGATAGATGAATATTTTGTCGACGGGTTTTGCATTTTCGTGGACCGCGACTTCGGGCCCATTGCAATGGAAGAGGAGGTATTTTTCAGTCATCAACTTTTCAGCACACGCCATGTTTGTATTTTCTAAAAGAGTTTTCCGAAGCGCTGGAGAGAACTATCAAAAAATCTTTTTTTTTACTAATCATAAGCTGTTTCCATCTTAGAAGTAGGTGCATTTCTGTAAATTTCATTAATGTTTCACGATGTCGGTTTCTAGGTTCTGGATGAGAACGACGGCCAATACTACGACAAAATGAAAATTGTACAGCGGTTCCGAGGACAAAACCTTCTCGTAAAGATCTCGCGGGGAATTAGTCTCATTCCGAGCCAGCTGTACGACTTGGACAAGCCAAGGAAACAAACTGAACATCATTTGATGTTCCACGTGAAAGCGATTGTGGGTCTAGATATACTTTGCCTTTTTTCTTTTTCCTTTCGAGACAATATTAAGAAAACCATGAAAACTTGTCCGACATGCGTGTCTCATGAGAACAATCTCGCAGGCAGCCGAGCACGTTTGGAGACCTCTTCCAACTCTCCCCTTCTTACCATCCTACGATGTACTTCTTCACGCCGTTCAAACTTTGATGAGAAGCCAAAAAACTCGCCAACATCTGGCTGATGAGCACTCGGGAGTTTTCGCCCGGTTGAACATGTACGAAGAAGTCACGGTGAGTTTTCGATAAAAATACTCAAATTTATTGGGCGTAAAATGACTATTCAAAAATAAAATTGTGAAAGATTCTCGATCAAGTGGTTGATAAATGTTGACTGAAAATAAGTCTAGAACACTCTGATTACGAAAAAATTAAGAAACTGCATTTTTCAAGTTTAGTTATGACGCTTCAGGGTTACCAAACCCTTTTTCAGCAGTATTACATCTTTAAAGGGTTATAACTTAACCGAAAAGCAAAAGTTGTGCTTATTTCCAACCAGGGCGTTCCGAAAAACTTTGAATGATTTATCTATCACTTTTATTATTCGAAAATAAAGGCAATTTCAAAGTTATGTTCCAGAAACCGAGAACAGCTGCAGAAGGTCAGCCAGCCTCTAGAATGCGTCGTTTCTGAAATTCAGTCCTTCTCGGTCACCTGAAATTTTTTTTTCAGTTTATCCTCAGCGGTTTCTATTGTTCCATTAATTGCTCTTCCTTCAATCTAATGGATTTTTTATATTTACGTGTCTGTCTGATTAACAGAGAAACGGAATTTTGATCGAACTTTTCTATTTTCTTTTCTTTTTTCAAGGATTCACGCTGAACGTTTTTCATTATGATCACTGATGCTTTTTGTGTTTCATGGAGCAGTTTCCATGTACTTCTGGGGGTAAATTGCTCAAAACTTTTCATCACACTGCATCAAAAATTTAAAATGTTGTTTTTTATTGGTTGCATTGTTAAAGTTCCGCGTTACATTGTTTCCAATCTTTTTTTTTGAAGCTTCAAGATCTGTTGCAAGTTAATTTTTGAAGAAACAGTTTTTTTCCGATTATTGGTTTCATTGAAGCCATCATCATCATTCGCTTGCGATTTCGTTGTGTGAATGTTTCTTCTTGGAATAAACTTTGACCCTAATTCTCATTGTGTTCGAGAAGAAGCGAAAAAAATCCTCAAGCGGTAAAAGGATTGAAGGATCAAACGAAGATTGGAATAAACCCAACGGTCCTCATTAGTGCCACGAATCCACATCAAACCCATTCATTTCAGAACGAATAGAAAATTCAATTTAACCACACGAGATACAAAATAAATGTTCTATAACTCAGGTCCTATTTTTGACATAAAATCGATTTGACCGCAAAAGGAAAGAAAGTAAACAAACAACTAGAATATATGAACAAGTGTGGAAAAATCAATATATCGGTGGCCGTCGCGAGATGTGCGACAGAGCGCATTCGTGCTCAAGGATTCGATAACGCGTGCATCGAGGAGCTAACTTTGAAGGGTCTCCTCACAAAAAACAACCCGCGAGAAGAAGCGACAGAAATCCTCAAGCGGTAAGAGATCTGGAGGATCAAACGAGAATCGAATAAGCCCAAAGGCTCTCTTTGAGCCCACGACTTCACCTCAAAGCGATTGACTTCAGAACGGATGAATGTCTCAATTTTGCTACACGAAATAATGTTTTTCTGAACCAAATCCTATTTTCGACAGAAAAAAAAATGAAAGAGTGAGAAAATCAGTTTCGGGTCTTTGTAACGGTAAATGAATGTGCTCCGGACGTATATGAGAATTTCTAGGAGCCGCTTAAGGGTGCTGAAACTACTATAGTAGTCTCTAAGAGTCCCCGACAAGTTCGATTTGCTTCCGTTTCGCGGTACCAACGTCCGAGGCAGTTGACGGCCGTTGCGAGATGAGCGACAGAGCGCATTTGTGTTCAAGATGTCAAGAATGCTCTCAATATCATAACCATTGTTTTCGAACAGAAGATTCTACTGTGACGAGAAAATAATCAAGATGGCCATCTCCTCGTTAATCACAAATCCACATCAAATCCATTAATTTCAAAACGAACAGAAAATTCAACTTGAACATACGAGATACACAAAAAATTGAAGTTTTTTCAATCAAATCCTATTTTTGACTGAAGATCGAGTTGACCGCAAAAGGACAGAAAAAATCAATATCTTGACAGCCGTCGCGAGATGTGCGACAGAGCGCATTATGTTCAAGGGGTTGATATAACTTTTGTTGGGACGGAGTTTACTGCTTGACATTCAAAAATTGGAACAGATCATAACTTTTTTTCATCAATAAAATAATTATTTTTGGAACGAAAGGTAAAAACTATGAAAAATTATCACGATGACCGTTTTTCAGCCAAAGTTGCCTTAATATTTCATCGTGTTCAAGAATCAGTCTCTGAAATCCTCAAGTCGACAGCACGAATGCAGAATCGATAAGAATGAACCCAACGGTCCTATTTAGGGCCACAAATTCACCCAAAATCCATTCATTCCACAACAAATAAAAAATTCATTTTGACCATACGAGATACGCAAAAAATAAATGTTCTTTGAATCAGATCCTACTTTTCACCGAAGATCGAGTTGACCGCAAAATTTACACAAAGTAGAGAAACAAATATAGATTATGAGCACAAGTAGAAAATCAATATATTCATGACCATTGCGAAGATCCCACGGAAAAATGAATCAAAATGGCTCTCTCCTCGTTGTCGGGCCAAATTCGCCTTTAATTTTCATCGTGTTCAAAAAGAAGCGACAGGAATCCTCGAGTCGGTAAGAGGATTGAAGGATCAAACGAAGATTCGAATGAACCCAAGCACAAAATAACATCAAATCCATTAATTTCAAAACGAATAATAAATATCAACTTGATACACAAAAAAGGTTTTTTTTAATCAAATCCTATTTTTGAGATGAAATCGATTTGACCTCAAAAGGAGAGAATGGGAACAAACAACTAGAGTATATGAACAAGAGTAGAAAAATCAATATATCGGCGGCCGTCGCGAGATGTGCGACAGAGCGCATTTTGGTTCAAGGCATCCATAACGCGTGCATCGAGGAGCGAATTTCAAAGGGTCTCGTCGCGAAAAACAACCCGCGAAACCACCCGTCGCGAGGGGGTATAAAAGGCCGAGTGCTCCTGGTCTCCGCATTCAATCGTCTTCGTCAACCTTTTCTCTTACGTAGTTTTGTTTTGTCGCATCTTATTGTATTGTGTTGTCGTTTTCGCTTTGTACTCATCTCTTGATATTTTCACGATTTTTAGAGTCGCTTTTGAAGAAAACGGTAACTTCATAAATTTTTAGGACATCCCCAGGATGATCCCGACTGGTTCACCGCAAGCTCCAGGAGACGCTCCACCCAGGGAAAGAAGATCCGAGGGCTCTACCGTATGGATTTTCATAATAATAACAATAACTTAGCTTGTTATATCATTGATGATGCATATAGTGAGAAGAATAAGAAGAATTTTTTGGACAAATTGAACCCGGAATGCCAATTTTCAATGGGCCACATAAGTTTACGGCTTATTGAATACCGGTAGCATTAAATTCATAGGAGGCTCAAATTAACAGTTTTTTTGAAGATTAATCGACAGAGAAATATTACAAAAACCAATAAAACTATTACTTTTGTTTTTAGATTCATGGCGTAGATACAGTTCGCCCTGATACTACCCCTGCGCACCCCGGCCCACGTTTCCAACTGCCTCCAATGGGGGCTGCCTTCCACTACAGTGCTGTGACGCGAGTGAGTTAACCAGTGAAGAAATTCATCACTCTGTTGTATTCAAAAACAAAAAAACGGAAACATTTAGAACAAACAACAATTTTATTTTTATTCAGATGACATCTACATCGTCACCTGATCCTGTAGTTCTCCACACTGCTCACTTTTCTCTTCCTCCAAGAGATATCACCAATGTCCCTTGCAGTACGAACACAGTGGTGAGCCTTTCGATCAAAGATAAGCTGAAAATTAGTGAAAAAAAATTAGTTTCCCTTTGATTCGAAGGGAAGACTGTTAAGGAGAGAAAAAACGACAGCAGCGAATATTTTTTATTTGAAGAAGGATCTTCATGGATAATTCAGAAAGGAAATAAGTGCTATGTAAGTGTGGCGAAAATCAATTTGAGAAATAAATAAACCTTGTAATCGAGCAAAAAAAACGGAACGATCCAAAGTGAGTCGTTCGATGGGAAGCGGGTCGAAAATCAGGAAAGAAAATTCTGTGTTTTCAAGAAAGAACGTTGAACGTCTGCGTTGAGGATGATGTTCTTAAAATCTAGAATAAAAAACGGTGTTCAGTTTTTATGCTCACAAACAGAAAACGATAAAATGTACGCAGTGAACGCGGTTCTCATGGCAGTATTCAGGCTTCACTTCAACTGCCGATGGCCGACCGCGAACTGGTGGCTGCACCCGTGTTTCGGCTCCCGCCAATGCAAGATTTTCGACCTCGCGGATACATATCCGAAGTGAGTTGTTGTGTGCGGGAAGATCGAAAATCAGGAAAGAAAATTTTGTGTTTTCGAAAAAAGATCGTTGGAACGAAAATCAATAGTTTCACACCTGAGACAAAGAATAAAAACCGAAAAATGGGCTATCATTCGTAGAGAAGTATTCTATGTGAACAACTCCATCTGCGTTGAGGATGATCTTCTTGAAATCTAGAATAAAAAACGGTGTTCAGTTTTTATGCTCACAAACAGAAAACGATAAAATGTACGCAGTGAGCGCGGTTCTCATGGCAGTATTCAGGCTTCACTTCAACTTCCGACGGCCGACCCCGAAGTGGTGGCTGCACCCGTGTTTCGACTTCCGCCAATGCAAGATGATCGACGTGGCGGTTCCTCATTTACCGTGAGTAATTTGATGGGAAACAGGTTGAAAACCAGGAGAGAAAGTTCTGTATTTTCGAAGAAGATCGTTGGAACGAAAAATCAATAGTTTCACAGCTGGGACAAAGAATAAAAACCGAAAAATGGGCTATCATTCGTAGAGAAGTATTCTATGGGAATAACTCCATCTGCGATAAAGATGAACCTCTTGAATTCAAAAAAAGAAATAACGAATTTCAATTTTTATTCTCACAGTTAGAGAACGATAAAATGTACATATTGAACGCGGTTCTCATGGCAGTATTCAGGCTTCACAAGTAAGGCCGATGGCCGCGCCCGAACTGGTGGCTGCACCCGTGTTTCGGCTCCCGCCAATGCAAGATTTTCGACCTCGCGGATACATATCCGAAGTGAGTTGTTGTGTGCGAGGAAGATCGAAAACCAGGAGGGAAAGTTCTGTGTTTTCGAAGAAGATCGTTGGAACGAAAAATCAATAGTTTCACACCTGCGACAAAGGATAAAACAAAAATATTTGCTCTAACTCTGACCTGGAGCGCCTGAGGCACGATGTTTCTCTGCCGCATGGTATTTCGTCGTTTTTTCGCAGTCAGAGAGTGAAGTAATAACATGCGGCGGAGTAAAACTCGGGCGCGCCTTTAGTCGCTTCAGTTCAGAGAATGCTTTGTTGGTTGGAAAAAAAAATCGCGAAAGTCATGAGAACAGAGCAGGGGAACAATCAGCATGTCATAACAGATTCATCTAAAATACAAGATTTTTCAGGCCGAAAGGGAAATGGCGACTCTTTCGGACGAGTCGACGGACGAGCGCGAGCAGGTGGATCCCCTCATGTTCTGGTACACATCATCTGAAGATGAGAACGTTGACGGCACACGATCTGAAGTGAGTCGTTCGTTGTGAAAGAGGCCGAAAATCAGAAAAGAAGATTCTGTGTTTTCGAAGAAGATCGTTGGAACGAAAAGTCAATAGTTTCACTTCTAGGATGAAAGATAACCAAAAAAGAAGGCTAAAAGTCTTTTTTAATTAATAAAACTTGGCAAAAATCACGTATGTCGGCGAAAATAATCTCATAGGAGGAGTATATAAGGATATCTTCAACAAATATTTTGTAGAGAAGTATTCTATGGAAATAACTCCATCTGCAATAAAGATTTTCTTGTTGAAATCAAAAAATTATTAAGAGAATGCAGTTTTTATTTTCAAAAACAGAAAACGATAGTAAACGCGGTTCTCATGGCAGTATTCAGGCACACGATCAACTGCCGATGGCTGAGCCCAGGTTGGTGACTGCACCCGTGTTTCGACTTCCGCCAATGCAAGATGATCGACGTTTTGGTTCCTCATCGAACGTGAGTCGTTTCATGGGTAAAAGATCGAAAATCAAAAAAGAAAACTCTGTGTTTTCAAGAAAGATCTTTGGAACGAAAAATCAATAGTTTCACACCTAGGGTAAAAGATAACCAAAAAAGAAGGCTATAATTCTTCGTTATTTGGTAAAAATTGCGAAAATCACGGATATCGGCTATAATGTTCTCATGTGGAGATCTTTAACAAATAGTTCGTAGAATTGATTTCTATGAAAAGAACTCCTGCGATAAAGATGAACCTCTTGAATTCAAAAAAAGAAATAACGGAGTTCAGTTTTTTTTCTCAAAGATAGATAACGATAAAGTATAAGTAGTGAACGCGGTTCTTATAGCAGTATTCAGGCTCAACAGCAAACGGCTGCGGCCGAACCCGAGTCGCCAATTTTTCGGCTGCCGCCGCCGTTGCAAGACCTTCGACCTCGCGGATTCATATCCGAAGTGAGTCTTCTGATGTAAAAGGCCGAAAATCAGGAAAAAAGTTCTGAGTTTTTGAAGAAGATTGTTGGAACGAAAAATCAGTAGCTTAACATCTAGGATAAAGAATAACCATAAAAGTAAGCTATCGTTAGTCAAAAGTTCGCAAACATCACGGATTTCGGCTGTAATGATCTCATGAGGAGATCTTCAACGAATAGTTCGAAGACAAGATTTTGATGATAATAACTCCATCTGCGATAAAAATGAACCTCTTGAATTCGAAAAAATGAATAACAAACTGCAGTTCTTATTCTCAAAGATAGATAAAGATAAAGTATAAATAGTGAACGCGGCTCTCATGGCAGTATTCAGGCTTCACTTCAACTGCCGACGGCTGAACCCGGGTTGGTGGCTGCACCCGTGTTTCGGCTCCCGCCAATGCAAGATGATCGACCTCGCGGATACATATCCGAAGTGAGTTGTTTGGTGCGTAAAGGTCGAAAATCAGGAAAGAAAGTTTTGTGTTTTCGAAGGAGATCGTTGGAACGGAAATCAATAGTTTCACACCTGCGACAGAAGATAACAAAAATATTTGTTCAGGCTTCACTTCAACTGCCGACGGCCGACCCCGAACTGATGGCTGCACCCGTGTTTCGGCTCCCGCCAATGCAAGAGGATCGACGTGGCGGTGCCTCATTTACCGTGAGTCGTTTGATGGGAAACAGGTTGAAAATCAGGAGAGAAAAACCTGTGTTTTCAAGAAAGATCGTTGTAACGAAAAATCAATAGTTTCACACCTGGGACAAAGGATAAAAACCGAAAAATGGACTATCATTCGTAGAGAAGTATTCTATGGGAATAACTGCGATCCAGATGAACCTCTTGAATTCAAAAAAATAAATAAAAAAGTGCAGTTTTTAACTCTCAAAGATAGATAACGATAAAGTATACACAGTGAGCGCGGTTCTCATGGCAGTATTCAGGCTTCACAAGTGAGGCCGATGGCCGCACCCGAACTGGTGGCACCAACTATTTTTCGCCTTCCGCCAATGCAGGATCTTCGACCCCGCGGATACCTATCTGAGGTGAGTCGTTTGGTGTGAAAAAGGTCGAAAATCAGGATAAAAATATAAAAACATTTAGACTTCGACTCCTACCCGAATGATGGCACTTGAATCGGTCGCTCCGTCTCCTACTCCCACAGATGATCTGCTACCGTGGCAAAGAGGCCCCTTTGACGGCCCGGGAACTACAGTGAGTCGTTCAATCAAACAAAAAGGCCAAAAATTGGCGAAAAATGAATGTTGGAACAAAAAAGAAAAAGTTTCACACCTGGGACGAACATTAATCAAAACATGAGCTATTATGTTTCATCAGATTAGAAAAATTGCAGAAACCACAATAACAAAGTAAAAGAATGATTTTTACGTCATCAAAGTTTCCCCTCGAATACAAAGAAAATATGCATTCTTTTTGAAAATGTCAGGCTCAACTTTTTGAAAAAAGATAAACATATACGAATCAAGAAAGAACCCGTAGTTTCCTGATATGAAACAGAAGCTTTTTTAATTACATGTTTATAGCTATGATACGGAGTATACACAATATATGCGAGCCTCATGAAAACATTTAGACTTCGACTCCTACCCGAATGATGGCGCTTCAGCCGGTCGCTCCGTCTCCTACTCCCACAGATGAGCTTTTACCGTGGCAAAGAGGCCCCTTTGACGGCCTGGGAACTACAGTGAGTCGTTCAATCAAACAAAAAGCCCAAAAATCCGCGAAAAATGGATGTTGGAACGAAAAAAAAAGTCTCACAATTAGGAGAATGGATAACCAAAAAAAAGGAGAGGGTATTTCTCATTATTTTGAAAAAAATGTGTAAGTCACGGATATCGACCGATATTTTTCATAAGGAAATCTTCAACAAGTAGTTCTTAGAAAATATTTCTATGAAAAGAACTCCATCTGCGATAAAGATGAACCTCTTGAATTCGAAAAAGAAATAACGAAGTTCAATTTTTATTCTCGCAGTTAGAGAACGATAAAATGTACATATTGAACGCGGTTCTCATGGCAGTATTCAGGCTTCACAAGTAAGGCCGATGGCCGCGCCCGAACTGGTGGCTGCACCCGTGTTTCGGCTCCCGCCAATGCAAGATTTTCGACCTCGCGGATACATATCCGAAGTGAGTTGTTGTGTGCGGGAAGATCGAAAATCAGGAAAGAAAGTTTTGTGTTTTCGAAAAAAGATCGTTGGAACGAAAAATCAATAGTTTCACACCTGAGACAAAGGATAAAACAAAAATATTTGCTCTAACTCTGACCTGGAGCGCCTGAGGCACGCCCCAATGTTTCTCTGCCGCATGGTATTTCGTCGTTTTCTCGCAGTCGGAGAGTGAAGTAATAGCATGCGGCGGAGTAAAACTCGGGCGTGCCTTTAGTCGCTTCAGCTCAGAGAATGCTTCGCTGGTTGGAAGAAAAATCTTAAAAGTCATAAAAATAGAGCAGCAGAACAGTTAACATGTCATAACAGATTCATCTCAAATACAAGATTTTTCAGGCTGAAAGGGAAATGGCGATTTTTTCGGACGAGTCCGAGCAGGTGGATTCCCCCATTTCCTGGTTTCCATCTTCCCAAGATGATACCTTCAGAAGCACCTCATTTGATGTGAGTCGTTTGACGGGGAAAGAGGCCGAAAATAAAGAAAGAAATTCTATGTTTTTGATGAAAGATCGTTGGAACGAAAAATCAATAGTTTCACACCTGTGACGAAAATAAACCAAAAAATGAGCTATTATGTTTTATCAGATTAGAAAAATTGCAGAAACCACATAAACAAAGCAAAAGAATGATTTTTATGTCATAAAAGATTTATCTCAAATCGAAGATTTTTCAGTCAGAACGGGAAATGTCGACTTCTACGGACGACTCCGAGCAGGTGGAATCACCCGTTTTTCGCATCTCATACTCCCAAGATGATACCTTGAGGATCACCTCATCTGGAGTGAGTCGTTTGACGGGGAAAGAGGCCGAAAATAAAGAAAGAAATTATATGTTTTTGATGAAAGATCGTTGGAACGAAAAATCAATAGTTTCACACCTGTGACGAAAATAAACCAAAAAATGAGCTATTATGTTTTATCAGATTAGAAAAATTGCAGAAACCACATAAACAATGCAAAAGAATGATTTTTTTATGTCATAAAAAGATTTTTTTGAAAAATGTCAGGCTCAACTTTTTGAAATTAGATAAACACTAAACAAATCAAGAAAAGACCCGTAGTTTCCTGATATGAAAAAATCTGTCTAGATTACATGTTTATAGCTATGAGACGGAGTATACACAATATATGCGAGCCTCATAAAAACATTTAGACTTCGACTCCTACCCGAATGATGGCGCTTCAGCCGGTCGCTCCGTCTCCTACTCCCATGGATGATCTGCTACCATGGCAAAGAGGCCCCTTTGACGGCCCGGAAAGAACAGTGAGTCGTTCAATCGGAAAAAAGCCCAAAATCCACAAAAAAAGATTGCTGTAGCAAAAAAAAAGTCTCACAATAAGGAGAATGGATCACCATAAATATCAGATATAATTTGGCATTATGTTGAAAAAAACTGCGAAGATCACAGAGATCGGCTATAATGTTCTCATAAGAACAATTGATTTGGAGAAAAAATTTTCATGATAATAACTCCATCGCGATAGAGATGACCCTCTTGAAATAAAAAAATGAATAACAAAGTGCATTTTATATTTTCATGAATAGAAAACGTTGTACACTTTGAACGCGATTCTCAGGGCTATATTCAGGCACCGCCAAACACACCGACCTTCGAACCTGAGATGGCAGCGTCGCCACTCATCCATGTGTTTTGCCAAATGATAATCTATGATTATTATCTGGAGCTCGTCTCTGCCCTCTTTGTACCACCGTCTCGAATTTACGATCCTGACGGCATTTGGTTTATAGTGAGTCGTTGAATCGGAAAAAAAAGCCAAAAATCGGCGAAGAAAGATTTTTGTAGCAAAAAAAAAGTCTCACACCTGGGAAAACGGTGAACAAAAAAAAAAGAAGAAATTATATTTTTCGTTAGTTGGAAAAAAAATGCGTGAATCACGGATATCGGCTATAATGTTCTCATAAGAAAATCTTCAACAATTGATTCGGAGGAAAGATTTTCATGATAATAACTCCATCGCGATAGAGATGACCCTCTTGAAATAAAAAAAAATAAATAACAAAGTGCATTTTCTATTTTCATGAATAGAAAACGTTGAAGTGTACACATTGAACGCGATTCTCAGGGCTATATTCAGGTACCGCCGAACTTCGCACCTGAGATCGTACTGTCGCCAGTCATCGATATATTTTGTATGTTAATGTTCCATGATTACAATCTACAGCTCGTCTACGCTCTCTTTTTTCCACCGTCCGGAAATAACGATTCTAACGGCACCTCGTTAACAGTGAGTCGTTCAATCGAAAAAAAAAGCCGAAAATCCGCGAAGGAAGATAGTTGTAGCAAAAAAAAAAATTTCTCACCTGGAAAACGGTGAACAAAAAAAAAATTCGTTAGTTGGAAAAAAAATGCGTAAGTCACGGATATCGGCTATAATTTTTTTAAAAGGAAGTCTTCAAAAAAATAGTTCGTAGAAAATATTGCATTGAAAATGACTCCGTCTGCGGTGAAGATGATGATCTTGAAACCAAAAAAATAGATGAATAACAAAAAAAATTTCATATTTTCATGAATAGAAAACGTTAAAGTGTACACATTGAACGCAATTCTCAGGGCTATATTCAGGCACCGCCAAGCACACACACCGTTGCACCTGAGATAATGAAGTCGCGATACGTCCCTATTCTATTGCAATTATTGATTCACTTCTACTACTTGGAACGCTTTGCCGCCCTTTCTCCTCCACTGCCACCAGATCACCCATTTGCCCGCTCTCCGTTTACGGTTAGTCGTTTTATAGGAAAAACGCTCGAAAAATGAGGAAGTTTATTTCAAAGTAAAACTGTTGAAATGAGGTAGCAACAGTCCTCGACCAAGAAAAATGCAAGAAGAAGAAGTTCACCAAGAGAGAATGGCTATTTCGTTTTCATAGCATGATTTTCCCGAATAGCTTGTAGTGAAGTCAGAAAGTTGAAAAAGGTGCCAAAAATGTTTTCTTTATTGTTATAAAAAAATTTTATTATATAAAAAAGAGAAACCAAACATGAAAAATATTCAGAGAGCAGCGGAACTTATGTAGAAAAAAAAGTCTCACACCTGGGAAAATGGATAACAACAAATAGTTGGTAGAAAATATTGCTATGAAAATGACTCCATCTGCGATAAAGATGATCATCTTGAAACCAAAAAATGAATTAATAACAAAGTTCAGTTTATATTTTCATGAATAGACAACGTTAAAGTGTACACATTGAACGCGATTCTCAGGGCTTTATTCAGGTACCGCCGAACCCATACATTTTCGCACCTGCGCCGGTAGTGTCACCATTCGTCCGCATTCTCTTACACTTGATCATATTCGTCTTCAATAGGGAACGCCTCTCCGCCCCCTCTCCTCCAGAGTCACACCTATATGACTACACTCCGTTTATGGTGAGTCGTTTGATAGGAAAAATGATGAAGTTTATTTCGAAGTAAAACTGTTGAAATAAGGTAGAAACAGTCCTCGACCAAGAGAAATGCAAGATGAAGAAGTTCACCAAAAGAGAATGGCTATTGCGTTTTCATAGCATGATTTTCCCGAATAGCTTGTAGTGAAGTCAGAAAGTTGAAAAAGGTTCCAAAAACGTTTTCATCATTGTTATAACAGTTTTATTATATAAACAAGAGAAACCAAACATAAAAAAACTGTTCACATAAAAAAATATTCAGAGCTCAGCGGAAACTACAATGGAATCGCCCGAGACTACAATGGAATCGCCCGAGGAAAGAACCTCCAGGTCGTTTTCTTTTGCAATTCTTTAGTCTAAGCCGTATGAAATGAAGCAAAGTACTTAATAATCGTTGGAACCAGCCATCATGGACCAAGAAAAACTGAAACTCGCAATTCCTTTCCAAAAGACTTTTAATATTATCAACGAAAAAGTTTAGCAAACGCAGTTATTCATGAGATAAAAATTGTTTTTTGGTAGATTGGTTCAGGCCGAAAAATTGTCTGAGACTTCAACAAGATTGAACTTCACGAATGACGATCGGGAAACAATTGGAAAAACATTGATATTTGTCTCTTGAAAATTATCGCATTAGTATCGCATGCTATTAATATTTAGAAAAGCTGTGCTTAGAGGCTTAAAAATTTGGTCAAGTGAAATTTTTTTCCAGAAATGATAACAGATTAGAAACTTCTTCCAACTCAAATCAATAAAAATTTCGACCTGAATCTAACAAAAAAATTCAAACACGGTAAAAAAATTCGAGTGAAAAAAATTTATTTTTTTCAAGACAAAAAAACTATAAAGGTTTTGTCAACCTATCATCGTATGAATTCTTTTGATATTTTTCGAGAATTGTTTGAAGTTCAAATGTTGAAGATCGAAGCAAATGTGTAACTTCTTTTTATTCACTTCTCACGAGTTTTCAAAAAAATGTATTCTCGAGTGAAGACGGTAAATTTAAAAGAAAGCTTTTTTTCTGACTTTCTAGTGCTAAAATGAAATCGAAAGTTTACAATTTCGTATTTTACAGTTTGACGACGAATGAACAGTATCCCGCGATCCCCATGGACTTCGATAGCGATAGCGAGTCGACAATTGAATTGTACCGATGACCAATCTTTTCAATGCCAATTCATCTTTCCTTTCTGTAAATCTCCTATTCATTTATTTAATTGCAATACTGTCACGAAGTTTGCTGAGTACGTTTTACCATATATTTTATATTGCTTATAGCCAAGTTATATTTGTTAATTTCTTAACGCTCATTACATGCTCAAAAAAACTGGAATTATATGGCTGCCGAACCCCTGTATATGATAATAAAATAATTGTAGAGCGTTGTTTTGAAATTTCACCCACAAAAAAAAAACGGCTTTCGTCCAGTGAGACTTATGTACTTTAGTTACTTTATCTGAGAACTTAAGGGTTCTAAAAAAATTTCCACCAATGTTTTTGTAGCAGGAATGATTCAAAACGATGTGAAACAAAAATAATGCGAGATATAGTCAATGTTTCCCGACTCGAAAGGCAAGGGAGGCGGGCCAAGGGGCGGGACGCGTAGCGTGTGCGTACGCGGTTCGTGGAACGTATTCAATTCAGCCGCCAGCGAGCATTCAGAGATCTTATTTATCGTTCTTTCAACTTCTTTTTTGATTATCTATTGATTTTGTTCAAGTGTGAATCAAAAAATAGTAGAAAACACAGAAAAAGAGCGGTTGCCGAGCTTTTTAATTTGTCGGCGGCGATTGAATTGAACTGGCGCTAAGAGCCGCATACGCACACGTTACGCGTCCCGCCCCTCGCCACGCCTCCCTCGCCTTTCAAGTCAGGAAACATTGACTATATTGTCAATACTTTCTGAGGGGCGCGCCGTAGCGCAACAGGTTGTGTGCCTGCCTATGGTCCACAGGGCCACAAGTTCGATCCCCGCCCCGACCCAACCAAGGGGTTTAAGAAATGTTGGTAGTGGGAAACCACGGCTTCATAATCCCCAGCCGTCACACACAAGGACGGATATGTCACTGGAGCCAGTCCACTGATTATCACTGATCAGGATAGGACCTCGGCTAATCGACCTCGGCTAATCGACGCCGACGCCGCTCAAGGGGATCTTTTTGACGAGTAACTTGAGAGCAAACGCGAGTTATCCTTTTTTTGATAGTTTTTTCAACAAGTTGTAATTTTTTATGGGTTTGGGAAGTTGAACGAACGCGAGTATAAATCTGATGACTCGCTTTCGAACTGAAGGTTCCCGCCAAAAAGTCGCGTCACGTACGGAACGCTTCACGCTTGCCGATCTTCCATCTATTTTTTCAAAACCATAAAACCCATCCAACTTTTCCAAATCTTGCATAGAATCAAAGTAAATCGCTTAAAATTCAAGGATAAAAGTTTTTAGGACAAGTATATTGTTTGAAGAAGAGTGTGAAGATCATGTATTATCTTAATTCTTGCGGTCTAATTATCATGTTAGGTTGTTCAGATAGCTCTTGCGGTTTTTGATACTCTCCCTTGGAAGAATGTTTTGATCAGAAATAAGAACTCTAAACAAAGTTAGGATCATTTCAAGTCGTATTATAAAAACCGCAATAACTTTCTGAACAACCTAATATTAGGTCATTTACTAAGTTTTTCTCTTTTTTCGGTTGAAAGTTACTTGGTGTACAACTTTTTCAATTTTTGAATTCAAACAGCAAACAATTTCTCCCCCGTCATCCTCAGCTATCTGTTAACATTACTGTTAATTTTGGAGTTCCTGACTTTAAAAACGAGCAATGATATACTCAAAAAAAGGGCAACTAACTCGATTTCAACCCCTCTTAGAAATTTTTGTTTTTTTTCCTAAAAAAATGTATGATTCAATGTTTTGTAGTTGATGGCAACGAGGGAAGATGGAAGTACAGATAGAGTAGGCAAGCTGCCTTCTCTAAAAAAAACCAGCCTAAAAATCTTTTTTCTTTAAAAGTTTCGGTCAGTGATCAATGACAATGACGTGGTCGCAGAAAATTTAGACGCTTTTCTCATGAACGGCTAAGAGGATGATTTTGATTTTTTGTGGTTATTTAGTACAGACATGGTCTGTATCAGTCACGTTTTCTTCAGAAGGTCTAAACGTTCGACGCCGTCAGAGAGCCTCCAGAAGTTCATCAAGCTGTCATTTCAGTTGATTACCGTTTCTCAAAATTTTAGGCCGGAAAAACTCAGTTGAGCCTTCTCTGCTTTGACACATGGCTGCAGTGAACTTTGTTGTACTTGTTTTTTTATTAACTTGAGAGATAGCGAAAGAACAGAAAGTTTGAGAGTGGATAGAAACCACTGCCATGGTGCTATAAAAATTTTTTGATGAAAAAATAGAAAGAAACTTAGTAAACAACCTAATAGTTCTTAACCAAAATGAAATATTATTTTGGTAGTGAACTATAAGTATCGAACAATGAACTACCGACATCATGACTATCGTTTACACATTCATTTCACGTCAGTCAGAAGTTTCGTAATCGAAGACGAATGACTCTTGTCAAGTTACCCTCCACCAGGTGTGGACAAATCTGCACCAGACGACCTCCGATTCTCGCCTTACCTGCCATAATCTGTAACCCTATCCCGTCATCTTCGTTACATAGCTTCTCAGGCTCTACAGTACAAACCTGAGTCCTATTATTCAAGTTCATAATTCTCAATTTGAGAAATGTCAGACTTTAAATCATATTAAAAACTTGATTAGTAGATGTTCTAAAGTCTCTTTTTCTCCAATTTTTTTGAATTTTTTTGAAGTTTTAGTTTTTTTAAGCTCCTCCTAACGTATCCCAAGTTCACAAATTTATTGACAAAACCTCTTTCCAACATTACTCATTTTTGAAAAAAAAGTATATTAACAGCAGGTTGAAAAAAAGTTTTTTTCAAAGCCCGATAATTAGAATTCCTACAACTCATCTCCACACATCCCTGTTTCAAGCTAATTTTTTTCCAATAATGGTTTTTTTTTCAAATTGTGCAAATTTCTGCCCAATTCTTGCAGACCCCTTCTTCCGTGGAGGTGTCGGCAGGCGTCTGCGCCAAGCGGAGAAGAAAGGAAAAGACGCAGAAAACTTAGATGCGCAGGCGACCATACCCTTGGGCGCGACGCGGCTTCTGACTCACGGCGTTCAAATTTTTCTTTCTTTCCATCCTTTCTTTCATTTTTTTTGGATTGGACAAGTTTATATCGAATAATTGGATACCTATGACTATCAGTCTCACTTGGCTGACTTTTCTCAATCTTTTCAGCATTTTTTTGTTGAACGTCGTTTTTGATTATTTTTGTTCCACTGATCTTTCTGAATAATTCATTTTTTGCAGAACCTTGGGTACCGCGCAACGGCTATGTGAAACCTTGCTGGCCTCCTGGAAGCATGAAGTCCGGCTTTCGAATTTATTCCATCGTGAGTATTGAAATTTTAGTTTTGCAACATTTTTTAAATCACCGATTGGTATTCTAAACGAGTTCTCTGTTTCTGCAAAAAAAAAAATCGACCAGGTTCTTGTTTCAACTGGCCTCATGGGGGTAGAAGGAGTGAACTTTTTTTTCACAAATTCTATTTGTTTCGGATCGAAATCCCTCGTAAAATGCTATGAATCTAATGTCACAAAACATGTTTTTTTAGTTTGATTCCGTAAAAATCAAAAATATTCTTTTATAACACTTCACCGTTTCAGATAAAAGCCAGTCTCTCAGCTTCCCGATCCACCGGGACTCATGAAGGAAGAAAGACCAGACAAATTTCATTTTTTGATTGTGAGTTTTTCTACTTTTGGATTTTTGTTTTTGAAATTTTAAGACTGGTTTTGTTTCCTAATTTCTCACCGTTTCAGATAAAGACCAGTCAGCGCAAGATGTCGTGTTCTCTTCTCCCGACGAGTTCTAAGAGAAGATTTGTTGGAACGAGTATTGTGAGTTTTTTTTAAATATCTATTTGGTTAAATTTTATTTTGAAAATATTGATGTCATCACATTTACGAGCTGTCAGTGACAAAGAGCTATATGATAAAAGTCGAAAATGGATCATTTTTCCTTCCTTTCTTCGAAAAATCGTGATCAACATGAAGAGAACGCGACATTGAAAGTTCCCTATCGATTTCAAGATTTTTTTGTGTTTTTTTAGGCCACACATGGCTTCAAACACCCATTAAAAAAAGTAATGCACTATTAAATTTTTTCAGATTTTTGCATGATTTCTTCGGCGACTATGAACTCGAAGCGAAGACGGGACGAAAGAAGTAAATGGAGGATTTTTTTATTTGTTTTTTTTGTTTTTTTGTGCTTCGGTGAAAACTGAGCCGACCCCTGGAAACCTACTACATGGTGTACAGTTTACTTTTTTGTCTTTTTTTCTGTTGTGTTGTTGTTTGTGTTGGAAAACAGTTTGAGTGGAAAAAAAGAATTCTCAAGTTTTTTAAGACAAAAGAAAGCAAGTTGCTGATTTTTTTAGAAGGTGTCGTTTTTTTCCAAGTTTTTCCACTTGAACTCGAAAAAAAATGGATTAAAAATTTTCCTTCTTTTTTTCTTTAGTCCTTTTTTTGTAATCTTATTTCTCGTTTCTCTATATTGTTTCATTGTTTTTGTACCTTCCAAGATATCTGAAAATTGTTGTTTCTTTGGTTGGGCGAGAGAACTATTTTTACAGATATTTCAATTTTCGCCGTTTATTTTTTTGTTTGTTTGTAAAGCTCGCGTGGAGAACAAAGTAATTTTTGATATAAGAAGACTTTGAAAAAAATTTTTAGAGCTTGACCTCCACAATTAAAAAAACTTTAATAAAATTTAAACGAAAAAAAGTTTTCTCCACGTGAGTTTCAATTCGTCTACCGTTGGTTTGAAAAAAATATTAATCAAAAAAATATTTCAGAGATGCGCAAAAAGTCTTTTTTTTCACTTCGTTTCAAACCAGTGGTCCCTGAACCGTAAATCAAAGAAAAAGGTCGATTAAACCTTTCTTTGATTTTTTTCCCTGGATAGAATCACAAAAAAATGTGTACAGTTTTTTTTAATGTTCAATGCAACATTGAACACTTTCTCGTTTATTTTTTTGTCTAGGTCTTCAAGCAACGGTAGCTTTTTTTGCATAGAAAGCTGTTTTACTTGAGAACAGTTGCTTGAAGGTTTTTCCGAGGGAAATTCAAAAAAATCTGCCTAAAAAGAATATTTGAAATTTTTTTAGCATTTTTTTTAAAAAAATCATTTTGAGGAAATTCTGGAAAGAAAGGATAGTTTCATGAACACTTTCGAGCAAAAAAATCAATAAAAAAAGCCATTTGACAGCAAATTTTAAAGAGAACAGTTGATTTCGAATTTCATATTGTCTTCAAAATCTGCATTATAGGACCAATTTGAACGTTTGTTTTTCAAGGGGCTTTTTGAGTTTTCCTCAATTACCACATGTTTTTTTCTGTTTTTCTGTGTTTGTTGTGTTTTCTCTGTATTTTTTGCGTTTTTTGATTCGTTTTTGTGTTCTGAAATCCTCCATCTTCCTTTCTTATGTTCCTTTGCTTCGCTCTCTGAACATGTTGTTGCTGATAAAAATTGCAATCGGGAAAACGTGAATTCGAGGAATCAAGTGGAAAAATAACAAGAAATTGAAACTCAGAAATTTGGTACGTAGGGTGGTATAAAAACTTTCAGATGCGAGCTGGAATCAGGACTTGAAAAAAAAAGAAGAATGAGACCTGAAAATCGCTTTTTCTTCAATGCCCAATCATTCAATAGCACATCATCACATGATTTTTCAAGTTTTCGAAGCGGGGGTTGAACAAAATTGCTAAACAAATATGCTAAATCAATTCTCATGTCGTTATGATAGTGTCAGCAAAAAATTGGAAAGGCGCCTAGGAAAACTGTGAGCCCTTTTTAACGCGCAATAGTTTTTTTTATGGTGAAATTTGGTTCAATAAAACTTCAATAAATTTCGAAATTTCGGCTTCTCATGGGAAAAATTGCTTCATTGAGAAATAAGAGGTACCGAAAATAAAGTGAATATTTTTTTCCTTCGTAGTTCCCACAGTTTGAGAAGCGTTCTGATCTCTTGACGCACCAAAAACAACTCAGATGGTCGCTGTCTACAGAAAAAGCTCTTTGTTTAGAAAGAACATCGGAATCGGTCGCAGACGTCTATTGAAGCTCCGCAGGTCACATGTGGTTTTCGGAAAGGAGCCTTATGGAGAACCTTTTGTACTCGGTTTACATTTGGCTTGCGGCATTTCTTTTCATCTTTTCGACGAGTCCAGCCATTGTATAGGCTTCCATTGTCTCCATTTCGAATCTTCTACGGACATCTGCGAAGTAGACAAAAAAAGATTGGAAACAGGGCAGATGGAAAAGTTTTGTACGGATATGAAGAAGGCAGGTGGAATGCAAGTTTTTTTTTTTGAATTCTGAACATCTTCTTGATTTTTCCCACGTTGAGATGTCAGATTTAGAAAAGCAGTTTTTTTTCGCTGCTGTTCAAATATTGCCTGAGATTCAAGGGAATTCAGAAGGATTTTATTTTGCCGGATCAGCCTCGCTTGGTTTCTGGCGCATCCCGCATTTACGCGATTTTCCTCATTTTTTTTGCACCGTGATGGAAACGGCACATTCGGGAGGACGTCGATGTAAGGCCGAACCAAACTTGCTTCGATCCTAAATGCTCAGGTTGGTCCATTGCCGTAGCTGCGGCCAATGCCAAGCTTATCTTGAAGTGACCACAAGCGAGGCATTTTTATTCCGTTTTCCTCTCTTTTCATTCTGTATTTGAAACTATTCTCTAGTAACCGCTGACCAACAGAAAATGTTACAGACTTGCTTTTTTTCATTACTGGTTTAGTGAAAACTTCATCAGAAAAATGTTAGGTCAGCCTTGCTTTTTTTCATTACTGGTTTAGTGAAAACTTCATCAGAAAAATGTTAGGTCAGCCTTGAATGATAAAACTTTGGTTTTTGGTAGCCAATTCTGCATTTAAAGCGAAAACTCTCGATGAGCGCAAAACGAGACGGGAATGTGGGCGTGGCTTAGTCAACGCTGCGGGTAACTACGGTACCCAACCCAACGCTCGGAGTGTTCCCAATGATCGCTCACCTCTTTCTTCCTCGAATAGCGTGTTTTTCGCAATGTTTTGATCCTTCGCCACTTATTTTTCAATGTTCTCGTCTAGACACCTGTATTCAATAATATTTTTCAGTTCTCGCTCATTCTTGGCTTCGAACAGGCACAACATCGGCGGCCGAATGGCGCTTCGTTTTTTCAAAGATGCATAAATTTGAAACGAAGGTAAGATTTTTTCTTTCATTTTGAAAAATGAGATTGCTTTTCAGAATCTGTTAAGCCATGAAGGCCGGAGCAAAGTCCAAGTCAACGATGTTTCGAAGGAGGCTGCTGAGGACACGTTCGTCTTGAGGAGCTCGAAGAAGTCGTCGTCTTCTTGGACTTTGAGAGATGGTGATTAGATTAATTGAAAAATCATAATATTGACTGATTTTTGGGGTATTAACTATCAGAAAAAGTTGTTTCTGTAAGTATTGAAGTTTGATTCAGAGAAGCTTGATCATTCTGAAAAAAATCAAAAAAATTACTGTAAAAATTTTTCAGTTGCCGCCAAGTTCTGTTGGATCCTTCTCAACACTCCCTGTCAGCAGCTGGAAAACTGAAAATTAATGATGTTTTTTTGTTTCTGTTCGCTCCTTTTTTTCTGTCGTTGGGTCAATTTTTCCTTTGTTTTACAGTGAAATTTTAGAATTCAAATCTTCATGTAGATTTTTCTTTTTTTCTAAAATTTGCTACCTTCAAATGGGTCGTTGTGATGTCACTTATGTTGTATTTCGTGTTGGCTTGAATTTTTAGAATCTGAATCTGGCCAAGATTTTTCTAAATTTTGGGCATTTTCTAGCCATTCCTTCAGAAGCCGTTCTGAAACTTCTGATCTGTCTCCGTTTAAATTTTTCTTAATTTTTTTGAATCCTCTGGAAATTAAGAGGGGCGCTTTTATCTGTATTTTCTCTTTTTTTCAGTTGTTTGCAGGATTGTTACGTTGGATAAATATTTTTTTGTCGTAAAAAAATGGTTGAAAGTTCGCAAAAAAACTTTGTTCAAGGGCCACAAAGTCGTGTACACATTGAAGGAGTAGAAATTTAAAGAAAAAGTCTCCTTAAAGGAATAAAAAGCGCATATTGAATGAGATTCAAACTAAAGACCCTATAGGTGCCTAGCAACATTATTGAGAATTTATTGAAAAACACTTATTTTTGCTTCGAAACACGCCTAAAGCTCCGAAAATTTTTTGAAAAGTTCATTCACTTCAAAAAAAAAAGCGAAAAACAGTAGTTTAGTTCTTGAAATCATTAGATGCTCTGGAATGTTGGGAAGGCTTGAAGTTTTTCAATTCAAATACCTGAAAGTCTGCAAAAAAACTGGTTTCTTACTTGGGTCATTGGAATACGAATTTAGAAAGTTTTTTTCGAGAAACTAAAGCCGAAATTTCTCTGGTTTCTGAAGAAAACCGCAAAGTTAAATCGATTTATATGAAATTTAGGCTTTAATAAAAAAATGGATACTGCTTTTTCATTGCGGTTCTAAGCCATCATCTATTTTTTTCTGACTTTATAAAACGGTCAGACAAAAAAATTAAAAATTCCTTTTTTTGAGGTGATCGGATTCTTCAAAAAGCTTTCTATTTACAATTTTCTATAGACACTTCTTTCGCTCCGCAGGTCACATGTGGTTTTCAGAAAGGAACCTTGTAGAGAACCTTTCGAATTGCGTATACGTTCGGCCAGCTTTTGTATTGCGTATACATTCGGCCAGCTCTTCATCTTCTGCACGTGCGAATGTTTTTAGAATATGCCGCTTCTCATCGCAATTCACACTGGCATCCTTGAATCTCCAAGAGAAGGTTAAAAACACTGAAAATTGTAGCAGATGGACAGCTCTTCTGCGGAGGCAGGTGGACCTCAAGTTTTTGCGAATTTTCGACATCTGCTGGAGCTTTTTTCAGCGGTACTCGGATGAAGCAAAATGAGGCGTTTTTAAGTTTAAATTATTTGGGACAGGGGCTTCTATATTAATTGTTCATGAAGACCTTCAATTTCCGACAGAAAATTGCTGGTTTTCATTCAAAATTTTTCTTTCCTTCAAGATACCATACGTTTTCGTAGAATATACAAGGGAAAATTGAAAAAAACCGTCTCTGAATTTTTAAACCGAGTTGGATTTGTCCCAAATTTTGAAAAATTCACGGCAGTAACTTTTTTTGTGATCTTTTTACTTAAAAACTTCTATTCTTCTCCAATAAATTTGGAGTTAAATTTGTCAAGTTGCTCCCTTTTACCGAAGAAACCATAAAAATTTCAAGAACTCACGAGGAAAGATCAAAATACAGTTTTTGAATTTGAAAACCGAGTTTGACTGGAACCAAGTTGGCACGGCTTGACTCCATTGTTCACTTTTTCTCCGCGCTGATTTGAATAGAACGGATTTTGTGGCGCCAGATGCGATGTGGACTTTAGCAAACATGGCAGATTCATTGGAACAATAGAGGTAACTTCTTTGTTCACTTTGTCGAAAAGTTGAGAAATTTGAAATTGTTTTGAATCGGTTCAAAATAAAGCTTTGGACTTCTTGTTCCCTCAATAGTAGATGTGTAAAATGAAAATCTTTCGAAATGAAAATCTTTCGAAAACAATTTAATTGGGGTTAGTCAATGTTATGCGGTGCGTGCAAAAAAATTGATGCTCCAAAAGGTCGAGAAATACGATTCATGTGTTCACTCAACCGTAAGAAAGGAAAATTTTAGCGGTTAAGATTGAAAATTTTATAATACTCAGAAGCTCTTATCCTTAGAATCAGTTCAGTGAGGCAGAAAATTATTAGAACTGCTTTATATAACTGGAAAAGCAGATTGTTGACTATTTGCAAATGAATTTATGGATGAATAGTTTTTCGAAAACCTTTCAACTTTTAATATCTGTTTTTCCTTTTTAATCGTTTTTGTCATTTTAATGTTTTGCGATAGACGGCGATACTTGACGTTACTGTTTCATCGTCTGGCTCATGTGGGCCTCTCGAGATTCCGCCGCATTTTCGGAAACGTGCCAAAACGTTAACACGACAGTTATGAGCAAAGAGCGCTCATATAACTTCCAAGCATGTTTTCAGGGGATTCCGACCTTTGTCGGAAGTGATTTTCATATTCGTATAAATGACGAAGCTTTACTTTATTTCTGACCGTAAATTCGTTTAAAAATGGTACGATATTAATAAAGTTCGTAACTTTGATCAAATTTAATGCCAAATATGCAAACAGCGAACCTAACAGTTTCTCTCATACTTTCAATAAAAATGCGATATTTTTTGGATTTCCTTTTACCCCAAAAGCTTGATTCTATGCTCTAAGTCATTAAATAGACGTAAACATGCATAGAGATCTCGTTAAAAAAATAGAAATTTTTTTAAATTAGTTTGAAAAACGGTCACAATGTTTGACGTGTCATTACTGGTTCTTCAAATTTCCGTTGCTTTTCCCCTCGTTTTCTATTATTTTCACCGCTATATAAACACCTCCAAACAGAGCGAGACACATCACATTACTGTTTCACACGCTGTCTCTCAACGTTTGATATTCTGCCGCGTGTTTTGCGGCGAGAGGAGCGCTCACACAGTGGGAAGCGTGCCAAACTTCTTCTATGATGCTTCAAAAGCAAAGAGCGCTCACGTCACTCTCGAGCCTCATTGCACGAGATCCTGATTTTTTCGACATGCAATAATGAAAAAGTGTTAAAGTCAAAGCCCTAATATCAAGAGAAATCAAGGAAAAACAGATAGAAAATTCAGGGTCTCATGTTAACTCTATCCTTTAGTACACAGACATCAAACCTAATAATTACCCTCAAAATTAAAAAAAAAAGTTTATTCGAAATTTTTCTCATCTTCATTTGTAAATGAGTGAAATCGTGTAAAAAAATCAAGTAATATCAGAAGAAACAAGAAATATTAAACAAAGACGCCCTATTCAAACTTTTTGAAAAATAAGTCAAATTTTATTTTAAAAAAACATTCAATGACACTTTGCTGCTTCAAATCGCATTCCCTTTTTTCTTGGATTGACTTTTATTCTAAATTGTTTCAAAAATAGCTAAAGATTAAAAATTCAACCAATTTTTCGAACATAGGAAAAACCCTCTCCAGTCGTACATTCTTGTACATCTGGAAAGACTGGGCGTTTGCAATATTTGCACATCTCCTTTCTTATTTCATTCGTTTTCAAATAGTTTCTCTCAACCCTAATCGGATAGCCGAGCAGATGTGGGAACATCACCTTCCTGTTTTTCTCGCGCCAATATTCACACGACAGTTAGGAAGCGAAGACCAAACACGTATTTTTGGAATCTAATTTAGAAGGATTTCACCCATTCTTTTTGGAGAATTTGAAAAATCGCAAAATTTTGGAGGGTCGTGTAACGGTAAAAATAATAGCTGAAAAGAAAATCAAAAATTAAAAAAAAAAAAAACTTCAAAATCCAGTTTACAAAATTTTAATAATCCCATTTGGTTTTGGACATCATATTGATCATTTTCGTGGCGTTTTTGATTATATCAATATTGGCTAGCACTTCTAAGAGAGATGACGAATTCCCAATTTCGGTTTGGTGAGAAAAACGTCAAAACTCGCAAATTTATAAATTCTGCAAGTTATATTTTATTTCACATCCATTGAAAAAAACATTGATACTTTTTTTTGAAGTAGAAAAAAACTTGCTACTATATTTTAATTGACGCTGCAAGTTATGACTTATTTTGAATGTATTTCACGCAAAAAACAGCCAAGTTTGATGACAAAAATTATCCTGATGATTTTTTTTTCTAGGTCGCCTGAGGACAGAAAATGACATTAAAATCTGAAGAAAAAACTGATTTCGTCAATAATAGATTTCGAGTTTGTCACCTATTAAACTAAGGACTTTTTTGCATAATAAAATGCCCCTTTTTGGCACTTTTTTCCCATTTATTAATCGGTTCCAACGCTCAGGTTGCCAATCGACCAATGACAAACCTTGACCACGCCTATAAACTCCACCCATTCGCGCACTCATAGCTAATCCTTTGAAGAGAAAAGATTTGAACCTTTTTTTCACTTATTTTTCCTCGAAATGGGAATGAGAAGCTGAAATTCCCACGGATTGAATTTGAAAATAGTCAATTTTTTTTTATGAAGTGAGTCGATTTTCCAGGTGAAGCCCAACTGGTTGCCTCCCACGTTTGGAGTCAGGCGGAAAAGATTGAAACTATCTGAAAACCGAAGTAAAACTCAATTTTCTATTTTGAGATGAAAATAACCAATTTTGAAGACTCACTTCTAACCAGCAGCGCGATCGACTTGAAACTTGGTTTTCGCACTTTTTTGTCTTGATGGTGGAGAAAAGGAGGATATGGAAGCCCAAGGTGAAATTTGAGTCCCGAAATTTTAGTCATTTGAATTAAACTTTTGAGGTCGCATCGACGTCTTTGCAAGACAGTAAAAGACAATCAATCGAAGAAGGATGTTTTTGGTGGACCGGTGTTTTTTGGTACGCTTTTTTATTAGGGTAGAGGGGCAGCTTTCATCTATCAATTCTTCAAAAAAAGAGGTTTTTTTGAAGAGGTTTTTTTGAAACAAATCACTAGAAAAAAATTTTTTGACAACACTCAAAATCAGCCTTGTCAAATAAAATTTTTTCAAAACGCTTTCAAAAGAAAGTCTAAAGCTTAGTGAAAGTGGGTTTCGAGTTCAAAGAAATACCGTTTTTGTTCATAAGAACGGCTGAGGGTTGCGTCATCCAGCGGCATAAGTTTCATTCTACGCATTTTCTCTTTGTAGTCGCTTTGATCTTGAAAAAAAAAACGGCTTTGTTTTGAAGATGCTTCCTCGAAAAAAATTCCGGTTACGCAATCCGCCGGCTTGAGCTTTACTCTGCACTCCTTCTTTCATTTCATTCAGCTGCCAAAAAGGCTTTTTTTTCTCACTAGAGAGCTACGCAAACTCGTATTTGCGGATCAAGTTCAAACTTTGGTTAGGGTACTTGAAAACAAAATATATTGTCTGCTTAACCCAAATAGGTGCCGAGATAAATCTTGTTGAAAACGGAGGAAGTTTTCAGATTAATGCTTTTATCCTATTTTTCCTGGCTAAACATTTTTTGGTGTTTCTAGTAATCAGTCAATGCGACTGTATTGAAAAATAAAACAAGGTGAGAAAGCAGTATCCCGCCTTGCCCATTTTCACCCCGATCTTTCTTAGTACGTCATCGTGTTAATAAGATATTCTCTTTTGTTCTTTTTCACCGAATACAAACTCGCGTAGTCCTCTAGTCAGAATTCGAATTTGTGATTAGGAAGCACCAGACGCTCTGAGCTCTTCTTCGCTCACTTTTTTTTTCCGTTTGACAAAACACGCTTAAGAGACAAAAGGTGTGCGCCCCAAAGTTTACTTTGCGCCGTCTGCTGACCTTTTAGCGCGAAAATTCAAATTCCATTAAGATTTGTTTTCTTTCAAACTGAAAACTAGAGAATAGTCGAAATTTGGCAAAAAATCATGAAGACTAAAATTCAAAAGCGGTTCAAGATAATTGAGCCCAATTTATGGATCTTTCTCAAACTAGGGACATGTAGTGTGAAAATATTTTGATCCGATTCCCTCAATTACAGGTTCAAAAATCCAATAAAAAATCCATTTTTTTCGTATCCCGCTCCTCCGTGATTAAAGTGAATATACTTCAAAAAAACTTCAAAAAAATTACCCTGTGTCTTTTTTTGAGATATAATGGTCCTCAAAATAAATTCCAGAAAAAGCTTTGAAAAATAAATCAAAAAAATTCTCAAACTTTCAAAATGGCGAAATTTTTCTAACATCCTTCCTTGTGGGCTTTCAACATAAGCAATCGGGCGCTAAAAATATTCTCATGGTTTTCCAAAAATTTTGAATTCTCGATGCCATTATTTCAAAAAATCCCATTTTCCCACATCGTTAGGCAACTTTAATGTGCGTGTTTTCGAGCAAAAATACCGTTGTTGCATCTTGAGAACCGCCGCGAATGGGATGCGGCGTCGGGAACAAAGGAAAGGACAGAAAATGGGATCATAAGACAGAATTGTGCGACATGGCACTGAAATGGGCTTGTGAAAATTCATGTTGTTGCGGAATGAGACGGTAGTTTTGATGGCTGAGGTATTTGTCGTACATCATTTCTTCAGTACTTGAGAATTTATAACTGGTGAAGAAGGGTTTTTTTGAGATTGAGAAAGCGCGACAAGCTTTGAAAATTTTGACCGTTTGAAATAAGTTTTTAATAAGTATGATTGTCGATAATTTTTTTTCTGAGACGAAATGCCCGTTTCACAGCGAATTTCCAGAATGATCACGAAGTTAACGGAGATGCTCATACATTTTTAAACTTCATTCTCATCTCAAATCCGAACGCCTAGAAACCCCTTTTCGAGATATTTTCTCAAGTTACAGTAAAAGTTCTGAAGGATAAGGAGGCCGAATGTCGTAATGAAAAAGCTGAGGTTTCAAGATTGTAGACGGCAAAGGTGTCCTGTTATCTCGATGGCTTTTTGTCCTTTTCCTGTGGAAGATATTGATGAGACGGCTCAAAATAATCTGTTGAGGTTATTCCAAAATCGGGCTTTTTCTCGACAAAAAACTGTCAATGAAGAGGATACTTGTGACACATTCTGAATTCGAAAAGTTCCGGCCCGTTGAGGTCTTTTTGGAGCGGATCCCTGCTCTCCTCCAAAGCGTCTGGAGAGCAACGCTTTCCAAAAGTTTTTCCACGTTTCGAAGTTGCACGCGGCCATGCCAATCCGGCGCACAGTTCCTTTGTTGACGGCGCTAGAAGCACAGGAAAGGAGGAGGAGCTATAGAAAACGACAGGACGGCGTGGCACGACTTGGCACGGCCATGGGCTAAGAAGCGATCGATATCGCTCAGAAACAAGTCCTCCGAAACCTACAGTGCTTCGACTTCTTGCAAGCGCTTGAGCAGTCCGATTCCTACATAAATGGGAAAGAAAGCATCAAACTGAGAGTTGTGAATACATAGCCCATTTTTCGGATAATTATAAAAGAATGAAAACTGGAAAGTCATTAGCTTTTCTCAAAAGATTTTTCAGAACAATTCTCATTTTGAACTGAAAAAAGCAATTGGAAGATAAGAATCGCCCTGAAAGATTACTGTAGCGTGCACGAAATGCAAAAAGGGCCAAACGCCGGGAAAAGACTACGAAGGATGAAATATCTTCAAATTTCCAAGCTTCACGTAAATCGACTCTTATTGAGCCGTTCAAACTTGACCTTGGTCAGCCTTCCAGATAAAAGACATAGTTTATTCAAAAAGTTCTACTGTGCGGCTACTTCAAAAGAGCCACATGTGTACATCAGAAAGAAGCGCGGATCTACATATGGTTTGTGAAGAGTCTAAATATAAACTCGCGCACCGATTCTCGGAAGCCAAAAGCGAAAAAAGCTAAAGCTTGATCACAGCTGGCTTGGGACACAGAAACATATGGAAATTACTTCTTGATAGTTTAGTTGGTGTACAGTCACTAACTGCGCCAACTTATAGCTCCGAAGATGTAAATGTTTATTCATCGATGGCTCGAGACAATATTTCCTTTTGCTGTTGATATCCGTTGATAAAGAAGAACTCAAGTTTTTAAGCTGGCGGTTACTGAAATTTTTTTTTTGGTTAGAGGGTGTACCCTACAGTGGACCCCAAAAAGTGAGCTTTCGTCGATATTTTGGCGCGCTCCGCATTGGACCTGGACAGCGTGCATTCCTGTGGCGACCGGTCGGAAATGAAAAGTTTTTCGAGTTACCGTAACAGCTTACGGTATAAGTACCTTGATAAGAATTTGACGTTAAACGTAACTTTTGGTCTTCATCTTCCAGCGGGTTTTCAGTAATTTTCCCATGTGAGAAATTGAAAGTGGAACTTTTTGAGGGACATATTTAGTTCTATTCCATCCATTTACGACTTCTTCAATACTTTCGGACCTCCATGACGAAAAAAAAATTTTTTCCACGTAACACTATCTTCTTCTCGTCTGTAGTTTATGTTTAATCTTTTTTCAACTGTGGCTGCATAAAAAAAAATCGAGAACATTGGCTCGATCGCATTTGAGTCATCCCATCAACCTCTACCGTTAGAAAATGTCAATGTATTCCCATGTGGGAAAGGACAGGACGCCACGGTCTCGTGTCCTGACTCATGTGTTCGTGTGTCGTGGTGACATTTGGGCTACCTCGACATTAGAAGAACAAATGGGAACTGTCTTATTCCTCGAAGAAAAAACAGATTCAAAATGAACAGTCCATCTCTCGTTGGTGAAAAAAAAATGTACATGTTCTTCTTCGTTGAAAAAAAAATACGATCATCAATAGTTATTGACCAGGAAACGTTTTTTCCTCCCGGTTGACTTTTGCTGAAACTTTGCTTAATTGTACTTTAGGACCCCCTGATTGCAAAACAAGAAAAAAATTTCTCGCAATAGATCTTGTTTCCGAGTTATGGAGCTTCAAAGTGTGCAATATATAATTAGGCAAATAAGAGCTATTTCGTGTTTTGTCCTAACTCGAAAACGAGATCTATTGCGAGATAATTTTCTTTTTGTTCTAAGGTTAGGGGGTCCTAAAGTACACTTCAGCAAAGTTTCAGCAAGAGTTGAACCGGGGGTAGAAAACGTTCCCTAGTAAAGTGATTATATCAAAATTCAAATGGTGACGTGAATTTTTTGGCGCCTTTCCAATTTTCTGCACGCGCTACAGTAATCTTTCAGCGCGAACCCCTTTTTTCGTTCACTTTTTCTGCTTGATGCGGGTAGTAATATGAAATTGCTGTTATGACCTGTGATGTCAGAGAGCTTGAAAATTTTAAAATATGGTTTTCTTAGCAAAGGAAATATTTATTACAGTATCATTTGGATTGACAGGAAAATTGTTCAAGTTCTCATTCGTTTTTCCCAATACTTTGTGATTTTAAAATAGTTTGATTATTCTATGTATCATTAGCTAGCAGCAAATGGACTAAAGAAAAAATTCCCTTTTCATTCCTCTGATCTCTATCTTAAAAAAATAAATTTCATCCATCAAAAACTTAGAACAAGACGTCTGGTCTCCAGAAAGCGAACATCACTTGTTTTTGACGGATATCGATTTATTCAAGCTCGCCACGGCGCCATGGTGTACCATGCTGTTGTTTCTTTCTCTGTCTTCTCAAATGTACTGCTTTCAACTTTCACCGCACGAAGAACAAAGGAAATCGCGCGGCGACGAGTTAATTTTGAAATGTGGAAAACTTTTTGGCAACGGTTCACAAAGCACAAAAACTTAAAAATACAAAAAAAAGTACAGAAAGAAAAATGCATCGGTTGAGGCTCAAACTGGAATTTTCCATTCTTGTTATTCACTGTATTCTTACCAAAGTCTCTAGTATGTGAATTATTAGATAAAAAAATTTTTTTGGGAGATTCGAGAAATTTTTTTACTCTATTGAATAATCTCACCAGCCTTAATATTCAATAAAATTTTTTTCAAAAAAAGTAGGAAATTTGAAACTTTGGCTCGACCTCAACCCATCATTTTGAGTCATCACATTACCATGTACCACAAGAAAATGACAATAAGTCATCGAGCCAAAAAGGCCACAACTTTGCCGTCTACGATCTTGAGTCATCCGCTCTTGTACACTTGATGACATTTGGTACCATTCTTTAACCACATTTTTTCCTGGATGAAGTAGCCGATAACCTCGGCTGTAACTTTACCTTTTCATGCTGTCCAGAACCTCGGTTGTAGAAAATACATTTAAAAAACTTCAAATGTAAACTTTCACCAATTTCTCACTCGGCAAAAAATCCCGACAAGCTTGTCGACGTTTTTCGTTGTATGATAAAAATTGAAAAATTATAAGAATGAATATTTTCTAAGCTTCTGTTATTAAGTAGTCCAGGCCAGTAACCATTCAAAAACCTGATCGAAAGTTTATAATTCGAAAAAAAGTTCTTGGCAGGTCGTGTAGGAATCAAAAAAATATTGGACGTTCCGTATTTTACGCCGTAGAGATCTCTTTCCTCAGCTTTTTTTTTCCAAGAGCCGATGCGCGAGTTTATTTTTCGTTCTCGCAAAACCATATGTAGAGCCGCGCTTCCCTCTGGTACACACATGTGCTTAGTTATTTGAAGAAGCCGCACTGTAAGATTTTTTGGATAAACTATGCCTCTGGTCTACAATAGTGAGCGAGGTCAAGTTTAAGTCTATTCACCATCCGTTTGAGAAATTAAAGAGGGTCGTTGCGCGCTTGACCGAGACGGAGCTTCAGAGAGCTTCGAGGAAAGCAATGTGGAAAGTAAAAAGAAGTAAAATATAATCAGAAAAGCAGCCATGAATGTTGGACCATCATGAAGGACGGCTCATTTGTAGCAAGTTAACAGGAAAGAAAAATTGTTTGAACCTAATTTTCGGCCATCCAAGCTTCATCGTTTCGCTGGTCTTTTTTTCATACCACCGGAAAATCTTCATAAGAGTAAAGAACTCAGTGACGACAGGACGGGGTAATTCCAGTAGTTTTTGTGAGCGAAGCTAGCGGTGAACGGCAAGAAAACTTGAGCAAAATTTTTTTCAAAAAATCATTTCCTCATATTTTAGCTCGACAAAAAAATATTCTTTTGGTATGATATGAAGGAGATGCGTCACTGTTGACTCCAAGAAAAAAGAAATGTTTTCTTCCCCAATATTGAATTATACAAGACCATGACGACGTGCCTCTTTGCCCCATTATTGAACTGTTGGAAAGGAGCAAAGTCCGTCTTAGATTTCGAAACAATCGCTTCCTGTCTTTGAACGATATGGATTTTCTGAAGCACAGTGGCGCCGCGCCATGCCCTCCTACGTTCCTGTCTTTTTCTCTGGCCTCTAATTTAATCTTATGCTCTTTGCGCGTGAGGAGCGCAACCGTGCGCCGAAATTTGAATAGTGTGACCGCGTGCGACTTTGAAACGTGGAAGATCTCTTGAAAAGCGTTCTTTTGGTACGACGGAACACAGGAGAAGGCAGAGAAAGAGACAGGAGCCGAGCGCGGCGAGGCACGGTCTTGGACTCAAAAAATCCATATTGCTCAAAAACAAGTAGCGACTGTTTCGAAATGCGCCTCGCCATCAGTTTGTCAACAAAGAATTCGCCCAAGCTAAGAGACGAAAGAAACTCGGGAACGGACTAGATGGAAATTTACTTGTGTGGTCATTTCAAAACCGGCTTGGGACAAGAAGGAGGTCGTTCTTTCGACGTTTCCTTGTAAAGTCAGAACTTGATTCTCGATTTTTCAATTTTGCGGCTCAACCCATTGGATAGGATAGAAACTTAAGTTCAGAGTACTACTTCAAAAAAAAAAAACAATAGAACAGAAGCTCTGAACTCGTACAGGCTGATAGCAAAAGTAACGATGTTTAATCATACTTTTTCTCTTCTTGAACTTCGTTTTCCTACTGGGATATCTGAGCAAAGCGGAAAAAAAAGATTGGCCTGGAGCTGAAAGATCACAAACGTAGAAAAATGAAACAGCGCCAAACTTTGAAGTACGAAAACTCAATTCAAAAAAATTTTTCCTATAAGTTTCACAAAAAAAACCCCAGACAGCGCTTGAAAAATATTATTCAATGCATCATGATGTATTTTTGGAGACGACGAAATTGAGAATAAAAAAAGCTTCTAAGAGGTAAACTTAAGTTTGAGATGGTTTAAAAGCTTTCTGCCACTAAGTTTCGGACTATAGCTGTGTTTTTCACAAAAAAAAACGGAAAAGTGCGTTTTAATCTCAATCTTTTTGAATCTAAATATGATTTTCAAGAACTCAAAAATCACTGCAATTGAAATAGATATTCAGTAACCATCCTGTTGGTCGCAAATCCGTTTTTGTTCGAACTATTATTCAAATCAACGTTTATTCACGTCAGGACCTAGAAAAAGAACAAACAGTCTTGACTTTCTGGCCGTTTTTCACATGGTACCAAACAATAGTGGGAAAAAGTACGTGATTGCGTTAAGTGAATCATGATGTCTTGCTCAGAAAGGCACACGGCCTTGGCGAAATTTATGCATAAACAATTGGGAAATCGTTATCTTGTGATGCCAAGCGTCAAGATTGGAAAAAAGATGAGAGCCATTTTTAGAATCTATACGAAATGATAGGAGCTTTGCAAGAAAGAGAATATCCCTATAGAAACGTACGAATTCAAGTCAGAACCTCAATTAATTAAAACCTGGACAGTGAATTTGAGGGCACTGAGAAAATTTTAGAATATACAGTTGATACCTGAAATCTGTCATTTTACCTTGCGGCTTGGAATTTTCTACAGATTTGCTCATACAGTCTCTGAAAGTTTATATGATGATCCATAAAAATTGCAACCCGCGCCAGCTTCTAGATTTTGAGATAATTTTGAAAGTCGAAAAGTTCGGCCAAAATCCATTTTTCGCAACTTTGAAAAATCATATCTCAAAAACTAGAAGTTTGGGCTGATAATGAGGGATCTCTATCTGGACCTTCAGAGAGTGTTTGAGAAAATTTGTAGAAAATTCCATGCCGTGAAATGAATGACCTCCTTTTTTAGAGCCCTTGAAAAAATGGAAACTCTTTGCTCAATTTGGTGTATAGCTTATAACTTCTTAGGACTTGGTCCAAACACTATCTGAAGGCCATAATTGAAATTTTTCATAATCGCCATCTGCGCTAGCCTCTAACTTTTGGTGTATCTGTTTCAAAAGTTACTAGCCTGAAGTTGTGTTTGACGAGAATTTTGAAACCGCTCGTCCTCAAAACAAAGTTATTAGGCTTGTGAAAACTATGGCAGATCATCATCCAAATTATCAGAAAATTAAATTTCGGAGAAACTTTATTTATATCACTGTTTCACCAATCTCTTTATAAAATTTTTACAAACACGCTCTAATTCAGCTTTGTTGAGTCACGTTGTGAAATCTTGTTTTCGTTTTGCAAAACAGCGAAAAAAAAATTTTTTTTTCTAGCTTGCGTACTTTGTACTGTCTCAAACGCTAACGCTCTCCTCTTCCCCCACAGTTTCTTCAAAGGGGGAAAAGTATTATTCATCAAAAAGTTTTTTTTTATCCATTTCTGCAATCAAAGCTCAGAAGAAAATGGGCGGGGCGAGGCCAATGGCGTACGCCCATACCATGGCCACGCCTACTGCCGCCTATAAAAAGCCGGCTGGCCTGTGGCTTCCTCACTTTTTTCGCTTTTTGGTTCCTGCTCTCTTCTCGCCTTCAACGCCAAGATGCTCTTCGAAGCTGCTCGACTACTTCATCGAGGCTGGACGGATGCTGGAGCTGGAACTGATCGGACTTCTGATGTTTGTCTGCCGCGACGACGAAGATGTGGTTGAACGACATCTTCCGAAGCTCTCAAACAACACCTCCATCGAGAGCACGAGGTACAGCATTGCTACAAATTTTTCACCAAATGAAAAATAAATCATCAAAAATCGTGCTATAATGAACTTATTGCAGGTGTATGGCGACTTCTCGGCTTCTTTGGCTTCGACTACCGTTCTCTGAGATTAGCTTCTGGCCGCGTCGTTTTCTGAAGAGGCTCACCAACTTCTTCAACGCTGGAGCGGACAACAACAGACGGAGGACGTCGACTTCCTGAAGACTTGGAGTCTTGGAGGTTTCAAATTCAGGAAAAACGATAATTAAGAAGAGAATAGATGAGCATTTTTGAGTGATTAGGGGTTCTGAAAGAAATAAGAATAAGGAAATTCTAGTGTAAGTCAAAAGCTTGGAGCTCTGCGACGCGACTACGAAGATCTTCGCCTTCAGGAGTTATTTCAGAAAAATAAAACTCATAGGGAATATAGAAAAATTAGATGATAACGTCACGTCGCAAGGATCTTCTGATGTTCGACTCTACGACTGCGCTCCAAAATCCACTTTTCAGATTTTAGAGTAGATTAAATGAAAAACGAGTCAAAAATTGAAAACTTCAAGTTCAAAAAGGGGCTTTGAAAATTAGTGATAAAGTCATAGAATCAACAGGAATCGCAGGAATAAGAAGACGGACTCAGGTCTTCCAGGCTTCAAATTTGAATTCACAGTACCGTTCTGTGAGATATACAGTTACACTTTTTTCGTCCTATCTTATCCAGAAATCATCTAATTATCGTCAAACTTTTTACAGCTGTTTTATATGGGTCCAGTTTGTTATCCCAGAGAAATTAGAACCATAGCTCATTTTTTAAGTAAGTTACAGTCTGAAACCTGAAATCAACGAAATCTCCGAAATAGAAAGCCGATTTCAAAATTTTTTTTTGGTCGATCCACGCTAGGAAACAGTTATTGAACCCTCTTTCATGGTTCACCAAAATTTTTAGTTTATTTTACTATCGCTCGCTCAACTATAAATTTACTACACATAATAAAAAAAAGCTCTAAGTTCAGACGCCCATGATTTTTTGGGATTTTCGGATTATCGAGTCACTCACATACTTTTCGATTGATTTCTACTTTCGAACTTTATTAATGAAATTGTAGTAAACTTTATCTGAGTATTAGACATTTTTTTGGAACGGGTAGAGCCAAAAAAACAGCGGATCAAAAAGCCGACAAGGCTGGCTCTTCCTCTTTCAAAAAAATGTTTAGTACTCAGATAAAGTTTACTACAATTCCATTAATAAAGTTCAAAAGTGGAAATCGATCGAAAAGTATGTGAGGGTCTCGATAATCCGAAAATCCAAAAAATCAAGGGTGTCTGAACTTAAAGCTTTTTTTCTGGGTAGTAAATTTATAGTTGACCGAGCGATGGTAAAATGAACTTAAAATTTTGGTGAACCATAAAAGTGGGTGCAATAACTGTTTTCTAGCGTGAATCGACCAATAAAAAATTTTTGAATTCGTCTTTCCATTTCGGAGATTTCGTTGAGTTCAGGTTTCAAGCTGTAACTTACAAGAAAAATGAGCTATGGCACTAATTTTTCTGAAATAACAAACTGGACCCATATAAAACAGCTGTAGAAAGTTTGACGATAATTAGATGATTTCTGGAAAAGTTATGACGAAAAAAGCGAAATTGCATATCTTACTGCACGGTACTGTAGGTCGGTAGAAAATGAGAAAAAACGGAAAAAACGCTGGTTAAAAACAAAGTAGTTGAAAACTCACTAGAAGAAAAACTTGAGGGTTTCTTTTTGCATGATATCGTATTTTGGTTTTTCACAATTTTACCTTCCTTCTTTTGAAACTATTCGCGTCTGGCCTTATTGAAATTCGGAATTATCGGATCAGTGCTAACTCGAAAAAAATTGTATCTTAGCTCATCATCCTGAAGCAGTCTTCTCCTTCTCAGTAGTTGTTCGCCCAATCAACTTTTCAATTTTGGATTACTGGAAAATTTTTTAGCTCATTATCGTCAAGTTTCAGTGAACCTCTAACTTTTGAATCAAAATTTCCTTTTTTTGAAGTTCTTACTCGGGTTATCATCCTCGAACTTTTGCATATTTTTATTCCAGCTCTATCAACTCTTCTCGGATTTCCAGTCCTTTGGAGAAATCTCACAGATCATTATCCAGGCTCTTTTTTTCAGTAGCTCTCTATCTAAACTTTACAACTCAAAAAAATATTTCTCAGCTCATCTTTCTGAAACAACTTTCTATAAGTTCTCAATAGTTCTTGGCCTTATATTTTCAATCATTCAAACTTTGGATCAGTCCCAATTAGAAAATTTTTCTTTTTCAGCTTATTATCCAGAGAAACTTTCTTTTTATCCAGTACTTCTTCTACTAATCTTTAAGAGTCACAAACTTTTTGGATCAAGCCAACTCGAAAAATTCTTCCAGCTCATCTTTCTGAAACAACTTTATATAAGTTCTCAATAGTACTTGGCCTAATATTTCCTATCGTTCTAACTTTGAATCAGTGCCAATTAGAAAATCTTCATCATCAGCTCATTATCCACACACAATTTTTTCATCTAGTACTCCTTCGTCTAATCTTTAAGAGTTACGGATTTTTGGATCAAAGCCAACTTTAAGAGTTACGGATTTTTGGATCAAAGCCAAAAATTTTCTTTGGCTTATCATTTTGAAACAACTTTCTATAACTTTCCAGAAGTTCTCGATTTTCTTCTAAATCTTGCGGAATATGGATGAGTGCCAACTTGGAGAATTCGTTTTAGCTCTTTCTTGTTCTATCATTTTTTAAGTAAGAAAAATCTTTTTTTTTACCAAGAACGGTGATTACAGTTGAAGCTATAAAATTTTCAAAAATTAAACTCTTTGAAGTCCTGAGAAATTTTCTTCTAATCATGAACTGTGCGAACTTTTGGTTTCATAAAAATGAGTTTTAATATAAGGCCAAAGCATGTAACCTGCACCTACTAACAGCATCAGCACTACTAATATCACTGACACTGCCACTAATAAATCTCTGCATCAAGAACTCATTTTTTCGAACCCAAAAGTTTTCGCCGGAGCCATATAAAAAACATATTTATCAGGACTTCAAAGAGTTTGTCAGCCATTAAATAAAGTGACCCTGACAGTTCATCTGAAATGGCTTTTTTTTTATTAAGGAATCAAATCAAAAATTCTGCTCATAACCTCCTTTTTTCCAGATTGACTGTAGAAAAAAACTCTCCACCGATTTTTTGGAAGATTCCTGTTCAGTCAGATACAAGCGTAGAAAACTCGTTTTACAAAAAAAGTTTTTACGAAACGGCTTGGGAATGGTTTCAGGCCTGGACCATTTTCAAGAACGATTTCTGAAAATTATCTTTTTCGAACTGAAAAACGACCGCCAGGGATCTTTCGCCGAGTACTTTGGGAATTCCTTCTCTTGAAAATGGACAAAAAAATAACCACCGTTTATGATCTTATAAAAAAAGCACTCTCTAGTTATTCAACTGATTTTTTTCAATATTCTATCATTTTTAAGATTCTAGGAGGTCCCTTTCATTCAAAAAAATAGAAAAAAACCTTTGATTGTGAATTTATTTTCTAATATTCTAAAAAAATTTTTTTAACCTCCAGGAAGTTCCTTTAACTCAAAAAAATAAATTTGAATACCGCTGATTCTGTTCCGCCTGTCTGTGTTCAACTGATTTTTAAAAATATTCCATTTTTTTAGACTACAGAACCTTCTTTTTTTTCAAAAAAATAGAAAAAAATAATTTGCTTTATTTGCTTGCTTCATAAATATTAGAATCTTTTTTTAGACTCTAGGAAGTCCTTTTTCATTCAAAAAAATAGAAAAACCCTCTGATTCTGAATTTATTTTCAAATATTTTAAAAATTTTTTTCTAAACTCCAGGAAGTTCCTTTTCTCTCAAAAAAATAAAAAAATAAAAAAACCGCTGATTATGTTCCGCTTGTCTGTGTTCAACTGATTTTTAAAAATATTCCAATCTTTTTTTAGACTCCAGGAACTTCCTTTTTTTAAGTAGACAAAAAAATAACCGCTGATTCGCTTGATTTATGAATATTCTAAAATTTTCTAGACACCAGGAAGTTCCTTATTTTAAATAAAAAAATAAGAACCGCTGATTGTGTTCCGCCTGTCTGTGTTCAACTGATTTTAAAATATTCCATTTTTTAAGACTCCAGGAACTTCCTTTTTTCAAAAACAGACAAAAAAAAACCGCTGATTCGCTTGCTTTACAAATTTTATAATATTATTAGACCTCAAGAATTTTTCTCAAAAAGTGAGAAAAAACCCCTGCTTCTGAATGGATTTTCGAATATTCTAATATTTCCAATCCTAGGAACCTCTTTCTCTTAAAAATAGACAAAAAAACCTCTAATTCGGTTCAGCTTGTAAAAATTGCCCTCTCCACTGGTTCGATTGATTTGTGAATTTTCCAACATTTTTTTAGACTTCAGGTAGTTCCTCTTTCTTAAAAAAATAGAAATAACTATTTTTTTCGGGAGTTATCGATACGAATTTTTTTCCGAGCACACTGATCACAGCCAGAAACAATTATTATACAAAAAAATTCATGAAACTCTCAAGTTCGGCGGGCTTTTTTTATCCAAAAGTGTAAACCCAATGGAGAATTAGGATAGGCTTAGTTGAGAGAAAAAATACGACAAGGATCTTGGGCGGCTCGACGACGTCTACCCGCTTCGAAGCTACATTTGAATCAAACTTGCTATTTTAGATTGAAAAATAGGAGAGTTGAGAATAAGATCGACCCCTTCTGAACATCTGGACCGACGTCTTCTGAGCCGACATCTCCTGGACCGACTTCATCAGAATTGACTTCTGTGAACCAACCTTCTTGGACCGACGCCTTCTGGATAAACGACTTCTTGACCGACGTTTTCTGCACCGACGTCTTCTGGATCGAGGCATTTTGAACGGACGTCTTCTGGGACGACATCTCTTGGAAGAAAGCCTTCTAAACCGACTTCTACAAACCAACCTCCCGTGGATCGACGCTTTCTGGACCGACGCCTTCTGAACTGACGTCTTCTGGGACGACATCTCTTGGATAAACGCCTTCTGAACCGACTTCTTCAAATCAACCTTCCATGGACCGACGTCTTCTGGATCGAGGAATTTTGAACGGATGTCTTCTGGAACGACATCTCTTGGATAAACGCCTTCTGAACCGACTTCTTCAAACCAACTTCGCGTGGATCGACGCCTTCTGAGCGGACGTAATTTTAGCCGACGTTTTCGCGACGGCAGTGGTATCTTCTGGGCCCAGTCGTCTTCTGAAGCTGCTCAACTCTCTCAACGCCAGTCTGCTGAAGGTAAAATGTTTTCGAAACTTTGAACTAAAAGAAAAACTTCGTTTTCATCTTCAAACTTATGCTGAATTCATTTTTTTGCAGATGGATGACGTTCTCGAGGATCTTCTTCATTCTCGATGACGGCCTTCGAAGACTTCGACGGCAACTATCGGAAGACGTTGGAAAGGCTTGGAGCCTTTGAGGTTTCTCAGTAGGATTGAGCTGTGAGAATTAGGATTGGAAATAATTGAGAAGTAGTTTCAAATGAATAAGGGTTTCGGAAGAGTTGATAGTAAAGGAGGGTGAGATATAAGGATAGAACCTGTAGCTCTGCGGCGCCTCTACGATGATCTACGAAAAGCTGTTTCAGGAAAATATTAGGAACTAGATAATGACGTCATTGGTTCGACACACTCCTTGATGATCGACTGAACTGCAGCGCTCAAAAAAAGAATTTTTAAGATTTTCAGATAAGGTTAAGAACAATGATTTAGTTGGAGAAGGGTGTGGGGAATCAGTGAGAGAGAGTTGAAGTATCTAGGTTCCAATTAAGTGATTTCAGAGAGGCTTTTAAGTAAGGTAGATAGTAGAAAAACCGCCGTGGCTGCAGAAATGGACGGAAAAGAGCTTCCGTCGAAAGATAAAAATAGGTAGAGTTCTAGAAATGACCGACGTTAAACAGAATTGGAACAGCTTGACGATCGGCAGAGGTCAAACTCGTGGGCTCTTTGGAAGAAGCTGAAGACTGGCAACGGAAAATGGCGAAGATTTCGAAATCGGCATCGAAAACGAAATTTCAACATCAACTACGATGAGGTATGATTTTTTCAGCTTAGAGTTCATCGAAAATAGAACTCCTTGGCTAAAAAAAAAATAAATGTTTACAGCGAGGTGACGGAACGGAAACGTCTTCTGGACTGATTCGACTGAGGACGGCGACTGGAGGATCGACGTTGTCTTCCAAGACAATTTGAAAAGTGCTTCATATCACTCGAAACTCCTTCAAAACGTCATCACCGGATAGCTTCAGGTAATAATTGTTCAAACCTTTAAAGATGTCAATAACTTTTTCATCAACACAATCAAACAATGAGCTTCTTACAGTGTGATGACGCCGCCAGAAGACTGATCGACTTCCCGAAGATGATCATCAACAACGACTTCCGTGAAATCAGAAGGAGGTCATCGCTTCTGTCAATGAGGTTCTTGTTAGGTTCCGGGATTCAGTTGTAGAATAAGAAAGTAGTTTCAATAGGATTTCGAAAATAGGAGGTTGTGAGAAGTGAAATTAGAGGAGCGTTGAGAGAAAGTTAGGTAATGACGTCATCGCTACGAGGAATTTCTTGATGCTCTACCGAACGACCGTGCTCCAACTGTTCAGATTTTCAGGGTTTCTTTAGAGAATAGTTTTTAGTTGAAGAAGGATTTTGAGATTTAGTAGGTGAATGATAGGATGAACAACTACAACAATTGGACGACGACTCGAGGAATTCTGGGCTTCAACTCCAAATTAGGATGTCGAAACTGATTCAGTTTAATGTAACAATTTGCAGGTTAGATAAGTGAACGGATGAGAAGTAGATTGAGTTCTAAGGGTTTCCAAAAATGAGAAATTTCAGATGGAAGGTAGAAGTAAAGTAGATAGTAGAGTGAGATTCTCATCGCCGTGGCTGGAGGAATCGGGAGACGTTGCTCCAAAAAACGCTGGAATAAATCCAGAAGGTAATACTTCAGAAGAGAGACTGATTTATATTACCATCAGACTGTCTTGAGGTTCGGCCGCGTTGGAGCTCGAAAACGACTTTGGTAGAAGCTGGCGGCGAAAGATGGCGTGGGACGGCTCGCACAATCGACTTCTGAAGTTTTTTCATCGTCTACAACGACAAGGTAGGATTCTTTTTGATATCAGGATTAACTATAAATACTGCTTCTAATTTTAAATCCTGAAATTGAATTTTTGCAGCAAGATGACGGACGACTTGTGGATTATCTCGACTGAGGTCTCGAGGCGGTGATTGGAAGATCGACGGTGTCTCCTGAAGGAATACGACGTCAACGACAAACATCCCAAGGTATGATCCTTCAAAAAAACTTTCTAGAAACATTTCGCCTTTTTCGCGAACTTCAATTGTATGAATCATTTTTCAGCAAAAAAAAACAATTTGGACGGGGCTGAAACCTTTATCGTCATCCTTTGAAGATCTGCGACGAAGACACTTTTTCGAGTGGAAAATGCTTCGGAGCTGTCCGACAACTTCAGCGTCGGGAAACCTCCGAGTAAGCCCTTGTTTGAATTTAAAAAAAAAATGTTTCATGTAGTTTATTATATCTTACAGTGCGATGGCGCCGCCAGAAGACTGATCGACTTCCGAAGATGATCATCAACAACGACTTCCGTGACATCTGAAGGAGGTCATCGCTTCTGTCAATGAGGTTCTTGTTAGGGTCCGGGACTCAGTTGTAGAATAAGTGAAAGTAGTTTCAATAAGATTTCAAAAATAGGAGGTTGTGAGAAGTGAAATTAGAGGAGCGTTGAGAGAAAGTTAGGTAATGACGTCATCGCTACGAGGAACTTCTTGATGCTCTACCGAACGACCGTGCTCCAACTGTTCAGATTTTCAGGGTTTCTTTAGAGAATAGTTTTTAGTTGAAGAAGGATTTTGAAAATTAGTAAGTAGGATGAACAACTAAAACAATTGGACGACGACTCGAGGAATTCTGAGCTTCCACTCCAAATTAGGAAATCGAAACTGATTTAGTTTAATGTGAAACTTGCGTGGTTAGGAATACGACAGGAAGGAAACAACTCGAGGAAGATGATCGACTTCTGGATTCGATTCGAAAAAGTAGTCGTGATGACCATTTGATGCATGTGTGGAAATCACTTTTTAAGTTCTTTGTGTTTTGAAATGAGTTCGTGTCTTGTTTTCATTGAATGTTTCCTTTGTTTTTTACCCTCTTGAAAAGTACCCAACATCTTACCAGGGAACTACGTGAACTCGTTTTTGCGGGTCGAGTTCAATCTTTGATAGTAAATACTCCTGCGTCGGGATATTTGAAAACAGTAAAGATTATCGGCTAAACCCAAGAAAAATCTTGTTGAAAACAGACATATCAGGCTTGAATAACTTCAGAATACTGCTTTGGACCTTATTTTTTTCAGTACAATTGAGTTATCGGGCTTCAAAAAAGACCAAAAAAAGCATTTTTCCAGCGAAAAAAATTCAAGAAAAGAAATAGCCTAAAAGTTTTCAAACCTAATTTGTCCATTTTCGACAAGTTTTTTCTCGATACCGGGTTAAGAATATATTCGCTATTGTTTTCAAACATCCTGTCCTAGGTCTATAAAATACCATTCGCACATACGAGTTCGCATAGTTCCGTGGTTAGAAATTTTTAAGTTCTACTTCAGTTTTTTCACACTTTGTTCTTTCTCCTTGCATGACATTGATTTCGACGTGATTGAAAAAAATTGAATAAACAACTTACGTCATCAAAATTAAGTTTTATTACAAAAAAAAAGATTTCAAACATTTCGAAAAATATTGAGTTTCCAACAATTTTTCGACTTCAAGTGAGATTATTCTTACTGGTTTTCAAAAATTCTCAGAAATGACTAGAGAAACACAAAAACTTCATAAAAAAAGTCTTTTTGCAAACACATCGCGATTTGTTAAAAAAATTTCAACAGTAGATCAAAACTACCATTTTTTTCTTTTTTTCATTTACTCTTCATGTTAGACTTCATTCATTTTACTTTTTTTCTTTTTCTGTTCATTTCTGAGAATTTTTTTACATCTAACAAGAACTTTCGAAAAATTAGCGTTTGCATAAGATTCCTTGTAAGGCGATACCCGCAAAAACTTTTTTCTTGAGGATATGAATTTTTCGAAGTCGCTTGGGGATGGTTTCAGGCCTGGACCATTTCCAAGAGGAATCTTTGATAATCATTGTCTTCAAAATAAAGAGTTTTTGCAGGTAGCGACTTCTAAGAATCTTCATTCAAACATTCGAATAGTATTTTGGCTGATATACCAGAAAAATCGCGCTTTTCATAACAATGATTCTCTGATTCAAAAGCATGTTCCCTCAAAAATAACCGCACTAAAAAGTTTTGAGCTATTATTTCGATTCAGTTTCCTGATTTTTTTTTTTGGTTTATTTGGTTGAACTAACTTTCGAAGAGAATTTTTCTAGAGCACGTCCGAAAATAAATTATCTACTTTTTAAACTTGTGGCTTTCACGAAACATCAGAGCTATGAAATAAACGTTCTTCTTTTGTAGAGTTTGAAAGGAAACTTCTAGTATCTCAAATTTATTTGGTTCTGGATGCTCTAGAAAAATTTTAACTCTGAAGTCGTTTTGAATGTGTCCGAAAGTTGGAAGTCTAGTAGAATAAGAATTTTATCGTCAAGAGGAGAGGTGGACAAAATCGGAAGACGACGGCGTGATCTGCCTTTGCTGCATTTGAACAGGTGAGATTGAAAAATCAAGCTTTTTAGCATGGAAAAATCTTAAGGTTCGATTTGGCGTCAGTGAAACTTGAAGTTAGTTCCGACTGGTGTCTCCAAACGGCTGCTGGGGGATCGACTACTACTTAAGCTGTGAAAAATAACCATTCTCAGCGAAGACAAGGTAATATATAATTCATGAGATTATTTGCAAAAATAGACCGTTCCTTCTTCATATAGTTTCATGATTGCAGAAGGCAACTCAAAAAAAGCTGGACTACATGGAGGGAATTCGACAACAGCGTCATGGAAACCTTCTCAAAAGAGGGCTTCTACTCATCATAAAAAAAAAGTTCGTTAAAACTTAGAAGAAAATAATAATCAATAATCTCAACTTTTTTTCACCCAAACGGAGAAGCGGCTCAAGAAGCTGCAACGGGACGTCTTCGACTTCTTCTGAACTGGCACCGACTTCTGAACTGCGGCCTGCGTCATAAAACAAGGTACGACATTTTTAACAGAAAAATGACAGTTTCTCGGTTTGCGAAACAGGAATGGAACCTTTTGCAGAAAAAAAGCTGACAGCCGACCTCGTCTGCATGGATTCTACTACAGTGCTGTGGATAGATCGACTTGCTTCCACCTGACCTTCTTCCTTAACGAAAAGGCCCATCGAACACACCCAAAGAAAAGAGCTATTTAAAGCTTCTGAAAAACAAGGTTCAATATTTTTTTTAAAACCTAATTACAGCCTCTTAGTTTGTAAAGCTTAATCACATTTTCTTGCAGAAAAAATACACAAGGCCGACGTCTTCTGAATGGTTTTTACTGGCTCCTTGATGCGATTACTCTTGGTTCGGCGACCTCTTCCAATTATTCGAAAGTTATCATGCTCAACAAAAAAACAAGGTAAAAATTATTTTTTTATAGGATTATTTGCAAAATTAAGTTCCCGTTCTTAATTCTTCGTATTCAACAGAAAAAAAGACGACTCGAACAGAAGATAGGCTGTTTCGCCGTCACCTGGAAACCTGCACTGAAATTGACGACGTCATCGAGCAAACCCAAAAAAAAAAAAAAAAAGTTACAAAATTCCATAAAAAGAATAGTCATCTATTTTTTTCATCATGATCATCCGAAGACGTACGCGAAGAGGGCCTGAAGGATTTGGACGGCGTCTCTGGAACAACCACTCAGAATATTGAAACAGGTAGCTTCTAAAAATCCCTGATATATGAGTACTGGAAAGTCTTGAGGTTGCATCTGGATGAGGCGACCGCGTGGACCAACTCGGTGATCGGCGGCTTCAACAAAATGCCTACGACGACGCTTGGATTTGCTTCGTCTCGGGATAAACTTTCATCTTTAAAAGAAAAGGTAGATCTTTCAAACTTCAAGAAAAGATTTTAACTTCGAATTTTTATTTTTTCAAGCTTTCTATAACATTCTATAACATGATGAAATTATCTTTCAGGAGAATTCGACTTGAAGAAATGTTAGAGCTGCACCATCTCATTTGTTCATCCGACGTCTGCAAGAAAAAAATGCTCAACTTCGTTCGCAGCTCTTCTATAATCCCATAAGCTTCAGGTGAGGTTCCGAAATAACTATCCATCTTTATTAAGTCAATCTCATATTCAACTTTTTTTACAGCAAGAGGACGCTAAGAGAAGGCTGACACTTGGAAGCTTCGAAGATGATCATCAACAACGACTTCCGTGAGATCTGAAGGCCGACACCACTTCTGTCAATGAGGTTCTAACCTAATCTTGGGGCTGAGAGGTGGAAACCTGTGAGAGATACCGAGTAGCTTTAAAAACAACGGAAGATAAGGCGATCTTTTAAGCTCCAGGTGTAGGGAGGAATAGGGAAAGATAGATAGTGACGTCGTCGTTCGAAGGATCTTCTTGATGTTTTACAGCTACTGTGCTCTGAGCCTAAATTTCAGATTTCTAAGAAGATTGAGAGGAGTTTTTAGTTTGAGAAGGTTTTGAGAGTTCGTAGAAGAATGAAAAAATCGACGCGGAGCTTCAGGAATTGGACGACTTCACAACTTCTGAATTTCTTCTTCGCGTTTAGGACGTCAATAATTGAGCTGTTAGGAGGACAGGGGGATAAAATTTATTTCAGAAAAAAAACGACCGACTTCCTTTTCTGCAGGAACTTCTTGTTGGAGACACGACTTCTTGGCCCAGCTTTTCGAAATAGTTTTTTAGTGGTTCAGAAAATAGGTTGGAATCGTCTTGAAGTCTGAGAGAGCTTAGAAGAACTTGAGCCTAGACAAAAAACTACTCACGGATCCTTTTCAATCGTTCTTCGCGATCTTCTTGAAATACTTCTTGGCTTCAGAACTCGAAAAAGTATCAAAAGTAAGTCAAAGTCTTCTTAGAACAACGGGAAACTTTTTCACAGTACGACACTCATGACGATAGTCAAAGAATAGGAATCAAAAATGAACGGCGCGTTTTTGAAATAAACCAAAATAGTAGTAAAATGGCGGATTTGAATTTAACATTTCTCTTTCGAAACGATCTCTTTTTTCTGAAAAAAGTGCCTTTTATTTCTCGTTTTTGAACTATCGTCGCAAGGGTTCCAAAGAGAGAATGAACAAGAGTAGTTATGAGAAACTTTGGGTTTAGGGAGAAGGTTTGAGAAAAAGTGAGATTCTTTTGAAAATAGCTGTGATGACCACTTCAAGCATGTGTGGGAATCACTTTTTGTGCATGACTTTTTTTATTGTTTTTTTGTTTCAATCTTTTTTTCTCTTTTTTTGCTCTTCATCCGATCACTATTTTTTTGAACTTTTTGATTAGTTTCCATTCAAAAAAATACTTATTTTTTTTAAAAAAATTTTTCTAGCTCAATTTTTTTCATTTTCGAACTTTTTTTGACTTCCCACATCTTTCGAAATTCACATCCGAGCCTAAAAAGTTTTTTTCTTATGACTAAACTTCCCACTCATTCTTACTATTTCTTCGCATTTGGACTGAATACTTTCCATACTCGCAAGGGGATTCTCAAACCTATCACTTTTCTTTTTTATCAAATAGCCAGAATTTTCAATTATGTGCTGAGAAAATATTTTGGAAATGTTTACGTTTTACAATCTCAGACGCACAACTTTTTGCAGTTCCTACAAAAAAACTTCTCTTCTCGAAAAATTTGCGAAGAAGCTTTTTTTGACTGTTCCATGATTGTAGACGCAATTTTAAATCTGCGTTTATTTTTTTGTCATTTCAATTTCCATTTTCTGATTCGAACAGTTTGAATATTTTTTTACGAATAACATCAACTTAAACATTTAGTGACCATTTTTCCAACTCATATCAAGTGGAAACTGAAATAAAAAAGTGAGCGCAACCCCGGGGTGTGCCTACAATTATGACAAAGCCAAAAATCGTTTTTTTTCACAAATTGAGAGAATTCCAAAAAAATGCCACCTACCTTTTTAACTCTGAGTTTCGTCATGATCTCAATAAAAATTTGGAAAACTGCAGAAGTGTATCTTTGTAATTTGAAGAAAAACTTATTTTAATGTTTTAAAAATCGGAAAAATCAAGAAAACAAAGTTTTTGGTACATTGATGGGGCTTCTGGTTTTACACAAAAATTTTTTTAAACTGCTCCCCTTGTGAGTTTTAGATTGAGTATCCTTCTTTCATGAAATTCGCCTCTGATCAACCAAACTTCCTGCAAGCCTGACGCCGATCGTTCAGTTCGTCCTTTTCAAAAAAAACCTTTTTTTTCCTCTTCATTTTGAAATTCTGAGCGTATTTCAAGCAGAAACTTTTTGGTCAATCAATTAATTTTCTGAGAAACTTGTGAAACAATATAACGAGCTTCAAATTTTTGAGAATCTCTCCTAAAAACTGTATGAAAACCTTTTGAGTGGAATCATGTTCAAAATTTTCTTTTCTTCAGATATGCTTTTTCTGAGCGGTTTGAAATTGGTTTCAGGCCTGGACCAATTTCGAACCACTTTTCTTAGATTTATTGATGAAAGTTTTCTTTTTCTTGATTAGCAACTCCGGAACTTTTCGATACATCAAAAGTAACTTTGAGAGTTACAAATTCTCTGACCGTTTCCAAAAAATTCTTTCAAGTTTCTCAGAAAACTTTTTTTTCAAAAAGCCAATGCTCTGCCTGGAAATTTAGTCGAAAAAATACTGTCCAGGAAATGTCCTTGTCATTTTTGTTGTGGAACTTCGCGGCTCTAGGTGGGCAACTCTGGCCTTGAGATGCGCGTCTGGGCGCTAACGCTCTCGGCCACGACGGAGGAATTCCAGCTTAGCTTCAGGGATTGAAGAAAGTGAGGCTGCAAAGGTCACAAAAAACTGCTGGCTGGGAGCCTTACAAGGAAGGTCATCTTTTGGGTTAGGTTCAAATTTCTTCATAAAATTCACCCGAATCTTCCTGGAATTTCAAAAAAAGTTAATAAATTAGCATTGTGGCGAAATCTTAGAAAAGTGTAGGTGAACGACTTGATCTTCCTTGTTAGGCTCGCTCACAGTCTTCATCCCTTGGCGACGGAGGGCTGAGCTGATGCTCATGGCACCTCTACCGCAGCTGGCTCACCCAAGACCATGATAGCAACACAAATTTATCTCGTTTACTGGCTTCATTTGTAGTGCTCTTCTTTTTTCTCTCAAATCATTGTTTCTCTTAACACTTTTGCAGTTTCACTGGCTTTTTGATCTTTCCCAAAAATTCCTCTCAAGTTTCTCAGAAAACTTTTTTTAGAAGCCAATAGTCTGCCAGGAAATTCTTAGTCGAAAAAATACTGTCCAGGAAATGTCCTTGTCATTTTTGTTGTGGAGCTTCACGGCTCTAGGTGGGCAACTCTGGCCTTGAGATGTGCGTCTCGACGCTAACGCTCTCGGCCACGACGAAGGAATTCCAGCTTAGCTCAGGGATTGAAGAAAGTGAGGCTACAAAAGTCACAAAAAACTGCTGGCTGGGAGCCTTACAAGGATGGTCATATTAGTGTTAGGTTCAAAATTTCTTCATAAAGTTCACCCAAATCTTTCTGCGATTTCAAAAAAAATTCTTTCACTGTCTAAACGATTTCACTAACATGATTTTTTTGAAAAAAATGAGATCTTCGAATTTGGCTTGAATTGATGGGGGAGGGACTTGTAATAAATTAGCATTGTGGCGAAATCTTAGAAAAAGTGTAGGTGAATGGACTTGATCTTCCTTGTTAGGCTCGCTCACAGTCTTCATCCCTTGGCGACGGAGGGCTGAGCTGATGCTCATGGCACCTCTACCGCAGCTGGCTCACCCAAGACCATGATAGCAACACAAATTTATCTCGTTTACTGGCTTCATTTGTAGTGCTCTTCTTTTTTCTCTCAAATCATTGTTTCTCTTAACACTTTTGCAGTTTCACTGACTTTTTGACCTTCTCCAAAAATTTCTAAGAATTTTTTTCAAGCCAGTGTTCTGCCAGGAAACTCCTAGTTCAAAAAATAATGTCCAACAAGTGTCCTCGTCATTTTTGTTGTGGAGCTTCACGGCTCTAGGTGGGCAACTCTGGCCTTGAGATGCGCGTCTGGGCGCTAACGCTCTCGGCCACGACGGAGGAATTCCAGCTTAGCTTCAGGGATTGAAGAAAGTGAGGCTGCAAAGGTCACAAAAAACTGCTGGCTGGGAGCCTTACAAGGAAGGTCAACTTTTGGGTTAGGTTCAAATTTCTTCATAAAGT